TAAATAAAGCTTTCAAGTCTCTATGCGTGCCCACTCACCAAGAAAAATCATTAACAAATTGCTCTGATTTTTCTTTGAACCACAATAGGTGTTGGTAAATGTTAAAAGAACTGAAATTAAATCTGCCTTATCTGCGGGGTCTGGAGTGATCGGATAATTAACAGCAATTTGAATTTTGCATCTTTAATTTTTGTCTGGACAGTTCAATAATAATAATCATCCTTGCATTTGATGTAGTGCCTTACCACATCTTCAAGGCGTCTCAAAACGCTTCACCGTATATATTGTAAAATGAATTGACTGTATATTTTGTGGGCGGAAAAAACACACAAAATATGTGGGTTTCACATAAAAAAACACTGAACATATTAATCAGTACTTCATCAATCAAATCATTATCAGCTCAGGTTTTTCTAATTACCAATGCTTTATATAATAATAATCCTTACATTTGATTTAGGACCTTTCATGACAGCGCCCTTCTCACATCGGGCAACTCTAAAACCACAGGCACTCTTTCCTCACAACAGGAGGCTAGTATAATTGCACTGTGCTGACTGCAACACTAATTCTGGGTGATTGTTGTCCATTTGCAAGACTGTAATAGCACATACTAAAAGGCAGCTGAACATTGCAAATTAAAGGTAATTTTTTTTGCTGGAAATGGAAATTCTGACAAACTTATTGCAATTCATTTTGCATTTGAATATTTCCTTCCAGGAGATGTCTGTGTTTCCACCAGGCTCAGGCTGAGGATTCCAACTGAGGTCTGCATTCATTGCTGCGCTGGTTTTATTGAGTCAATTTTTCACATCTGCGGTTTCTGCAACAGCACCTCCTGTTCACTGCGTCAGGGCAGACTGAACAGTCTCCAAGAGCTCACGTACCATTGTAATGATAAATGGATAACTGTGGCAAAGGTATAAAACATGCATGAATATGCAATTAAAAATACAGTAGCTCATTTACACATATCTGTAGATTCATAAGATGCCACTTAAGGGGTTAACTTCAAAGCTGTAAATAAAAGGCTTCATCCAGGCACTGACTATAATATCTACAAACGTAACGCTGGAAATCTTCCACATTGATCAAATTATATTTTAGCTCCAACCACAGCCAAATTCCCTTCTCTGCGTTTTTGCAGTTGTCGAAAAAAAAACATAAAAAAACGTATTTAGCAAGTATTAAAGTCAGTTGTTTAACAAATAATAAATTGCTTTGCTAATGATTTTTAATCCAACATAAGTAACAAATTGGAAACCCATATCGTTTTCAAAATGCCAAGAAGACCATTAAGTGTTGTAATAGAAGCCACAGGAGAGTACTTGCTAGGCTAATCACATTTGGATGAAAAGCAGATGGACAACCAAGTTCCTTGTAGCTGTGAAGCTCGGAGAACTTGCCTCGCAAGCGAGAGAACCCAGGTTTGATTCCCAGGTGGGGCGAAACCTTAGGCAAGTTTCCTTACACCACAAGCCTCTGTTTACCTAGCAGCAAGTAGGAACCTGGTTGTTAGTCGATTGCTTTTCGGGGTAATAATCCTTTCAAAAATAAAGAAAGAAATAATTGTTTGGTCATTCAATTCTCGATTGCTTGTGGGACACTGCTGTGCGCAATTGGCTGCCACCTTTCACCCACAAACTATACAGTCAATTTATTTTACAGTATATTCTGTGAATTTTGAGATGTGATAAGGCACTATATCAAATGCAAGGATTATTATTATTATACTGCAGTTCATTCATAACAATGGTTTCTTCATTTGTTTCCCATGTAACTGAGTAAGATTTTACCCCTGCATTGCACTTGCTTACAGCAGAAATACGAGAATTAATCATTCAATAATGGATTTCAGTGCATTCAGTCACAAAATACCTGAACTCAGGCTGTAAACCAATACGATTCTCTTACTTTAATTGTACTTGGAGAGCTTTAACTGCAAGGAGAGGCCACTGGCAAAGTGTTCGCAATCTGGTTCCATTACAGGTAATGGACAATCGTGTGACAACAATCCTCTCTGTTAAAGTGTGCGGTCATTCTCGGGTCAGTCTCTCCCAATGTGAAGAAGGAATGAATGCAGCACCTTCACGATTGCATCACTGAATCTCTGAATTGCAGCGTGAAGAAGTACCAGAAGTCGGTTTGAGACTGAACTAACTCCTGTGGCTAAATCCCACTGCTTTCTCCAATTCATCAAGCCGTCACTCAGTAACATGCAATTAGCCAACTCCTGATACAGTGAAATGTTGCCAATGTTCAATGTGGAGGGTTGTTGGTCTGAATTGCACTAAACATCCTGAGTGTTCCATGATTTTCTCACTGCAGGCTCATTCACACAAAAAAAACAAATGTGGTCTCAATCAGTCAGTGCTGCAGCACCATTAACTATTTGATACATAACAACAACAACAACCATTTATACAGTACCCCTCACAGAGGGTAAAGTCCCATAGAGCTTTGACAATGGAGGAACACAACTCTGAGTGGGGAGTGGGCAGGTGACCGTAAGCATGGTCCAAGAGGAAGGTCTTCGGATGCGACCTAAAGTAGGAGAGTGGGCAGGACGTAAGGATTGAGGGAGAGTTATCCAGAGTTTCAGGGTGTTGTGGCTGATTGGTATAAACAATGACAACTTGTATGTAAACAGTGCAATTCACGCAGGGTAATGTCTCGGAATATTTGCTATAAAATCCCTGTGCGCATGTACCATGCCAATCTTCTACATAGATTGCTCAATCATCCATGCATTTCACAGATCTTTGCACTGGACAAAATGACTGTCTGGTTTGCCCACAAAATTCAATTGCTGTCAAGTTGTATGGAACGTTCTGACATTTACAAGCGCTATAAAAACTTAAATTACTTTTCTGCATTCAACTGGCTACACTGACCTGGTGGAGACAGAGACAGTCTAGAAGTCAAATTATTTTAATAACAGATTGGTATGTAAGTGGATCATAGAAGTCAGCTGACAGACTGGAGTGTATGCTGGCTGACAATGCAGAGGTAGCAGTGACTATCCTCCTTGTGGGGTGGAGGGGTGGGGGGGGTTGGGGGAGTGAGCAGGGAGGGTGGGGAGGTAAGCGGCATCTCTTTGGAGCTGAACTGGCTCCAAGGTGACCTGTCTGGCTACAGAATATTGGAATTGAGTCAGTAGACAGATTCCTGAGCCAGGTGGGTCCGTAATTTCAGGGCATTGCCGATGACAGCACAGCCAGAGCCTGGCTAATCATCAGGACTGTCAGGAGCAGACCAGTCACTGGGGACAGGGAATCCTCTCACACAGCTCCAGTTAACCCTGCAAGCCAAAGCCCTAACGGGTAGAGTGGTCCTAGCTGGACAAGCAGTGGGAAAGTTTCCCGGACAGCGACATCAAAGGCAAGTTATGTGGTTTTAGCTGGTTAGACTCCAGCAGTACCCCAATGTTGGTTAGACTCTGTGTTGCCCAAGCCTTGGCTCCTGCCAACCTGCTTTCCAACACTTAGGTAAGCAGGATGTGTCCCTCCAGGGCGAAAGAGTGCGCATCCCATTTCAACAATCTATCTCCAAGATTTCCATGTGCAAGTGGGATGCATGAAATTCTCAGCTTGGTTGGGATATTCTTCAGAATGGTGACAGGTTTCCTCATGTGTCAGACACCCAGCTGACCAGATAAAAAAGGTAAGAGTGAGAAACAAGCAAACTTGGTTCCAATAAAGTTTAGCAAGATATCTTTCCGAGGGTGGAGTCCTTGTTCTATTAATGCAGTCCTGTAAGAATGTCAGTTGCCTGGTTCAGTGGCCACAGGGGATTTCACTGACAAGTGCAGTCTAGCAATTCTATTCAAGATGCCTTGTGAGAAAAGCTTAAACTATTGTATAAAAAATATCTACAATGACAGATTCCCAATCAACAATTCTTATTGTTAAATTGTTGTTAAATCTCCACGTATACAATAAACTCAGGAGTTTGGGGGGCAATACATTGCAAATACAAATTACTGAAAGAAACCACTGAAGAGAGCGTTCATTTCTCTTTTCGTTTCGGCAGTTGGTGGTGTGATGTTGCTGATCCCTCTTCTCCAATGAACCACAGATTTTTTTTAAAAAAAGATTTTATATATATATATATGTCATAAAAGTTAAGTCCGGAGAGTTAAGGTTGTGTGATGCTTGTAGCAATCTGAAGAGGGGTGTGGAGTCCTTAAACCTTGACATCAACTGCACAGCAATTACAATTTGATCTAAAACCTTAAACTCAAATGCACATCTCATCTGCACCAACCAACCAACCAACCAACCGATTCTTTCTTTCTTTCTTTCTTTCTTTCTTTCTTTCTTTCTTTTCTTTTCTTTCTTTCTATTGATTTATTACTGAACGACTGGAGCAGAATCTGTGTGTTTTTTTTCCAAGAAATAGTGTGACAGAAGCAGCCCCTGAACTCGACGTGGGTGAAAAGTAAATAACCGAAGAAAACAACCACATAATAATGCTACGCGTACGAAGGGCAAAAAACGTTGATTAAAAGATGATGCTTTTTGTGTGTGTGTGTGTGAGAGAGAGAGAGAGAGAGAGAGAGAAATCCTCAGTCAGTATTGCCAATTGAAACACTGAACTTAAGAGGATATCTGAGAGAGAGAGAGATAGAGAGAGAGTCAGTAAGAGAGAGAGATAGAGATAGAGAGTGTGAGAGACTCGGTTAGAGAGAGAGAGATAGAGATAGAGAGTGTGAGAGAGTCAGTAAGAGAGAGAGAGAGAGAGAGAGATGTGCGTCATGTATCCCAAATCCCCCTTCGGTACCAGAAACCCAGAGGCTGAGGGATCGATGTTGCAGTGTTAGCGTTGGCTATATAAAGGCGGAGGGAGAGAGCCGCGACTCCGCACTGTTACACACACAGTCCAGGGGAGGGAAGGGAAGGGGAGGCGGCAGCACCGGCACCAGCAGCGGCACCACCAGCAGCACCGGCATCAGCGGCACCAGCAGCAGCACCGGCATCAGCATCAGCAGCACCGGCACCGGACAGGACGCAAAGATGAACTACGGCTGGGACTCTCTGGGTGGCTCCCCGTACCGCAAGGTGTCGGTGGACCCTTCCCGCAGCCTGTCCCGCAGTCTGGGCTACTCGGCTCCCGGATTCCGCACCCAGACCTGGTCCAGGGGCAACACCAGCGTCAACTCGTCCTACAAGCGGAGCAGCCTGTCCGCTGCTCCCCGGGGCTACAGCCCGGCGGCGGCGGCGGGAGGGGGAGGGGGAGTGGGGGCGCACAGAGCCTCGGACAGCGCGGAGCTGTGCCCCTCCGCTCTGTACCACGAAGACTACCGAATCAACGAGAAGCAGCAGATGCAGGGGCTGAACGACCGCTTCGCCGGCTACATCGACAAGGTCCGGCACCTGGAGCAGCAGAACAAGGGCCTGGAGGCGGAGATCGTGGAGCTGAGGCAGAAGCAGACCTCCCCCTCCCGCCTGGCCGGCATCTACGAGCCCGAGCTGCGGGAGCTCCGGCAGCTGATCCAGGACGTGGACGGCCAGAAGGCGCAGACGCTGCTGGAGCGCGAGCACCTGGAGGAGGACCTGCAGCAGCTGAGGGGCAAATGCGACGACGAGGCGCGGGTCCGGGACGAGGCGGAGACCTGCCTCCGGGTCTTCAAGAAGGAGCGGGACGACTGCCGGCTGGTCCGGCTGGAGCTGGAGAAGAAAGCCCAGGCGCTGGCCGACGAGGTGGCCTTCCTGAAGAAGAACCACGAGGAAGAGGTGGGCGACCTGTTCGCCCAGGTCCAAGCCTCGCAGGTCGGCTTCGAGCTGAAGGAGTTCGCGAAGCCCGACCTGACGGCGGCGCTGAGGGAGATCCGGGCCAAACTGGAGGGCTACACCAGCTCCAACCTGCAGCAGACCGAGGAGTGGTTCCGCTCCCGGGTGGCCAAGCTCAGCCAGGCGGCCGAGGTCAACAACGAAGCCCTCCAGACCACCCGCCAGGAGATCACCGAGTACCGCCGGCAGCTCCAGAGCAAGAGCATCGAGCTGGAGACCGTGCGGGGCACCAAGGAGTCGCTGGAGAAGCAGCTGAACGACATCGAGGAGAGGCACGATGCTGAGCTGTCACAGTTCCAGGTGAGGTTGTCTCTTGCGCTCGGCAGCCCCACCGCCCACCCACACCCCCTCACCCCCTCACCGCCCACCCACACACCACCCCCTCACCCCCCACCCACACCCCCTCACCGCCCACCCACACACCACCCCCTCACCCCCACCACCCACCAACACACCACCCCCCTCACCCACCACCCACCCACACCCACCAACACACCACCCCCTCACCCCCCACCCACCCACACCCACCAACACACCACCCACCCACACCCCCCACCAACACACACCAACACACCACCCACCCACAACCCCCTCACCGCTCACCGCCCACCAACACACCACCCCCCACCCACCCACAACCCCCTCACCGCCCACCCCCCACCGCCCACCAACACACCACCCCCCACACCCACCAACACACCACCCCCCACCCCCCCAACCCACCACCCCCACACCCCCAACACCCACCAACCCACCACCCCCACACATCCCCACCACCACCCACCAACCCACCACCCCCACACCTCCCCCCCAACACCCACCAACCCACCATCCCCCACACCCCCCCCCCCAACACCCACCAACCCACCACCCCCCACACATCCCCACCACCAACCCACCACCACCCACTAACACACCGCCCCCCACATCCCCACCCACACCACCCATCAACCCACCCACACCCATCAACCCCCCACCGCCTCCCCCCCCCCCCCCCCCCCCCACTGTGACACAAATTTTGCTTCTCCGGGGGTACTATTCCCTATTTCCGAGCTGATCTGTAACTTTAAAATATATACACATATATATATATACTTTTTGACTGTGACCTGAATCTACTATTTTCAAACTGTTCTGTTTGTAACTTTAAACATACGCACACACACAAATATATATATAATATGTGTGTATACACACTTTTAAAATTGTTTTTTCACAGGATACCATTCAACAATTGGAAAACGAGCTTAAAAATACAAAGTGGGAGATGGCCCATCACTTGAGAGAGTATCAAGATCTACTGAACGTCAAAATGGCTTTAGATGTAGAAATCGCCTCTTACAGGTAAGACTGATGACAAATTAACACTTGCCCTCTCCCCTCCTGCCCCTTAGCATTCCTTTGTAAATCTCTTTTTCTAACACAGGGATCTTGTAATGATTTGTCAATCGGCGGATGCTTCTCCGGGGGTAATAATCCCTTCAAAAAAATATATTAAAAAAATGTGGTCATTCAATCCACGGCTGTTTATAGGACACTCCTGTGCGTAATTGGCTGCCACGTTTCACCCACAAAATATACAGTCAATTCACTTTACAGTATATTGTGGGAAGCGCTTTGAGATGTCTCGAACACGTATATCAAATGCAAGGATTATATTTGCAATGCCATGTGTGAGAAAAAGCAAAGGAACACCAACAGACAATTTAAAAAAATGGAACAGCCTTGCAATAACTCCCTGGAAAGATACATGACAAGCTGCAGTAATCTGCGTCACTGACCATCCACTGTGCGCACCTCTGCAGTACAGCATTTCTTAACGTGGGTTTCCAATTGCAAGAGAGTCAGCTGAAGCCCAAATATCCAGATTACAAGCGCAAATGTATATTACCATACTAATTCACCCAGTTATTTCCCATGTTGAGGAGAGTAACTTAATTGAATCCAATTCTTTCTGTCAGATTATGTTGATATCATTCAGAATACTTTTTCCCCTGATTAAACAACAAAATTAAAATTATATTATACCGCAGTTCATTCAATTAAAATTGCTTAACAAATTACAATTAAAATTGCTTAACAAACAGGATGAACGTCACTTAAATCTTAATGCACTATTCTGGTTGTATGGATACCTATTGCAAAGTAGGTTAGTCAAAAGTGGCTAAACAAGCATTGAATTACCATTAAAAAAATAAATTATGCAAATATAAAATTTTTTGGATGAGAAGGGGTTAAATCTGCAGTACTCCAAAAATACCTGTATACAAAATTGATTTCAGACCTTTAATATGAAAAAAGATATATCCATAATAAAAATTATCATATCAATCATTTAATTCATTGAGCACTGACATTTTCATCTTGCACCAAAATGAAAGGATTATTATTTATTAATAAAAATATTATTATTTATTAATAAAGTAAAAGAGCAGCAACAAATTCTAGTTTGTTCAAAGAACCTTGCAAATTAAAAAAATATTCTATACATTTCTTAGATTTAATTGTGTAAATGCAAGGATTGTTCTTTTTGTGTAATCGTTAAACACAAATTATTTTAGGAAAGGCAATGTGAAGGTCGGTCTGTCTTAGCTCTCTCAAAGTCACTAGGGTCAAATTGGTGCTCAAAAGGTTAAAACAAAAGAAAGATAAAATGAACAAATAAAACACTCCTGGTCAGCAACAACTCCCAAGAAAATCCAGATTGTTTAACTCAATCACATTCTACTGCCTGGTTCCAGTTGAATACACCTTGGGGAAGGATAAGAAAGTAATGCATTGAGTACCATAAAGCTGTGAATGATTACACAACTATGGAACCTGCAACATGCATTAAACATTACAATATCTGCACACAGAGCAATAAATGAATTAGTATTCACATTACGGTGTCGCTTTGGCAGGTTCACAGGATGAAGAGACATTTGCCGTTTGTTCCTTTTTAATAATGATATTATTGTCAGGGGAATTCAGCAGAGCTCAGCTCAGTTTCTGCATCACGCTCCATACAGTGGAGGGATGCTGCATTTTTCTGGGGAGGGGTGGTGGGGGCGGAAGAGCAGGAAACTTGTCTGCTAAAAGCATACCTCCTGATGGCAGTTGTACCTTTGAAATGTGCAACTTAAAAAATATGAATGAACATGCAATTGGTTAAAGATACAGGATTATTTTTTAATATAAAAGTATTTTATGTTCGATTTTTAATCGAGTTTTCTTGAACCTTTAAGGAGCAAACCCCTCGATTTGATTTTTATAATATATTTACCATTAATTTGAACCATTTGTTTTCTAAAAACAGCAATTCTCCATGAAATCAATGGTCACATTTTTGTTTTAAAATTTTTTCACATATTTCCATCCTCAATCAACATCCAGCAGAGTTCAGGAGTGGAAGCCCTACCTGATATTTGCCTTTCTCGCCCAGCAGCTACTGCCCACCCAGCTGAGATCAGCTAAAGCTGTAACATGGATCATATTGTTCTCACAACATTCCCATTCTCATCATGCTAAAATTAACATGAGGTGCCTTATCGTCAAGCTGTTCCTTAAATGAGAAACATCCACCCTTACCCAGTAAACCATTCCAGCTGTTCACTACTCTCTGTGTAAAGAAATGCTTCCTGGCACCTGTCTTAAATTTATCAACCATATCCCTGAAAACATGCAAAGGACTGAACTATCCTGTTACGCAATGCGGTAGCCATAAAAGATGTCTCGGTTGTACACTGGCACAATTTGATGCATCTCACAGATCTATTTTTTGCATTTCTTTGTTAAGGAAACTCCTTGAAGGTGAAGAGACAAGATTTGGCTCAATTACTGGTGGCTACACTCCTCCATCATATACCTTCAAACAGCCCCAATCTATGGCGCATTCAGTTTACGTAACAGCTAAGACCAAGTTTAACCCCACAAAGATCACACCTCAGTATAAATTTGTAGAAGAAATTATAAGTGAAACAACGAAGGAGGTTGATATGGCTGAGATTGAAGACGTTGACTTCAAAGCCATGTCTGATGATGCCTCTGGTGAGAAGTCTGAGGAGGAGCAGACTAAACATGAAGAGGATGATGATGGGGAAAAGGACGAGGCAACAACAGCTGAGGCCTCAGATGAAGAGGGAACAGATGAAACAAAGGAAGAGACCACAGGAAAAGAAGAAGGGGAAGAGGAAGAAGATGCTGGGGAAGAAGATACTGAGGAAACAAAAGAGGAGGGTCAAGAAGAAGAAACCAGTGAAACAAAGGGGGAGACAGAAGAAGAATCTGAATCAAAAGGAGAGCCTCAGAAGGGAGAAACTACTGAAAGAAAACCAGGAACTGAAAGTGACGAGGAAGCAGCGACTGAGGAAGACCAGGGAGACTCAGGAGATGCTACAGAGAAAGGAGATTCCAAGGATCAGGAAGGAGATAAACAAGCAGAGGAGTCAAAAGAAGCAACTAGAACCCCAAAGGCTGAACCTGGGTCACCTGCTGAAGAAAAGGTAGAGGAAAGCAAAAGTAAAGCACAGCTGGCTAAACCAGAGGAAGAGCCTCCAAAAGCAAAGGAAACCTCAAAAGCAAACGAGAAAGAACCTCCTCCTAAAGAGCCGGCAACAACAGAAAGCAAAGCCCAGAAAGGTCAGGTCGAAAAAGAACAAGGAGCCGAGGAAACAAAAGTGACCGAATCTTCTGGGAAAAGCGAGCCGTCCAAAGAGGAATCAAAAGAAGAAAAAGTTGAAGAAAAGTCTGATATTCCTGGAAATAAGAGCAAAGAAGAGAAAAAGGACAGCGAAGGATCAAAAGTGGAGGAAAAGAAACCTGATAAAGACGAAGGCAAGAAGGAAGACAGCAAGGATAGTAAAGAAAGTGAGGAAAAGCCGATGAAGGTCTCAGAACCAGAGAAAGTGAAGCAAACACCTGCGAGTGACACCAAACTTGAAAGCAAGACCACCCAGTCTATTGGCCACACAGTATCTGAGCTCATTACAAATGGTTTAGACACAAGCATGGAGAAAGAGGAAAAGGAAGTCAAAAGCGAGAAGAAGGTGACAAAAGGTTTGACAGAGGACGTACAGACGATTGTGGTGGAGGAAACCGTCCGAAGCAAGCAAGAGACAACGGTGATGTCAGTTACAAACACAGTGAAAAGAGAGGCCATCGAAGAAACAAAGGTGACGTTGAAAAAGGAAGAAAAGTTAGTAACAGCTTCATTAGACACCAAAGGTGATGCCAAAGAAAGTAAATAAATAAGAACCAACTGAGTAGGTCAAATCATAAGAAATGCATGTTAACACGGCAAAAGTCTGGGGCTTTAGCAATCTGAGAACATAGAAATGAAATATATGTTTGTGGAATAGAAAATATGGCATTTTCTCAGGGGAATAATTTCAGTTTAATTTATCGCTGCATGAATAATTGCACAACTAAACGTTGCCAATGGGATGACTGCAAATGTATTTGACTTTGCAAAATAGCTTTGATGTCTAGGAAATCAAATGCAACAGAAAAAGCCTTAACTTTCCTGTTGATTTTAATATATTAATTCAATAGATGCGCATAAAGTAATCAGAAATGAACACTTTTCGGTCCACTGATTAGACCACTGTTACATGTTGCTGCAAATATAATCAATGAATAAGTAGCAACCGATGTTTCCATTCACAAATAAATGCACTTTGTCAAAGAAAATTAATCTATTGTGTTCTCATTGTCTATAATGGATCATCTCATCTCCTTCAGTGGTAAAAATGACAAAACAGTTGTGACAACACAGCGACACAGTACATTAGTGCTCAATGGAGGGATTGCACAGACGGTTCCCTCAGTGATGAGCTCCCAGTCCAGATACATAGGGATTCCCACAGGAAAGAAGGGAGATAGGCCAGGAAATGGCCCTAAAGATTTACTCGCCATAACATATTACAATATGTAAGTTACCAAAACAATCGGTTTCACCTCAAGAGAATAAGAAAGCACAGATTGAGAAAAGGCCATACGAATTATCAAACCCGTTTCATTCTGACTCCCAAATTGCTTAATGTCCTGATGAAAACAAGTTCTCCTTAGGAATTCCAACAGCTACAGTTTGAGGGCCTCATAATCCCGCACTGAATATCCCCCAAGTCAGCTCCACTCAGTTGGTAGCACACTTGCTTCTGGGGCAAGGAATCTATGGGTTCAAGCCCCAGGTCGGGTCTGGAACTCATGACTCAGGCTGACACCAATGCTTCATTAATGCCCACCTCAAGAACGGGGATGGGACCTCGATTTAACATCGCCTTTGAAAATGCAGCAGAATGGAGCATTTTCAAAGGCGATGTTAAATCGAGGTTCCATCCCCCTGTTCTTGAGGTGGGCATTAATGATCCATTGGAAAAGAGAAGAGAGCCCAAGCCACATCTGTTTGTACCTGTACAATGTGCTGACATGGGAAAAAAGCCCCATATCCTCAAGCTTGCAGACTGGCCCCAACTCTCGCTTCTAGTCAATGAGAAGGCAAACATTTAGCTGTAGTGTAACCCCCCACTTACCAAACACATGGATAAACAGCTCTGGAACATTTCCCCAAAAGATGGATAATGAATGGATTGGGTTTAGCAATAAGAAAACACCATTGCTCCTCCAGAAGACTTATAGAGCAGTGTCCATCCCAGACGTTTCCTCCCAATCCTGCATCCCAACCAACCCCAAACAAAACCAGTAAGGGGACTGAGACTAACACGATACAGAAAGATCCATATCCATCTCCCTTCTTAAATACTACCAAAGGCAACACAGCAAGTAAACTCAAACTCGTGAACCCCAGGACTAAGCCCTGCAGCTAAATATACAGAAACATGTGGGACTCTCATTGTGCCTATATCTTGTATCTTGTAACCTGACTTGCACCAGAAAGTACATGGATATTGTACAACTGTTAACATTTCGAAAAAATGAAAAACAAAAAGCATGTATATAGAACAACAACAACAAAATTAGCACTTTTTACGTCGGAAGGATGTCCCAAGGCGCTGGACAGTTAAGGGTTTGCCTTCAAGCTGGGGGTTGGAATCGAGGGATAGAGGGTAGTGGGGTGGGAAGGTGGCAAAGAGCACGATCAAAGAGGAAGGACTTGGGAAGGGCCTTGAAGAAGGCAAGGGAGGGGGCGAGGTGGAGGGATATTGGGATGGAGTTCCAGAGGATGAGGGCAACATGGTTATTTGAAGAGAATGGAGTCCTGGGCTCCTGACCAACAATTCCCTCGGTAACATTGGTCATTCATTTCACAGCTCTTTATGGGGCATTACTGTGTGCAAATTGTTCACCTCCAAAATGCACAGTCACTACACTTTACAGTAATTTGTGATGTCCTCCCAACGTGCAGGCATCTGTATCAAATGCAGATAATTAAAAAATTATTATTTGGCTTAACAAACATTAATTAATCCTACATATGCCAGGAGTTGAAATGCGGATCTTTGAGAAAATGGCTTTAATCTCAGGCTTTAACAATGTAACATTGTACTAACATTTTAATAATTTGCACAATTTTGGAAACTTCTTCAACTCGGTCATAATTTTGCAGCCAGTTTGTAAAGATTCACCGTTCCCTTCACAATGACTCAGCAATGGTGGGGAAAGAGAGGAACAAACCACAGCTCCATCTGTTGGCACCAGCCTCTCAAAGACCCACTTTGCAATTCTGAAGTTTGGAAAGAAAAATCTGCAATGCAGGTGCTGGAGATCTGATATAAAAGTAGAAGCTGCAGGAAAACAACAGCAGGTCAACGAGTAGCTGAACGAAGGCTAAGATTCACAGGATGTCAAAGCTCCTTGACGGAATGATTCACTTATTATTTCACTATTTGACCTGCTCAACAGTTTATAGCTTTTCCAATTTCTTTTCCCACTTCATTACATTCACTTTATGTGCTTCTGATCCAAGGTCAGCCAGTGGAATGATATATTATGGGGAGGCTTTGTGTCAGCTTGGCTCAGTCATTACATTCTTGCCTCTGGTTAGAAGATTATGACAGGATTTTGCTTATAGTTTTGGCTGGCACTCCAGTGTATTACTTGGGGGAGCCCTGCATTGTTGGAGCTGCCGTCTTTTGGACAAGATGTTAAACCATTCTGCCTGTTCCGATACAAAAAGAAACCCATTGCACTATTGAAAAAGAGAAGGGAGTTTTTCCTGGCCTACCATCCTCCAGATTATTGGGTCATTCATCTTATGGTTGTTATTGCAACCTAGCCATGTGCAAATTTGGCTGCCATGTTTGCCGATAAATGCACAGGAGCTACTCTTGACAGAAATTACAACAACAACTTGCATTTATGTAGTGTCTTACATGTGGGGCAGCACCTCAAAGCACTTTACAGTGGGGGAGATTGACACTGAGCTAGGGAGAAAAGGGAGGTAACCGTAGGCACAGTCAAAGAAAAAGGTTTTCAGATGCCATCTAAAGACAGGTAAGGAGGGGCGAGGCTGAGGGATTGAAGCAGAGAGTTCCAGAGCATAGTGGCTGAAAGCAAATGCAGACGAAACCCTCCTGCATGCATTTGTCACCTCTCGCTTGGATTACTTCAACGCATTTCTTGCCGGTCTACCCAGCTCCACCATTCACAAGATCCAGTTCATTAAAAACTCTGTCGCCCGCATACTGACCCGGACCAAACTCTGTACCCACATCTCACCAGTTCTGGACAGGCTCCACTGGCTCCCCATCACCAAACAGATCGACTTCAAAATCCTCACTCTCGTGTTCAAATCCATTCACTCCCTGGCACCTCCCTACTTCTCCAACCTCCTCACTCTCCAATTCACCACCCGGCACCTCCAATCGACTGGCACCGGTATCCTGCTCATTCCTCGTAGCCTCTGCCCCACCATCAGAGGTCGTGCTTTTAGCCACTATACCTCAAAACTCTGGAACACTCTCCCTCAATCGCTCCGCCTTGCCTCCTCTCTACTCTCTTTCAAGTCCCGCCTGAAGACCTTCCTCTTCGACCGTGCTTATGGCCACCTTCCCCCTCCCCAGCTCAGAGTCAGGCTCCACCACTGTTAAGCGCTCTGACACGCTACCATGCGTGGAGGATGCTATATAAGTGCAAGTTGTTGTTGTTGCTGTTGTTGAAAGCAGGGTGCAAATGGAGGAGCGGAGGGACAAGGAATATATAGAAGGTCAGAACCAACTAAATAAAGGAGGCAGTTGGTGGAGTGGGGTGTAAACAGATCCAGGAGATAGAAGGTAGTAGAGCATGAATTGATTTATAAGTGTGAGAAATCAATCCATTCTGGGAGTTAGTGGAGCTTGGTAAGGATTGGAGTGATGGGGGTGCGGAGCCTGGTATACGGGTGTCAATACAGATGGTGGAGTTTTGAATCGGTTGGATTTCATGGGCCTTTGCAAATTATTGCGAAGAGTTTTGAAGATGTTTTCAATGTGTGAAGATGCCATTAACATGCAAAAGTTTTTCTTCCAACAAAACAAATACAAATTTACATTTATAAAGCACCTCTCAGGTTGGGAAGACATCCTGAGGTGCTGGACAGTCCAAGATTTGCACTTGAGATAGTGGCACGGGCTGAAGGGGGCGGGAGGCGACGGGGTGAGAGGGGAAAATAATCAATCAACTAATTCACACAAAGAAACAAATAAATGTCAGATCACAGTAATTGTGTTGGAGATTCACTGTTTAAAATTATACCCTGCCCTAGTTTGTTTTCCAGATATATGTTTATATGCTTGGAATTTTTTCACTCCCAAATGACACTTTACGCCCACGTTCGCCTAGAAAAATACGTAATAATTACACTTTATAGGATATGCTGTGAAGCACTTTAAGGATGTTCTCCTGACCCGAAAGTCGTTGCATCAAATGCAAGGATTAATATTATTACATCGGGAGGAACTCATCTATGATAGAGATGGAACATCATCTCTTAAAACCACAGCAATCAATCGCCACAACATTCTCATCAAGTCAAACCCTCACTTCATGACACCCTTTCTGCAGACACTTGAAAGCAGCCTTGACAAAAATATAACCTGTCAGAGTGTCAGAGAGTTGGAATTATTTTTTGATAGATCTAAGACTGAAACAAACAGCAGCTCCTCCTGCTGGCATCAAGATTTCAAAGACTAACTTTGAAGTTCAGAAGTTCAAAAGAAGATAGGGTGGCTGACTCCTTCCCCCCCCCCCCCCCCCAATAAACTGTATTTAAATTCAGAAACGTGTGCACAAAAAGGTACAGTCAAAACATTTTTGCTTCTTCAAACAACTCGGTATTCTTCATTTCGTTCCACATTGAACATGGAGGTGACCATAGGCACGGCCGAAGAGATAGGTTTTAAAGACAGGATTTAGAGGGGTAACACAGACAAGTAGAGGGAGCATGTTCTAGAGGTTAAGGACATAGTAGCTAAAGGCTTGGCCACTGATGGTGGTGCAGAGGATGTAGGAGACATGCAGCAAGGTGAGCAGAGAGCTGGAGTCATATTTGAGTGAGCTAAGAAGGAAGCAGAGCTTGTTCTTTATGCGTACGGATGCCTAATGCATTTATTGGAAGATACTCTCAGATTCATGCAAAATAGTGATTGAAGATAGTGATCCTTGCATTTGCTGTAGCACCTTTCACACAGGATAGCATCTCAGAGCACATTCTCACCACCCTCTTGGTATAAGGATTCCTCCAAAACTCCCTTGTATATCTACTACTTATATTTAACCTTATTCAGGGTGATCAAAAATTTGTGATTTCTACCCTATTATCTAAAAACAAAACAAAAATATCATTATATCTTTAAGACGTTGTAATGGTATCATGACTTTTTGTAACCCTGTAGTTGTGCCTTATATTTGTGGCTATTGTATGTATTATATAGTTTGAGGCTGTAAATTGAAGACATTAGAGATGGTACGCTGCAAGGATAAATCCAAAGGTTTAAATTTGTCTTGTGGTAAGGGCCAGGAAGAGGGTCACTCTTAGCATTCAATGTGACGCAGATTCAGGAAATGAGTTAGTTGAAGTTCAGAGTGTTGACATTGCCTATAAAGTTGCCTGACCTGCATTAGCTTGTTGCAGGTCAGTGGGTTTTCTCCATCGAGACTCTAGTTTTAAGCTCTTAAATCCAGCGTGAACAAGGCACTAGAATCAAGAACTCCTTTTGCACCAGATGGACCAAAAAGCCACAGAGAATCAGTGTAGCATTGATGAGATGCTTCACACACAAAACAGGTGAACATCCCCAAAATGGAAAACATTCAACGGCTGCACGATTTTATTCATTCAAGTAATGACAATTGATTCTTCATGAATTTGTATAAGATTAAGGCACTGGTTTGGGAAGATGAAAAATGTCTGCATATTGCCATTTTAAGTGCAAAGCTGGCAAGAGCTGGAGCATCGGCAGGTTGCCTTACGTAGGCAAAAAAAAAGAAATCAATTTTGCCGAGTCACCACTTGAGCTGCCTTTATAAGGGAGAGGAGAGCGGTGACTCCGCATTGTTACAGGCCGCACAGCAGCAGTAGCAAGATGAGCTACAGATGGCAGCCTCTCAGCAGCTCTCCTGCACGGAGAGTGCACTCGCTCTCCTCCAGGACACTGACTCGAAACCCGGGATTCTCATCTGTGGATTTCAGCTCCCACAACGGCTCTGCATCATCCTTCAAGCGCAGTAGCCGGTCCACCTCCCGAGGATGCAGCCCAGCAGCTCACAGAGCCGTCAAGAGCATGGAGCTCTGTCATTCCAGTCTCTTCAATGAAGACTACAAAGTGCCCAGCATGAATGAGAAGGAGCAGATGCAGGGGCTCAATGACCGCTTCGCCGGCTACATCGACAAAGTGCGGTTCCTGGAGCAGCAGAACAAGGGCCTGGAGGCGGAAATAGTGGAACTGAGGCAGAAACAAACTTCCCAATCCAGTCTCGCGAGCATCTATGAACCAGAAATGGCAGATCTACGCAACTTGATCCAAGAAACCGAAAGCCAGAAGTTACAAATTATGCTGGATCACAATCACCTGGAGGAAGATCTGCAGCAGCTGAAGGGAAAGTATGAGGAAGAAGCCCGGGTTCGACACGAAACCGAAATACGAATTCAAAATCACAAGAAAGAGCGAGAAGACGCCCAACTGATTAAATCGGAGCTGGAGCGAAAAGCCCAGTCGCTTACGGATGAAATCGTGTTTCTCAAGAAAGGACATGAGGAGGAGGTGGTTGACTTGCTGGCTCAGATTCAAGCCTCGCTGGTCAGTGTTGATATGAGGGAGTTCGCCAAGCCTGATCTCAGTGAAGCTCTGAGGGAGATTCGAGCGCAAATGGAAGGATTCAGCAACTGCAACCCGCAACAGGCAGAGGAGTGGTACACAAACAGAGTGGCCAAGCTGAACGAGGCTGCGGAAATCAACAACGAAGTGATGCGCAGCACCAGGCAAGAGATCAATGAGTACCATCGGCAGCTCCAGTCCAAGAGCATAGAGCTGGAGACCGTGAGATGCAGGAAGGAGTCTTTGGAGAAACAGCTGAACGATTCTGAAGAGAGACAGGATGCAGAAGTGTCTCAATATCAGGTAATTCTTTCTTTTTTAAAAAAAATGATTGATTGAAATTTTCAGTAACTACATAATCTACAATAAAAAATGTCTTTTGCAGGATACCATCCAACAATTGGAAAATGAACTAAGAAATGCAAAGCGGGAGATGGCTCATCACCTGAGAGAGTACCAGGATCTACTTAATGTCAAAATGGCTTTAGATGTGGAGATTGCCTCCTACAGGTAGGATTAAGTATAACAAACACATTGATGTACAGTTTCTGATGTGACGCTTGCAGGAGTAAAACTCCTAATATGCATTCTAAAACCAAATTGACTTAAACCAGGCAAGATAAAATATATACAACAGTAAGTAAGCTATGAGTATGAAAATGGAATAATAAAAGTACTGTAGCCCTCAAAGTAATGAATAAAATAAAAGTAGTGTAACCTCTAATCTATTTTCTCTATTTGAAAACAATTTGTCAGTATACCAGATTGTCTCCTGGGAATAACTCTCATTATTCCTGGGAAACAATCTGACAAATTGTTTTCAAATAGTAAGGGAATAAATTAGATACAGTACAATACAAATTTACATTTATATAGGGTTTTCCACATTGAGAGGATATCCCAAGCAAGGGCACCTGAGCTGGGGGTGGGAGTTGAGGATGGTGGGGAAGGGTATGATGACCAAAAGTATGGTCAAAGCGGTAGGTCTTGAGATGAACCTTGAACAAGGTGAAGGAGGGAGCAAATTGGAGGGACTCTGGGATAGAGTTCCAGAGAGTGGGTGCAGAAAGGCCGAAAGCCCACATGCCAAAGGTGAGATGAGTAGAATGGGGGACATGACTCCAACTGGAGCTCGCTGGGTGAAAGGAGGGCCAGGTTGGTAAGGTTTGAGGATTAAAGTTTGAAGATGCAGGTTATAAATTCAGATATTTGATTTTCTTTTTAGCACGGATTTGCACTGCATCAATAGCATCAAGTTGTTAAAAAGACATTACCGCTATGTGCTCAGAGTTCTGGTTCTGGGTGGTATTTTGGCCTGTTTAGAAAGTGTCCATCAAAAGGTGCCCCAGAATAAGAGGCAGATGGAGTGAAGCTTCTGCAGCTTTCACCATTTTACTTTAATTGTGCTTCCAGCACTGTTGTTTAAGCAGAATGAACAAATTGGTTGCATAACAAATTGGGTGTGCAGTCCCATAGCATACTGGTTAGCACAAGCGAGAGGACTCTGGTTTGATCCCCGAGTGGGGCAAAACCTTCGCAAGTTTCCTTACACACTCCTGTTTTCCTGGCAGTAAGTAGGAACCCAGTAGTTGGCTGATTGGCTGATCACTTTCTGGGGGGAATAATCCCTCAAAAACAAAAATTGTTTATTCAATCCACGACTGTTTGTGGGATACTGCTGTGCGCAATTAGTTGCCGCATTTTGCCTACAAAATACAATCAATCCACGTTACGATATATTCTGTGAAGTGCTTTGAGACATCTCAATGACATGGTAAGGCTCTAAATCAAATGCAAGAATTATTATTGTAAACTGACGATGAAAACTGATTGAAATTTCTAAAATATCTAGATGAGGAGGGGTTAAAACTGCAGTATTCCTGAAGAATCTATGCCTATTTCTTTTGCACTTTTTCTTTTGCCAATTTCTTTTATGATCACGTAGAGTTAATCTAGCAGTCTGTCAGCTAGAGGTGGGACAAAACAGTTTCAAATTAGCAAGCAAAACCGCATGAAAGCAGTCTATTAACGTTGAAGCCTAGATATATTTTCTGACAGGTTCCCAGTCATTTCACAGGCACTCAGTGTGTGAAAACAAACTCCAGCAAATATTGACGTACCAATAGAGAGATGGGGAAGTAAAGATTTAAAAAAAATGTTTTGATACCCAAGAAGCAGAATTGTGCAAAGGTTACTGTTAAGTTTTAACACTGTCTTTTAGTCTGGGGTAAGGTGCACACCTCTGACCATACCTTACCCCAGATGCAGCTGAAACACTCGTCCATGCGTTCATCACTTGCTGACTTGACTTTTCAAATGCCCTTCCCAGCTCCTCCATCCACAAAATCCAGCTGATCCAAAACTCCACCATCCGCATACTCACCTGTACTAAACTCCGTAACCCCATCACATCAGTTCCAGCCAGACTCCACTCCTTATCGCCGAACGGATTGATTTCAAGATCTTCAAACTCAGGTCCCTTCATGCCCTGGCACCTCCCTACCTCTCTGTCCTTCATACTCCCCAACTCACTGCCCGCTGCCTCCGCTCGACTGGCTCCATCCAGCCTTCTGCATGTCCCTCGTGCCCTCCATTCCACCATCGGTGGCCACATTTTCAGCCATTATACCCCAAAACTCTGGAGCACTCTTCCTATCCCTCCACCTTGCCCCTTCCTTCCCCATCTTCAAATCGTGCCTGAAGACCTTCCTCTACGACCGTGCCTACGGTCACCTCCCACCTCGGCTTTGTGCTCCACCACTGTCACTGACGCTACCCTGTGTTAAGGGCGCTATATTAAATGCAAAATGTTGTTGTCGTACTAGGAGCACCCGCAATTTAAGCTGAATAAATGCTAGGGTATAGAGGAATTCAGAAAGAAATTAATTTTTATAACATCTGGATGGCAAAGGGTTAATACCGCAGGGTTTCAATGAAAATGTAAACGATTAAAACATTTTAAAAAATTAGCATCAGCACAGCCTGGATTAAATGGGGTTAATTTGACCAGGGTTCAGCCACTGAGACCAGTTCTGAGCTTTCTGCACTGTGTCTCAGCACAATGCAGTGATATTGACAGAGCTGACTCATCCTGCAGCAGGGAACTGCAGCAAAGGCTTTCTCATTAAACTCTGCTCAATATGCCAAGCGTGGCAGAGTCAGCAAGTAGCAAGTAGCTCCATGTTCCAAATGATAGGTTTTTTTTCCAAGTAAAGCAATTTGTGTTTTATTATAATCACAAATAATAATAATCCTTGCATTTGATACAGTGACTTATCGCGTTGTTGGAACATCTCAAAGCACTTCATAGAATATATTGTAAAATGTATTTTATGGGTGAAACACGGCAGCCAGTTGTGCACAACAGTGTTCCACAAACAATCGTAGATTGAGTGACCAAATTTGTTTTTTGAGGGAATATTACCCTCGGAAAGCAATCCGCCAATCGACTAACAATCGGGTTCCTACTTACCTCTAGTTAAACAGAGGTGGGTGAAGTAAGGAAACTTGCCTAAGGTTTTGCCCAGCCCAGCAATCAAATCCGGGTCTTCTCGATTGTGAGGCGAGTGAGCTAACCTCCTTTATTTTCCTCTTTTATTTTCCTGTTGTTAATATTCCAACTCAGGTTGGAAAAAAGGGGAAAATTAACAACAGGAAAATACAGTCTGTCTCCTGGTGAACTATCCTTGTAGCAAATATGGATGAGGTTATAAATTGCTGTTAAAGAAAATCTTTGACTTATAAAGAATTCAACCCTCATGTTTCCCATGAGAAGCTGTGTCAATATTGAGGGAAGGCTGGTTTAAATTGAATTTTTTTTAACCCAATGTCACAAAAATTTAAAGTGAAATTTCTCAAACATAATAGCACTCGTAAAATTAAATGTCTGGTTTGCGTTTTTACCATAATTCAAGCCTCCCCCAAATGTTTGTCTACCAATTGCTTTTGCTACCAGCCAAACCAGCAAACTATTTAGAATAGTGACTCCGCACGCTTATCCAGTGAGCAGCCAAATCAATTCAGACTGGAGGCAGACTCGTCCTGTATTAAGTTACTTGATCTCCGCTGGGATAACAGTGGGTCATTTACATAGATTTATACAGTATGGAAACAGGCCTTTCAGCCTAACCAGTTTGTACCCCACATGAGTCTCAGGAGTCTCCTTACTCCCTCCCATTCCCTTCTCTCTCATGTCTATATCTAGCTTCCTCTTAAAAGCATTTGAATTAACTTCTATCTCTGGGTTGGAGTAGGTAGGATCTCGGAGTGCTTGAATCAACCATTGCTCCTGATCGCTATCCATTGACCCCCTTTCTGAAAGTTATGTTCATGTGAGTAATTGGAAAAGATAGGATCAGACTTGACTATGATTCCCACTGCAGTCAAACACCCTACCAACACTCCCTGTCAAGACTAATGCACTAACAATAGTCATTGGACTGAGGACTGGAGAGTGACTTTTTTTTAAAAAAAGGCCTCACTATTCATGGTTTTGAGTTTATTTCTGATTTAATACATTTTTTCTGAATGTATTTCAATATTCATCATTGGGAATTCAATGCAAAACAATCTATCTGCAAATCTGGAGAAGATTATAAATGACCTTCATAACCTGAAAGGTGACCATGGCTTTTTAATTTTTTTTCTGACAAATATAATATAATTTAAGCTTACCTTCCTTGGAACTATATTCTCTCACTTCTAATTTAACAGGGTTCACTTTTACAATGTAAGTTAAATGTATTTTACAGCCCAAAATTCTATTTTCTTTTTTATATGAAGGAAACTCCTTGAAGGTGAGGAGACAAGATTTGGTTCCGCTACTTGTGACTTCACTCCTCCATCTCATACATATAAGCAGCCACAATTCTCTACACTGTCATCTTTCGTGCCAATTAAGACAAAGATGGCTCCGGAATACAAGTTTGTGGAAGAAATTGTAAGCGAAACAACAAAGGAGATTGATATGGCGGAGCTTGAAGCTATTTACACCAAAATAATGCCTGGCCTCATCTCTGTTGAAAAGTCTGAGGACGTGCAAACAAAGGAAGAGGACAAAGAAGAGGACACAAGTGAAGCAGGAAAAGAAGCCACAACAGAAGATGTTGAGGAAGAAGTTGAGGCTGAATCAAAAGAAGGTGAACGTGAAGAGACAATTGAAGAAAAAGAGGAATCCACAGCAGAAGTGGATGAGCAAACAAAGGAAGAAGACAAGAAAGAGGAAACAAGTGAGGCAGGAGAAGGAGCTACAAAAGAAGATGTTGAGGAGAAAAAGGCGGCTGAATCAAAAGAAGATGAACAAGAAGAAAAGAGTGAAGTGAAAGAGGAATCTGCGGCAGAGGTGGAAGAGCAAGCAAAGGAACAAGACAAGAAAGAGGACACGAGTGAGGCAGGAGAAGGGGCTACAAAAGAAGATGTTGAAGAGGACGTTGGGGTTCAATTAAAAGAAGATAAACAAGAAGAAAGGAGTGAAGTGAAAGTGGAATCCGCAGCAGAGGAGGACAAGCAAACAACAGAGGAAGTAGGCAAAAAGGACACAAGTGAAGCAGGAAAAGAAGTTACGAAAGAAGAGATTAAGGAGAAAAAGGCTGAATCCAAAGAGGGTGAACAAGGAGAAAGGAGTAAAGTAAAAGAGGAACCTGCAGCAGAGGGGGACAAGCAAACAAAGGAAGAAACCAAAAAGGACACAAGTGAGGCAGGAAAAGGAGCCACAAAAGAAGATACTGAGGAGAAAAAGGGGGCTGAATCAAAACAGGATGAACAAGAAGAGAAGAGTGAAGTGAAAGAGAAACCTGTGGCTGATGGGCAAGTCACTGAATCGCAAGAGGAGGCTAAAGGCGAAAAGGAAGTTGAAAAAGAAGTGATTATTCAGACAGAGCAAACTGATTCAGGAGATGCTGCAAAGCAGGATCAGGGTGAAGAGGTTTCGGCTGATCAAGACAAGAAACCAGAGGAGTCAACAAAAACAAAGAGCCAAGAAGACAAACCTGAATCTGTTAGTGAAGAAAAAGGCAAGGAAATTACAGATGAAAAGCAACCCGATAAACCAGTGGAGGAACCACAAGGTGGAGAAGGAACAGGTAAAGCTACAGCAGAAGTAAAGGGAACACAATCTGACCAACAGCCAAAGGTGGACAAAGAAGCAGTGAAAATGGAGGAAAAGGAAGTGGAGAAAGACAAAAAGAAAGAGGAGAGCAAAGACAGTGATGGAAAACACTGAAATCTTCAGAGGTAAAGAATGTTCAAAAGTCATAGATGTGACTGAAGCAAAGATACGGAGTGAGGCAGTCCATCCATTAAAAAACAGGATCTGAGATCATTACAAATTGTGCAGCTACACAAATGCAGAATTCTCAAAAACGATTTTGAAGCAACATTTAGACGCAAGACCAAAGAAAATGGCAGAAGGAAAATCTTCAGCTGCTCAAACTATATGATGAAAGAAGTAAGCAAAGATATACCATGGAGTCATTAAAATAGTAAGAAAAGCCAACGCTTTAATCAGCACTGAAAAAAGACCATCGATAGAACAGATAATTAAAAAAAAGCACGTTGAACATCAAAAAGATCAAAGCTACCAGAAAGTAAATCACAGAAATACACGGTGAAATAGATTGTCTTATTTGAATGCTACTGCCGCTTGAATACTTGCAGAATTAACCATCGCTGTGGGGGTGATTGACAATGTTTTTGAGTTGTGTAAAACTGTTTTGCCTTGTAGAAAACAGTCCACAAGAAAAAATACCATTGTCCTGTTAATTAAATACATGGTAATGTAAAAAGGTGGAGTCAGATGTTTAAGCTACTTGAACAGATTACTGGGAGGAAATGAATGCAATTAAAATGCACTGTTAAAGAACTTGGATGTGTTTCATTCTTTTTTTTGAAAAAAACTGGTCCATCTTTAATCTAACAATTGCATAATTGTACCACATAATAAATGTAGGGCATTGTGCCCCTTTAATCTTTAATCCTTGCAGAGTAAAATGCCCCTACTTTTCACTCTGCAAAGAGTTGACTCTTGCTGGGGATACGTTTCTATGGACCCTGGTCACATACTGGCATTGGGTGCAGCAAACCATTCCTGGGCAGAACCATCACCTACCACGACTGTCCTCGCCCAGTGTCCCCACCGTGCACCTCCCGGCACTATCTATTTTACCCTCATTGGGAGGAGGGCATTTTGAATGTTATTCACTTTCAAATTCTATCTGCACTCCTGTGCCTCAGCTGATCTCAGAGGCTTCGATTGGCCTCAGCACCACATGATAACAAGGAAAAAATAATGGCAGGACTTTCACAGAGGAATTTTTAATACATCCTGTGTAAGGGTAAATGGGTTGCTGTGTTATTTAAAATATAATTAGTACAGAGCACTATAAACCTTCTGTTCAATCTCTCTAGATCCAGCTCAAACACGTTGTCTGCTGCACCACCTTGTGGTGTCATTAGCTGAAGGTGAAAGTGGCAACTTGCATGAAGCAAAGAAGAAAAAGGGGTGGGGAGTTCATGTGCTTTGGTTGAGACGTTAAACTGAGATCTTGTAAATAGAATTGCTGGTTTTCCGGACAATCACTTAAATGCTAAACATGTTTTTTTGAAAAATGTCGATAGTAGCGGAATTAAAACCCTATTATGAAACCTTTTTGGCATAGCCTACACATCGACAATACAATTCTGAATATTTTCCATTCATGCTTAACAAGTGATAATCCACTTGATGGGTCTCCACTTACCCTTACTTTAAATAGTAAACACATCTTGCTTTATCAAAGATGCTTCCAGCTGTGCATTTCATATGAAAAATAATTATTTTAAATTGTTTCTTTTGAATTGAGAAACCATACCAGAGTTTCTTAAGTCTACTTATACAATGTGCTGCTCTATTAGGTTATAATCCAAAGGGTTTTTTTCTGTAATAAGTTTGATTGAGATTTCTGAGTCACAGGAGCTTTGAATTCATACATTGCCTTAAATTCTATTATTCCTTCTGCAAACAAGATTAATTCCCACATTTGTCAACGGGCATTCCCAGTTATGTCAACGGGCAGAACCAATCAAATTTTGAAGCACAGTAATTCTCTTTTTAAGAAAATATTTTTAAAAAAAGTTAGCCCAATTTATAGGGATATAGGACATGTTTTTTTGGCCTCTTTAATTTTGAATATCCAACTTTGATCAAGAACTCAGCTTCCACAAAATAAATCCATCATGAGTGAAAAGACAGTCTTTAGTGCCACCTACTGGCTAATTCTCTTTCGCTTGAGGCTTAAGTAATGGTGTGTAATAATAGTAGACCCAGTCGTTGTACACCACTTCTGATCAATTTCACTTAACAAACAGCTGACCCACAAGAAGGTTGAGCAGATGCAGTGGTTTGTTACACCAATATGATTAAAACAGGTTTCACAAGGCTGATAGAATGGCTCTGTGTAACTCAGCTGATACAATATAATAATAAAGATAATTCTTGCAATTGATATAACGCCTTTCACATTGGGAGGACATCTCAAAGCGCTTCACAGGATTAACTAGTGACATTTTGAATACCAATTTGTTCTGATTTAGCTGATCTGATTTAGGAATTGATTGTGATGTTACAATTGACTTTAGCGTTTTTGCATGAGTGAAAGGAATGAATAGAAAAATTCAATCAGGCTTCCCATTCCAAATGATCTGAACATTAAATAGCCAGGACATTATTAACATGCAGCTGCACATTATTCGGAAATACTAAATGTTTTCTCTGATTTCTTGCTGTCTCTTTTAAGAACCTATGCATTTAATACATATCTGTACCACACGCTATAAACCTCAAGATGTACAATCTGAATCGCTATCAATTTTCTACTGTAATCGCAGAAGTCCACAATTTAATTGTTATTGAATGGGCACCAGTGATGTTTTACTGTTGATATCTGCAGACTGGTTTATTGATAGTATAATGAATGACTCTTTCCGATGTGTACCATTCAACGCTAACACTGAGATGCACATTCAGAGCAAACCATCAATCAAAACGGTTACAAATTCAACGCTTGAGATGTACAGCAGATAGTCACTCCTTGTGGCATTGAATTGTTTCAATTAGATAGCACTATCAGCCATAGCACTGACAATTAATGACATCAATGGGCAGTATTGCTTAAAAGATCAATCAGCTACAATCTTTTGTCAGCCCACACGAGCATTTGAGCTCATAATTTAAGGTGGCACACCAGTGCAACAACGAGTGTTGTGGCACGAGCCTTCAGATTAAACATAATTTCATGGGCCGAATCTACCCGTTTCGGTTGTTCAGGTAGATGTAAAGTCTCTATGCCACTATTTTACTTATATTCCACTTATACTAATGATACATAACCTGAAATGGTCATTGCCACTTTAGCAGCACAACAGAATATACAGAATAGTATGTCTTATATCACATTTGTGATGCAACGGTATAGAAAAATAAGCAACCCAATAGCTCAGGCAGTCTGAACACGAGTTACACCTGCAGTTTCAAGCAGCCAGCAGCTCAGCTCTAGAATTTCCAAATGTCATTTCATCCTTCAATAACAGCACACCCCAAGCTCACAGCACAGTGGATCACAAGAGGCTTGAATGAAGGTTCTGTTGAGCAATTTCTTCTCATTCTTCGAATACAGTACCTTCTCTATTGTCTTTCCATTGCAATAGCAAGCAGCTTTGCAAATAATCTGCTGCTCTAAAGCATGGCACTCAGTTGGTCCAGGAATCTCACAGGTTAGCATTGAGGGGGTAAATCAAAAATAGCACATGGAGTGTACGATGATTTAAGTTCGATATGAAGCTGTAGTTTGGAAACGAGTTTAATCAATTAACATTATTAAAAACTGGCTGTCATGTTGGGCAAGAAACGACTTGCATTTATTATGTTTATTATTAAACTCGTTCGACAAGTTTCACACAAAATTAATGTAAAGAAAACCCTCCAATCAGGGGCTCCTTATTCTTAGAATTTCTGGATGAGGGATTCCATATTAGGGAATGAAATATTTACAATTTAAAAATACACATTCTCTTTTCCCTGCCCTTTTTTTTTTACAGATATTGTTCACATTACAGCTTTTTAAAAAAAACTTCTAAGATCAAACCCTGATTCTAATTATCTATTAAGAGTGAACCTTCCTACAATGCAATCTCCAGATTTTGTGGATGGCAAATGGGGTTGGTCTGCTTATCACATTATCTCCAGTATCAACTGAAGTCAACACAGAAGCAAAGCTTTTAATGTCTGTAACCAAAGATCTTGCAATTGTTTTAGAGTAATAGATGGACAGGCTGCCTCAAAAAGATGGCTGCTTCTTCTTATTCCCCAAAGATAACACAAACTTTTTTNAAAAAAATCTAAGTTGTTGTACATGGGGCAGATTCAACTAGTTTCAGTGACTTCTAATGGTATCCATCAAGGCACTGAGTAATCAAACATCCTTCAGCTGGGACTGAACACAGCTAATGTAATGTCAATTACGACCTGACATTTGCAATTATATCAGTTTACCATACACCACTCTATCCCAAACGTTGAGAAATGCAATTGAAGGGGGGTAAATTCAGAACAAATCTGTGGAAACACTACTTCAGTGAGCAAGTAGTAAACATACTACTTGTTCCCTAGGGAGAAGATGGAACAAAATAGGTTTCTGTTAAATAATGTCTTGGGATACAATATATAGTTTGGGACACGACATGTCAAGCAACGGCCATGATGGCAGAAGACAAATAGGATGGACTTTGGTCTTCGTTCGCCTAGCAAATTTTTATGTTCTTATTTTAGGGCTTCAATCCACGTTGAGTATTGAGAATTCCTCCTTTCCCAGTGACCCTCAAACTGGGCACATGATAAATAGTTGCCGTTGACATATTGAAAATAGATAAGCTGGAGAAGGAAGTAAAACAAATATAACTTCGTAACTCACTGTGTTTATTCCTTTTTATTCAGCATCAGTCGTTATGGGTTCGGGATATCGAAAATAAGTTTTGGAATAATTTGCTATACACTGAGAATCCATAAAATTTTAATTGCAACGTGGATAATTTCAATTTATCCAACTGTAGGTGGACTGAAAACACCACGACGTCTCAAAATAGACATTAAACCAAAAAACATGCAGCCACAACTGAGTTTGTAAAGGTCAATTTCATTATTAGGAGACTGGTGTAATAACAGTTAAATAGATTTTAAATAATATAGAAATGAGTGTCCTACGACTTCGGTATCGTCTGCGACATAACCAATTTCACTCAAAAAACAAAATGACAGTTTAAAGTATTAAAAATACAAGTACGTGGTTGATTCGAAACATCCCTTTCAGAAACGCCCATTGGTCATGTTGGAAATACAGAATAAGGCCAAATGCTGCTTTCTTCCGATATCCCTTTGTCATTGAAGGTAGGAGGTGGATATCTCAAGCTTCCAATTCCAGACCCAGGCCAAGTTTGTGGCCCCCAGCATTGATTGACTTTCCATCAACGAGGGCAGACAGAGTGAGTTTAATACCTGCAAAAAAGGTAACAAGGCGTAAAAATACTTTATTGTCAAATTACTTGCTCTTTGTAATATATAATGTATACAGAAACATCAGTACCTAAGGGAGTTATTCAGCCCTTCTAATGGTAGCTTCTCACTGGAGCCATTTACTCTAATAATAATCCTTGTGCACAGTAGTGTCGCACAAATAGTCATAGATTGAGTGACCAATTTATTATTATTATTTCCCTGCTCTTTCACTGAATCTTTTTAGTTCTTCATTCTTTGTTTTATTTCCCTTTAAATACTGCTTTGAACAGAAAGCACGGTCTCCAAACCTTCCCTTTAGTGTCAAGCAGGAACAACAACATCAACAAGATTCCATTTATAGAGCGCCTTTCACGTCGGGAGGACGTCCCAAGGCGCTGTACAGTTGGGTCAGGACCCGAGCAGGGGGGAGGAAGCAGCAAGCTAACTGATGGATGGACATCGCACAGACATAACTGGTAGCACGTATTTAAAAAAATGTTTTTAAGAATCCCCTCTGATGTCTCGGCAGACTACAATTAAACATCTCAAACAGCTTCATAATCAGTTCATTTGACGATTGGTGACCATTATTTGATACAACTGCTAATATCACATACAATTATAATCTTGGATAAATTCTGCAGAAAATGGTGCTTTCAAGTATTCACCCGTATTGTTTACCTCATTAGAGCAGCACAGCTTAACTTTGACAGGACACAGAATAAGTGTTATTAAAATGGATGCTCCACCTTAGCAACGTTGAGACACACTATTGCCTGGAAGGGCTCAGCCTTGCAGGTAAAGTAGTTTACATAGCACCTGACTTGAATCTCATGGAAATGGGTATCAACACGTTTTCAGTTTGTGGTGAGTAGTTTTGGAATGTATTAGGAATATATAACGCTCTGAAACAGTATTTGATCTTTGTTACACCCTACCAGTGCAGGCAAATAAAGCGAGTCAAAACTGATGACAATCTCGGAGTTCTGTTTTCAATGCTTCTCAATCTCCTGTCTCTTTATTATTAACTTGGGTTCAGCTCAGCAGCCTATTCGATGTAAGAGCAGTAGCTATGTGCTCTTCAGACTAACAACCAGCTGCTCAGTGAAGGCAGAGCGGGAGATTGTCTGGCCCCTTAGAAACCAGTGGAGCCAGAGTTCAGCTGCTCAGGTGAGATTTACATCTGGAATTTGCCAGATGTAAATTGTTTCACTTTTTCAAAATCGTAACAGCATCCTTAAGAGTGGATGTCAGTTGTCCTTGTGTACAATGTGCTCTCAACAGATGTCATTTTAGCATTTATAATTTTCCCCAACCTAATTCTTTATTGTAATACAGACGGGGAAGTTTTTTTTATCAAACTTCATGTCTTACTGGTGGTCAAGTTGTTTCTACAGTGGTGTCTTGTTATAAGGTGGTCTTTGGGGTCCATAAAATCATAACCAATCTTGTAACAAAGGCTGCAATCCTGGGCTTTTAAAAAAAACATGCAGAACGTAGGAAATGCTGTCGTCAGTGTGGACTGGAAGTTTGCCATATTAGCAGGAGAGTCAGCTGCATACATGCGCAGTAAAAGAGGTCCACGCCCCAACTACACTGGAACCAGCTCAGGGATAGAGCGATCGATTTGCATAAGCAAATGTTGGTCAAAGATTCCAAGCTCCTGGAAATTCTACTCCATGCCAAATTCCCAGGCGAGAAGCAGAGAAAATGCTTACATTGAATGGTGGCCCATCATGAATAACTCTGGAAAGATAAGAGATGGCTGGTCACTTACCTGGCCTAAGAGTCTGGGTGTAACCTACTCCAATTAAACTGGAATTGTTGACCTTTGCCTGAAACAGATTAATGAGATTCAGCAAGGATATATTCTATCGGCCAAATGCTTTATAATTGGAGCGGAAAAAGAGAACCAAACTCACAGAAATGGAAGCAGTAGAATCAAGCTGATATTTAGCAGCAATGCCAAAGCGGGTACTGTTGTTTCCCGCACTCCAGGCAAGATTTACAGCTGTCTCCAGGTTGTCGCTGACCTTCTGGTAGATTGAGCCTCCAAACTCTGCACCATCATTCCTAGAGATTTAAACTGGGTCACTTCACTTGCACCATTTTAGAAGTACGGATGCAAAGATTCTACTTAGAGGTATAGGAAATCCCCTCCCTCCCGAATTAGTTTCATTTCTTCAAATTACAAGTTACTCAGTCACTTACCTAAATGCTTGACTAGAAAAATTTTGAACTGAAGCCCTCATCTCTTTAATTGCACTTATGCTACTAAATACATTAAGATGTTAGCAGCAACATTAAATTCTACACAGGCTATATCTGTATGGTATCCCATCTTTAAAACTATGAATACAACTTACACATTAGTGTGTAGCTGGAAATCGCCGGTTTTGTAGCCCACTGCAAAGTTGTTCTGGGTCAGTTTTGATTTGGCTGTATCAAAGGACATTTGATAACCAACAAGCCATCCTTCATAAGCAGCTACAGCTGAACCATGAATGGTTGGGCCTGCAAAGTCAAAGTCCACGTCACAACCCAAGTTCAAATATTCACGCTTGAAAGCACTCTTGACTCTGCCACTCTTCTTCCTGAAATTGCAAAATGAGTCAATGTAAACATTTATTGTATAGAAGCATCTAACATATAGACCATTCATGTTAAAGATGTTGCGAATTACAGTGCTATAATTACCCCGTGTTAGGTGAGAAGGTAGTATCAAATGTCAACTTCAGACCTTTGGCAAGCTAACAAAGAAGAGAAATGTTACAGTGAATGATCCGATAAGGAAATATATTCTTTCCTGAGCTAAGTAAAACACACACTATTCACTTATCCTCGAATTGAGTTTTTGTAAAAAAAATGCAAAAATCAAAATCTCAATTGGACTGTAGTGCTTACTTTTGTCTCAGCATCATATCCCATGATAAGCTGGTTCATATCCTAGGTTTCTCCTTTTTACTGATCAACAATGCACACTTCCTCATCTACAAAGTAAAACTCAATACAAAATAAGACACAGTGCCAATCTTATTAAAATAGTTACCTGATCTTCAATTGCAATTTCTGTCCCCAAAGTATTATCAGTGTTCCATTTCTCTGTGAAGATGAGTCCATATTCAGACCACTTGTACTTAGTTTCCAAGCTTCCCGATACTTTGGCAGTTTCAGTGTTTGATAAACCGGAAGTTGTAAATTCCTGTTAAATTGAGAGAAAAAGGCATTTAGTCTTCTGAATCTGACAATTCATGTGCAACTGGAACCTTAAAGCTTCTGCACAAGTGAGCCAATACAGCTATTCACTGCTGCCTGTACACAAAGTCTGCCAATTTCAGATCAAAAAGTCACGCACAGAAATTCTGGTCAGCATCACAGGCAATATCTGCCACCAAATGAGATTTCCCTCATTATAATCGCACATCACCCCAAAAGTTGATCCAAATTTTAACCCACTAGTTGCATATTTTGGATTATCATTTTAAAATATACTTATTCACTATTAAGCTACCCATTACACTGCACGTTAGCCAACTCAGTCTATAAAATGAAGGGTCGCCACAGTTTAAAAAACGAGTGCATATGATCTCTGACAAAGGACTATTTCTTTTGAAACTTTTTGAAAATAAAAGCTAGGACATACGATTGTGGTCGTGGTCAGACATCAAATGGTGTTCCATTTTGGGAACCCCATTTCAGGAATACCAGCCTTAGAAAAAAAATTGCAATGATTCACCAGGGATTAAAGAAATTAGTTATAGAGTTGTAGATGTTACAAGGGGTAATTTGACTGAGGTGTTTAAAATAATGAATGATACTGACATGTCATCTAGGGAATGACACAGGGAAATCCAGAACAGGAGAAGGATAAAAGTGAACCACCAGGGTTATGGATTGCACAATCCCAGAAAGCCATAGATTCAGAATAAAGGGTGGGATTAGAACAAAAAAAATGAGAAATTGCCTTGAAGATAAAAAGCTGCTGTGAGGCATCTAAAAGACGTGAAAAGCACTGTATCAAAATGCAAGCTTTATTATTAACAAGGAGACTGGATCAACAGACTGATAGACCAAATGGCCTCATCCTGTGTTCCGTGAATATACATGGCTATTTTTACACTACACATCAGTACTTGCTTATTTAACTGCCAAAAATAAGGGCGTCAGCAATCAGAGGTTTGAAGGACCAGTTAATATTCTGCATATCATTTAATCTGTATACACTGCAGGTCATTGGCTTGAGGTATTCATACAGAAAAATTTTTCACATCAATGACATGGACCAATATCATAGATAGTTCACTGAATACTTCAGAACTGATACCTTGAAAAAGCAACTTAACTCTTGGAATGCCACTGATTGCTTACTTCTCCAACAACTGTTGTTTTAAAGACTAACTACAGTCCTTTTTGCTGGTATGAAAGTCACATCAGTGATGTTACCTTGTCAATAATCGGGGTCTGGAAACCCAGGCATTAAAGCCAATTGTCAACCAACCAAACGCTTGTTAAAACAAACATCTTCTCCTCCAAAATGAAAGGCTGCATATAAAGACTACTTTAATTTCCTCGTTCTGGATTGAGCAGAATGCATATTGTCGTCACACTGCTCAGGCCACTCCTACGCCTGCTGCTCAGATACAAGCAGAAAGAAGTCTATGGCTGCAGAGAAAAGTGCTGTTGCCAGCAGAGCCATTGCATAAACCCAGCAAAGCTCAATCAGTTCTTGTTATTGCTCCCGGGTGTTTTAAAGCAATGGAATGTAATTCATGAGGGTGGCTTGCTTGAATTTTGGCTGCATTTGGCTGGCACCAAGTGCAATAGACAAACAGCCAGGGCACTGCATACTGACACACAAGGAAAAACAAGCACCAACAGTTGTTCAAATCCACATTCTATTCTATTACCAATCAAGTTAAAAATCTAACTTAAATATGAAAATACCAACTTTTTGTTGCAAGATGAGTTATTCAGGGTTGAAAAAGGAAAATGGTTTAAAGTCTGACTCTTAGGACCTTAATAATGATGGTTCCACACAAAGCAGAACTCTTTTAGATGCTGACCACCCTAACTGGTAGGGCTCTGGCTTGCAAGGTCAACAGGAGCTGAGTGGGAACAATCAGACCCTAGTAACTGATTTGCCCCTTCAAGTCCTGCTCGTGAAAAGGAGAAACAGCTTTTTGGATCAAAAATTTCACCAGAATGCAAGAACCACACCTATCTTACTGCCTCAAATTGTCCCACACTAGAGTAGGTGGTCATATTTCACATGCAATTAACCTTCGTTATACTTTGCAGTTTTACTTGCCACGCCCGAGCTCTGGCACAACTAGTTTTAGAGACTGACACGATCTCAAGCTTGACAACCTAAACCTTATCCCTCAGAATGAGACTAGAATAATAAGAATCCTTGCATTTGATATAAAGCCTTATCACGTTTTTGAGACGTCTCAAAGCACTTCACAGAATATACTGTGAAGTATATTGACTGTATATTTTGTGGGCTAAACTAAATGGATACGGTGTGAACTACATTCAGGGGGAAAAAAAACAATATATCTGTACACAATATTCTCATATGTAATATTCTGCATATATCTTTCAAGTTATTATGCTACGAAGTTCTGCTAAATCTTCACATTTTTCTTCAGCAAACAGCAAATAAAGCTGTTTAGGGAAAACGCTTTAGATATTTTGTCCATTAAATAGAAACCTGACAAAAAAATGTTCAAAATAATCATGTATACATGTAATATTTTATTTTTATATATATATATATATATAAAATAAACTTACCACTCCGCTTGCTGACTTGGTTTTCACTTCAAGCTTTACCAACCCAAAACCTAAGGAACAGAAAAATTATTAAACTCACTTTAGATCTTTTGTATTTATACAAAATTTGCCATTCCAGAAAGAACGCTACTGTGAAATAATAATAATCCTTGCACATGATTTAGTGCCTTATCACGTCTTAAGAGACATCTCAAAGCACTTCACAGAATATACTGTCAAGTGAATTGCCTGATTATTTTGTGGGTGAAATGTGACAGCCAATTGCGTACAGCAGTGTCCCACAAACAGTCGTGGATTGAGTGACCAAATTATTATTATTTTTGATGGGATTACTACCCACGGAAAAGTGATCCGCCAATCGACAACAATCGTTTTCCTCCTTACTGCTAGGTAAACAGACGTGTGTGGGAAGTAAGGAAACTTACCCGACGTTTCGCCCTACCCGGTAAACAAACCCAGGTCCTCTCGGTTGCGAGGAGAGTGCTCTGACCACTAAGCAACAGGTCTCCAAATATTTTAGTCACCTCCAAAAGCTCAGAAATGGAAATCTTATCCTTAAAAGTTACTTGCTGCCCTGAAAGCCTAGATGTTAATGGTTCCTTTAGGATTGCACAATGCAAATCATTTTACAGTATATTTTGTGAATATTGTACGCTTTAAAACATCTTTAACAATGTGATAAGGCGATATATCAAATGGAAGGATTATTATTATTATATAGCATCCTTTGCGTGGCATAGCATCTCGGAGTATCATCTAAGCCACTCACATACTTCCCACAGATGGGCTCAAAAACACAGAGGATTGCTAGGTCAATATGAGGTAAGGAGGAACAACGTGAAATTAAAATTGTTCTCTCAAATACTAAAACTAAATAGGGTAGAAATACTTTACCATAGCCTTTGTTGAAAACATCTCTGGCTGACTTGCCAAGGTCTACGTATGATGGAGGTACAGCCATTATATCTGTAGAGGAAAAAGATAAATAATGAAAAAAAAATAATATTGTTTCAAATAGTAATGCAAAACAGATTTGTTAAACCATTTTAAGGTATTTGGTATTCTGTTCAACTGCCTGATAACTTGAGTAAATGGAAATTTCTGATAAACCTAAAAGTGAATTAAATTAACGTTGGGTCAGATCTGGTGGATATTGAAAGATTCTGTAGCACTAAATTAAAGGAATATTCTTCCCTCAAACAAGCTCGTCATAAAACATCAATTGGTTATTTGTTTCATTACTATGAATATAGGCCATGACAACAATTTGCAATTATATAGCACCTTTCACGAAGTAAGGACATCTCAGAGCATTTTCCAAACACAGAACAGAAGGCTAAAGGTCGAAGAGGATGGGTTTGTGGGTGATGGCACTGCACTCATTTAAGAAACATGTTCATGCAGTAATGCATAAGCAACATCTCAGTGCATTTCACCTCAGTCAAACCTCCTGGTGCTCTCCGTCATCCCTTCTTTGCTGCCAAATATTAAACTGCCCACATGGAAACCTCAAGGTCTATATAATTTACAGGTGAAACATTGCATTTGCTCACCCTCAAACAAATTACTGCCAAGAAACACTTATATAGACTCATTATATTATTCCAGTTAGTTCTTGAAATGACAGATGTGAGAATTTAAAGCTTGATGGAATTGCAGAATAGCGAATACTGAATAACTCTACAAAAATGTAAGTGCCTATTGATATTCAAATGAAATGACCCCTTGAAATTCCTCTGCTGGGTAAAAATCTACCATCCCAAAAAAACATTTACCGCCTCAAGCTGTGTAGCAATTCACATATATTGTTTTGTTGCAATCTCTCACCCAATCTATACAGATATGCTATCTCAAGACTCAATTACATAAAACCAACAGAAATGAATCAGCTATAGGCTCCCCCGACCAAATGTTACAGGGAATATTAATGAAAACCCAACTACTGAGTCCTTATCTTAAAGGGTAATGTCATCGGGCATAAGAGTTTATTATCAATCTGATCTTTCACAACACATAATGAATGATACCTCAACATGAACAAGGCACTAAAATGAAGAGTTCATGAAAACTAACCCGAACTGCTGCAATGAACAGACGTGACATTAACTACTTTGAAAGTCAACAAAGCTTGCTTTTCTCCAGTAATGCAACCTGGCAACATAGCTCTAAGTAATTAAATTTTTCCGCATCCTAGAATCACTTTCAAAATACCCCATTATAGTCTACAGTCAGTATGTTCTTTATAATAAATACAGTTTAAATACACTGACTTTAATTTACTGGGTTTGTACTGCTTTTATATATTTATGTGGGCAAGAGTTACACTGCTCACTAAGCGCCTTGTAATGTTGATGACAGTCCAGGCAGCTTGGTTTATTTGCCGCGTGCGGAGGAACAAACTAAAAAATGTGGGTTGAGATTATTTCCATTTGGCACCCATTAGCCCATCATAACAGGTAGAGTGATCCGAGCTGGACAAGAAGTAGGAAGCTGGTCAGTGTTCTCAAAGGTAAACTGTGCACTTTAAGCTAGTTAAATTCCAACATCAAATTCCAGACATGCTTTTTGCCTCAATTTAGACAATATTGAATAGTTACTCAGTTGCAATAAGAAGCAGTTTTTATTGTAAATCTATTTCAGAAAACATGTTCAAAACAAATCTTCATTATTTGATTTTAAAAAAAGGAAAGGTCAATTTTCATTTTACAACATGCCTGCCAATTCAAATGACAAATCGCAAATTCCACTGGTCTGATTGTCAAATAAAAATTTAAAAACGTACTTTAAAAAACTGTTTCTTGTAACATTTTAATTGCATCTAAAGTTTCTGAGTTCTCATTTTCACCCATAAATCTTATAATACTGTAATAATCCTTGCATTTGATACAGTGCTTTACCACATCGTTGAGTTGTCTCAATAATAATAATAGACAAGCTTTCTACGTAGGCATAGACTATCTCTTCAACTGGCCAAACAAATAAAGAAATTCGAATTCAAGGATTGTGCATAACACAACTGACCATTTTATAATATTGCACGGAACTGCATCAGGAGTTTGTTATCTGAAAGTCCGTCTGCTGAAACTGAAAACTACAAATGCAGTTAACAGTATGTCGCAGGAGGCAGAGTCCTGCATTTTCTGCTTCAGCTTGAAAAAGATATAAGCGTTGAAAGTGGATTAATATTCTGAAATGTATTTCCTGTTGCTAAGCTAAAATGAACAGTAGAGGAAAGAACACAACAGTCAAACAGAATACAAAATCTAAATCATTTCCAACTGCAAGACAAATGTCACTGTCTCTCAGGAGAAACAAGTATCATTTGTATTTGTCACTGCAGAACTGGGATCAATCCCTTTGTTTGTAAAACAAGTTAAAAGTTCAACTGGGACATTAACATTCAAAAGAAAACCAAGCTGCACATCCATGTGCAACTGTATTCTTGATCATTCCACTTCCTAATTTACCATCTTTAGAGGCACTTTTCAATTAACAACTGATCAAATAAAACACGATGGCATGGCAGTAAACAAGATTACAGAATCTGCATCACATGCAAGGAAGGAAGCAGCTTTGCTTCAGTCACAAAGATATTGCAGAAAATCATGATTTATCACAGTAACTTTCAACTTGAACCAAACTAAGATTACAGCACATTGTAGCTTCATCCGTTCAATTTCAAATGAAGGCTTATTGCTGGTCTCCAGAATTCTAAGCACATTTTTCAGCCACAAGCTAAATATGCAAAATGAATGCTTCATAAATATCCAGTCATTTCAAAGTTTTAAGTATGAATGGTGGCCAATACTGTATTATATACCATAAAAGTGTAGAATGTCCATGTTTTGGTTGAACTCCCTTCATTCATGGATTCAATTTCATAGAAAGATTTCTAACATTCTGGGAATTCAGGATTTTTTTTAATTGAGGAAATCATCCCATTTGACACAATGAAGTCTTTAAGTCTGCACCCAAACAAGGCATTGGAATCAGGAGGGGTTATCCAAAATATAAACAGCTTGTATTTAATTGAATGGTTTCCAACCCTAAAGTAAGCAGAAACATCGCTAGCAGAATGAAAACAATTGAAATGTTAAATTAGTTAAAATAGTATGAAAGTAGGTGGATCCTTTCTTCCAGTGCACAAGATTGCCCTCAATATGGGGCTGTGCCCATCCAACTGGGATGCTCTTTACATTAGTGTCAAAAGCAATAAATCAATCAGCTTACAGCTGCTTTTTAGGGAAGGTATGGCTCAATATTTAGGAATAGATCGGCGTCCTGTCTAAACCCACCAAGTCTCAGGGCACCTACAATTGTGCAAAATAAATTTGGAAAATTAAAAGGTTCTGCCTTACACAATGAAAAAGTCAAAATCTCGATATGTCAAGGTGTTCACTTCAATACAAACCAGCAATAAAATTTGCTGGTGCTGGTTTGCAAATTTATTAATAGTATTCTCACAAGTTGTACTACATACAACCTCAGGACAGCCATTACAAATATCATTCGACGTAAATGACAGGGCTGACCCTACAGAATCCAATGACATTCAATCTGCAACAACGCCCCAGCCCGTAATACACGGTCCAACGCTGTCAATGGATCGCAGGATTTTACAGCATTCCTCNTTTTTTTAATGTAGGGAAAAATGTAAGCGTAACTGAGCAGAACAACGCAAACAATAAGATGCACACAGACAGCAGACCCACCCCCAAAATGCGCACACACGCACACACACGCACACACACAGCAAAACGCATCAAGGCATTTAAAATAGTCTTCAAACAAAAGGATGCACAATCCGGACTGTGTACGCGAAATTCAAACATAGAAGGGAATGGGGGCGTCTGTCCTTCTCCCCCTCCCGATGTGTAGGCAAATGCAGACCTTGGCACTTAAGGGGGAAGGTCGAGGTCACGGCATTCACCTTGAATCGTATTATTTGCTCCTTCATATGAGAGGGGTTTCAGCCGCAGACGGGCGCTCGCTCTCGGCCCCAGACACTCAAGTCCACACATTCAATCCCCTCCCCAGAGGCTGTCCCGACATCTGGGCTCAGCCTCGGGGCTCCTGCTTTCCCCCTAAAGCTGGACGGCGATCCCGGCGCCATCTTGACATCTTCCCGTCATTTGCAAACCCCCCCCCCCCCCCACAGTCACATCACGCCCAGGGTCGAAAGAGAAAGAGAAACTACGCTTTGATCGTTTAATAAAGCCGCGGCTCCGCCCGGTGCAGAGTCCGGGACAACCACGCGGAGCGGATCCCTCGGGAGGGAGAGGGAGGGAGGAGGCGGCGATGCGCAGCGGGTGACAACCCGGGGGCGGGCGGGCGGGCGGGCGTTCCTCTCATCGCAGCCCCAGCGCCCGCGGCATGAAGCAGCCGCGCTCCCTCCCTCCCTCTCTCTCTCTCTCTCTCTCTCTCTATACCCGACACTCGCTTCTCAACCGAGGGGTCAACACCCAGGACAGGCCCGAGCTCCGGGCCTAGCGGCGGCGGCGCATAATAACGAATAAAAGTTGCGATGTTTAAGGAGAGAGAGGGAGAGGGAGGGGAGAGCGTGGCTGGTGGGTGTGTGTGTGTGTGTGTGGGGGGGGAGAGGCGCGCCGTGGCCGCTCACCTGGCGGGTGTCTGCGGAGCGGAGCGGTCGGTGAGTCAGTCGCTCGGTCTCCTCTCCGGGGGAAGGGCGAAGTGAAGGAGAACGACGCCGCGCCTGCGCACCAGCCAACGGGGCGGTGCCCGGCCCGGGCCTGCGCACTAGCGGTGGCTCGTGCGTTCTGCGGTCAGGCAGCGCGCTGGACAGCTCCTCCGAGGGCCGCCGCCGAGGGATGGAGTGGGGGGGGGGGGGTCCTGACTGCACTGAGGCTACAAGGTGTGGCCCCGGGACAGGAGAGGACAGGAGAGCGTCACCTCTCGGGAGCTGCAGACCTCCACCACTCTGCCTTGTCCCCCCCCCCACCCCTCCCCCTCTTTATATGACATGACACTTGATTGAAAACCTTCCTCTTCGACCGTTGCTTCTTTCTTCCCCCTCCCCCCCCACTCCCCTTTTCCCAGCCCACCTTTTAAGATCATAATCCTTGCGATTTGGGTAACGCGCCTCATCGTGTCGGCCGCAATGCGCTGTAAAGTGGAGTGACTTGTGTCCTTTGCGCAGCAGCCAGTTGTGCGCGTCAAATGTCCGTGGTCCCCCCCCCCCCCCCCCCCGCAGACAGCCCTATAGCGAGCGAGCGATCCATTTTTATTTGCGGGGTGTCGGCCAGGACACCCTTTCTATTTTCGATTAGCCCCAATGGATCGGTATAACTGCACGTTGTTGTTGTTGTTGCTGCTGCGGCTGCGGCGGCGGCTGCCGCCGAGGCTGCTGTGTAGCGCTAGTAAGAAAGTAGGAGTCAACAGCGAAGCAGACTGCTGCCATGCTTTCCTTTTTTTTTGGAGCTGTTGGAATACTTTTTGATGCGTCCCAAGATCCGAGGACGTGGGACAGCAACGTCCATTCAACCTTCACGCGGGGTCACGTCTCCCAGAGTGCTGAACAATGGCAACACGGGGAGAAAGGAATTCGGGTGCAATTTCAAGAGAGGCAAGGCGGAATTACTGAGGCAGGAATTTCCAAAGATCTCAGGGTTGTCAGAGTTCGCATATTCATTTAGTTGAGATATCATTGATTTAGGTACTGTAATAATCTACAACTCCACTGATCAGCCTTAATTCTCTCACCAAAAAGGACATTTTTAGTACAAGCACTAATCCAGATTCCAAGGTCACTTTAAGACTAGATTGTGCAATAGATTGTGCAGACATAGAATGGTTACAGATAAAACACACATTTACCTAACACAAAGATTGAATAGAGGAAATTTGAAGATCACCTTGAAAAGTATCACAAAGCCAAATGTTGCCCTTAAAATGCTACTCAACAACAAATAGGCTATATGTTGAAAGTTAATATTATAAAGTGCTGAGGTGATCTTCTGAATTAAAAGGAGATGTATCCAATTAATTTATTATTAAGAGTATTGACTGTATTTGTAGGCAAACAAATATTGTAATAATAAAGGAGTGCTAATTAACCTTTATGGCGTGCTTCTTATTGGGATAAAGTGCAACAAATGGCAGAGAAATAGTATACCATCCATTTACCTCGACTTAAGGTCAGCATTTCCATTCATTCTCCAGATCCTGAGATTTGACAAGTTGAACACGATAAATTCCCAATAAATTATGTGCCATTCCCAATGGGATACATTATGGACACATCTGATAGACCTGGAAGTGTCTCAATTCCTCAATTGAGACAAAGAAAGCACTTTGACAACTTTTTAGTTAAATGTAGAACTTTATTTTCAAGTTGCTTTACACAAAACTATTTTAGAATGCTTAATAAACTTCAGTAAATGCAACAAACACCATCACTATGAAGGCGGAATTACATGTAGCTTACCGATAGTGCTCTGCAAAAAAACTGCTGTTTTAATAGTTTTCATTATTCATTAATTTCAACGGGATCATCTACAGGCAATGTTACAAAACTGAAAGATCTGAATAAATATAAACATCAAATGCATCTGTTCCAAGCTTATTTCATTAGTTGAACAGTATTGAAAAATAAAAAGCAACATAATGGAACACTTTTTAATGTCAGTGTTCCATTCAGATGATTGCAAAAATGTATGTTAAAAAAGTAAACATCTGCTTTTGGGTTGTGACCTTTTTTTGAAAGCCTTTTTTTTTGCATTGTGCTGTCATACATGGAGCAAAGAGACTTTATAAGACCAAACTTTGGAATTTTTGATACTGAATCCTTGCAATTGTATAAAGTAAGAACAAATAGGCAAGATTTAACAGGCTGCAATACATTCAATGGGATATACAAAGCATGTTATTCCAGTGTTAGAGCCTTGAAAACAACGTTAGAATACAGGACAGTAATTTTCCAGTTTTGCTATTCTGAATGTGGAAAATGCCTTCCACTGCATTGTCCTATAATTTTAAATATTATAATTTGCAATTGTATCACAAGCCTTCAAATCACCTTATTTTCATGCTTTAGCAATGTTGATCCACAATGGATTGGAAGCATTTAACACAGAAACTCCCTCTTGTCCCCTCCAGAATACATCATAAAGTTCTACTCTCATGACAACATAATAGGACAACAATGCATTGTGTGGAGTCCTCTCCCTTCACAAAACACTGAAACATAACTTTAGGATGTAACATGGAGATAGCAAAGGGTAGGTCTACCTACACAAAATATCTGGTTCTAGTTTGCTATAAATCAAAAGCAGAACAATATGGACAACTGATGGACAGTTTAGGCCTGTGGATAGCTCTTTATAAATTTGGGATTGTGGGACCATTNAAAAAACTCAAATTTCTTGTTTAATTCCTAAACACAAAGGACTCAACAGGTTTCCAGTTAAATGTAAGCCTTCATGTATTTTGTGGTTTAACATCTATTAATGAATAAATGATTTTAGAATGTATTAAACATTTACAATACATCCATTTAGCATATTGGTCTTGCATGTTGTGCTAACCTGGCCCTTTGGCTTTGGCTTTATTTTATGATTAAACCAAATGTACTGTTGTAAATGGAATATTTATTCAATTGTAACTTCAGCTGGTGAAGTTTTACAATAATAATATTTACAAGGAACTCTATCGCAGACAAGGAAATTAAATCTATGATAGGGTTGGAAATCAGAAAAAAAACAACTTAATGGTGCAAAGGAGACAAAACACATTTGCATAATTTTTTAAAGCAGCAGCCCAATTCTAGCACCAATTAGTGTCTGCTACCTGGACAACAGAGAATGAGAGGGTTAGAAAGTTACATCTTCAAAACACAGAGATCCACAGAACAAAAAAAATCTTAAAAGCTAAACATTTTCTGGCAAGTAAAAGACAATAATTTGTCCATTGGGAACACTACGTCAACCAAAAGGAGACACTTGCACAAGAGTAAAATAAATGATTCATTATCAAAACATTTGGCAGCTTGAATGGCTGACTTCATATGAAATTGCTACAACCATTTATTAACAAACCAGTTATGATAAATTTGCCTTGTAAATGTGGTACCTTCAAATAGTTTTAGTCCACAGTGCATGCAGATAAATTTCTTTCACATCCTCAAGAACTTGTTTCATCCCTCCAAGGTCTTCATATTCAGGTACTCTTTGCTACCAAAAAGATTTGCAACCCACAAGTTCAAAAAGCATAAAAAGGTAAGCAAGTTAAGCAAAATAAATCAATTGTAACTTTAAGTCATTGCTCAGCTACAATCATCAGTAATGTAAACATTCAGGAATCAAATCCAATATTTCCACAGTATTTAATCTCCATTCAGATCCAGCTTTGCATATAGTCTACAAGGCTGTTGCAAATAAAGCTCATCCAATTATAGCATTTTGGCTTTCATTTTAGATTATTGTGGTAACTGATGACAAATATGAACGGAATGACCTGGGGCTCAAAAAAGCTACTGTGTGAGATATACACATTAATCAGGCAGTTGTACATCGTTTGTCATGGTTTTCAGCACAAATTATTCAATTGTAGCCTATTAATACTAAGATAAATCAGTTGGCACAGATTTAGTGTCAAACACCATTGAATTGACCCACGACTCATTTTAAAATGTAAACTAATGGAAAGCGCAAGTGTAAGTGCAATTTTGAAATTCTTAATCCAGATCATTCCTTTACTCAGTAAACCTCACAGTACATCAATACTGTACCTGGCTTTAACAGGTTCAGCGTCAAAGATGTAAAATACTTTATAAATGTATATACATTTCTTAATGGAGATAAAAATGCCATGCTTCCAAATTTTATCAGGTAGTGAAAACATGTAAAGGTTATTGTCTCCCCACAAATAACAATGCAGTCTTATCGCCAGATAGTAACATACGTAAAATACCATGTAATAATGCATATCATTAAATAGAACACTTATTGTTTTAAATCAAAAATCTACCTGTCTTACGGATAATGCAGAGCCAATTATCAAAACCAAGCAAAAAGGAGCAAACCCTGTAAGTCAACAAAGTGCTTGTGATATACAACTTGCAGGTTAGTGCCACAATAACACCTCCAAAGGTCAAAGGATTAACATATTGGATAAGAATGGGATTTACAACCTAAACTATCAAACAGTACCATGCTCTACTTAGCCGAGGAAGGCTGCTGAATGATCTTGTAAGCTGTGCCTAATTGCGCTTTAGATGCTATATCAGAAATATGTGAACTGGGAATTCTAAGCAAAATAGACAGATCGCAGATTGAGTCCATAACTTTACAACTCTGAATTGAGAACAATTTTTTATATCCAAAAAAACGGTCTCATTTCTTTGTTTACAAGTTGCTGACATGGTTTCTAGCAGAGTTGCATCACACAGCTAATACTGTATGTAATGTTTTGAGGTTTGTATTGAGAGATGAAGCTACGAAAAATGTCACAAACAGTTATAGAGGTTTTAAAACAAAAATGGTGAGGACCAATACTAGATCGTTTATTCCAAAACAGACTAGTACGAGACAATTTTTTTTATTGCTTCAGGAATGGATGATTCATGAGTTTTTGGTTAAATGCTAATGTGGTGTTTAAGGAAATACAAAAGTTGAAGTTGTGAATGGAGGTGCTCCTTCTTAGATTTTCCCTGATTTTTGATCCCCACTAGTCTATGCGGTGTTTCTTTAGATGAGCAAAACATTGTTTCCCTGAAATAAAACAATCTTAGGAAAAAATACAAAATAGTTTTTTTTAATACCGTAAACATCCTCAACACATTGTGGAATCTTCAAAAACCTGCCAATACAAAAGTTCTTTCAAAGACCTTCTCTTACATTAGCCTTTTGGACATTGCAGCATTTCATTAATTTTAATTTCTCTGTTAATATTCCTCTTCAGGATATCAAAGTGTCATATTCAGCAGCGATACTTTTCCAAGACTGCAATTCCTTCTTTGTCTCTGCTATCAAAACTCACCTCTGCAAATTGACTGGGCAGAATGTTTACCTGTTGACAAACACAGTCAACACACTGCACAGTCACTATCTTGAGTAGGCAATCAAGATAGAGAATCTCTAAATCAAGACTGTTGGCCCATTTGGGAAAGCAGAACATAATTCCACTTAGGATCAACTGAGAACTTGTCAAACCATCAGTTAAACACCAGGTTCTCTCTTCTACTTCACATTTGTATCTGGCTTAAGCCATAGAGTTATGTCTGGATAGAAAACCAGAAACTGCTTCTTACGCTTCATTCCCCCACCCCCCCATAAATAATCATACTCTCAAAAACTACATCGCTGGTTACTTTAGTGTTGGTGACTTTTTAAGCAAACCATCTTTTTAATAATGGTGGAGTAGAAAATGGCCAACCATATTCATTGGGAATAGCACCATTGACATTGCACTCAAAGAATGAAAACATTGGGAACCAAATACGTGCTCTTCGGCTGTGCAGATATGCACGAGTATTAGCCAGAGTGTGGTAGTACAAAAAGAGTCTGGTGGTGATGTAAAATGCAATGAATACATCAATTGAATAATGTTCATGTGCAGCAAGAATGAAGAAGATCCCAAATAAGTTCAATACCCAAGACAAGGTATGCAAGAAGTTCCAGCTTCTTGGTGTATCTGGAAGGAAGGAAGAAAATAAAATGTTAAGAGCTCAGTTTATTTTAAATTGCTGCTAGTTCCAGGACGAATTTAGAAATGGAGCAGCTCAAACTATTTTGCTTATTCATTCACAAGTTTACGAATCAATACTGGTATTTATTTCCTTCATCACTTTATTTGTTTTAATTTAAAGTTAAAAACAAAAATCTTTTGTCTTAAAAACACATGAAAATATGAAAAATCTCTACTACGTCCCCAAAGTAAATGTATTCCAATACAAACTATAACAAACAAGATAATAGCACTTGAAGATTAGATATGGAACGAGAAACATTTATAATTCATGTAACAGAGAACTAGAATCCAGAGATGGTTGCACTTAAACACTACGTCAGAAGGGTCAGAATAAGTCATTTGAGTTGGGGGAGAATGGAAAGAGCCATTTGGAACAGATGTCCTGAAAACTAACAAAAAGATTAAGCTTTGGCTGAATGTGAATGAGTCTAGATAGAAATCTGTCATGCAATTCCTTAAAAATAACAACTTGCATTTATACAGCACCCCTCACGCAGGGTAATGTCTCAGGGCGCTTAAGATCACAAGAACAAAAAGAAAAATTTACTTGAATTAAAATGTTCACCAGAAAAAAAATTAAGGTGATAAATGGATAAAAGATATTTTCAGGCAGTTAGATTATTGGACCATTGAGCTCACCCATTTTTTTTTGCTACAGATTTCTTTAATAAATCCATCGATAAATTAAGCCCTTTGTAGCCTTTTTGTTCCACCATTTACATATCTGAGAGTCATTTGTTTCACTTGATACAAGGCCTTTACGTAAAAAAAAATTCCTGCATATCCTATTTTATGTTTTTTTTGGAAGATGTGAACCCTTGTTCTTGGAAACTGTACACCCGTAGATAGTTGACAGGTTGGGAGACACTAGCAGTTTCATGTTTAATAAATATTTAAAGCAAAGCACACAAATAAGTACACATGCAAATAAACACTGGAAATAGAGAGAGATGGATCCACAGAACAGCTAGTGTCCACAGAATAGCAATGATCCTCCACAGAACAGAGAATCATGAAAGAAAGAACAAGATGATGAATGCTCTTTTCTCTTTCCTATGCTCTTCTCACCTTAAATCTGCACAAGTCTATAATGTAAAAATGGAGTTAATTAAAACAACTGCAGTAAATCATCTAGTTCATTTAAGAGGTTGCCTACAATTGAAAAAGCTACTTACAAGGTGTACATGGTACAAAATATCACTTTACTACAAACAGTAACAGCATGAAAAAAACACTAGAAAAGAAGCATGAAAGAACAAATAGGTTTTGGGAAACAGTTTGTACAGACCTTGAGTTGCTCAGAATTTTCTGTCTTTTACTTTTTATTGAAACAAAAAGGCACAAAATCTATGAATTACTTTCATCTAAACTAACTTCCTGTTTAATAAAAAGGCAGGGTTCACACTCAGGAGGTTATTTTGGCATATACTACAACATCCTCTGAATAGTAAACATGCTCCAAGCGAGTTTGAATCACATGGACAACATGCATTGGTGTTCACTTGTGCTCAGAAGTGCTCTGCAATAATCTTGCAATAGTCAACATTTTATAAAATAAGGAATACTGGGAGAATTGCAACAAATTCTCAGATGAAAAAGAGAAATATTCTATTAAAAAAAATCTAGCCTTCATTTCATACCCTACTAAATATCCTTCTGATATTTACTGCAGATACAAAACACCTTTAATCATAAATATCCTTGCATCTAAAATAGTCCTGTAGGTTAGTGGTTAGAGGACTCGCCTGGCAAGCGAGAGGCTATGGGTTTGATTTCCAGGCAGGACGAAATGTTAGGCTAGTTTCCTTACTCCACATGCCTCTGTTTACCTAGCGGTAAGTAGAAACCCGATTGTTAGTCGATTGGCGGATTCCTTTTCTGGGGGTAATATTCCCTTCAAAAAAAATATTTTAAAGATTGGTCGTATTTCACACAAAAAATAGTCATTCACTTTAGGGTATATTCTGTGAAGCGCTTTGAGACATTTCAAAGACCTGATAAGGTGCTATAACAAATGCAAGGATTATTATTATTATACAGTATCTAAAACATCAAGAACGTCTCAAATCACATCACTGGTAATTGCTGTCAAGTGCAGTGACTGTATTTGTAGATGAATGCAGCAGCCAATATGCTCGCAAACAACCTTGGAAGTTAATGACTGATTTATCTGGAGATTTGTTGGCTAGGACACCAGGAAAAAATCCATCTCTTTCTGAATAGTATCATGAGACTTTAACGTCCACCTGAGTAAACAACTTAATTTAATGTCTCATCCGAAGAGGCAAGAGTACTACCAAATAAATGAGCCTGGCTGACACATCAAACATTTTATAACAAACATGTTCTTTTTTTAAATTAAACTAGACTTATGAAATGAGAATTTAGGCAGAATATAAAAGTATTACAGGAAAAGTAGTGGAAGATAGTCTTGAAAATGATAGACAAAGAGGGTTGAGATGGAGCTTTGAAATAACAAAGGAACAATCCTTAGATCCACACAGGATGAACCATCATCAGCCAATTGGTAATTTGCATATACAGAAAGGCTGACCTTCTGAGGACTTCACTGTCTGTTTGATCAATTAACAAAATGTCATTATCATCTGAGAGGAAGCTACTGATTGCGAGGCAAAGCACACAAATGAAGGTCATGCTTGCCCGCTACAGCTGATGATGGTCAGAGGAGAGAAACAGGAAATCATTTCCACAAATACACATTGATCAAAGGGAAACATTTTTTAAAAAAGCATGTACCAATATGTAAAGATATTTCCCTGGGGACAAAACAAGGTCACATTTAAATGCTCATTATGATTCTGAGGGGCGTTACTGCAGGAGAGGACATTCAGTGCAAACAGCTTGTTTCCACAGCAGAATGTCAGGGAATCAGCGTTCTGCTAAGGTTATTCAATGACAGCAGTGAAACTGGAAGCTCTCCGCAAGCCACAGCAAAATGGTTCACATTTGGTAAAACTGAAAATGNAAAAAAGGTTTCCTCTCCAGAAGAGCATGGCAGCTGGGATGACTAATTCTGACGCACTTATTCTTGATCTGTGTGGGATGGAGGTTACACCTGAAATGCTGAAAATGTTGCATTTATCTGGCACAGATATCCTCATGGGTATGAAATCAAAATATCACTGAGGACAATAAGCTCTGCAACAATGCTGTAAATAATCTACAGCTATCCACAAGAATATTAGAAACAAGAACGCTTGCAAAACACAATCAGGACATTTTACAGTATATCTTGTGAAGCCCTTTGAGACGACCTCCTGACGTGAAAGGCATTATACCAAATATAAGGATTATTATTAATGAATATTGCTGCTTATTTCAAGTCTGTGAAATTCGCATACACATAACTGATGCTGAAGGAACATAGGTTGATGCCCTTCATCTCCCACCATCTCCCTTACGCACAATTGGTTCCGCGTTTCGTCTACAAAATGTAAAGTCAATCCACTTTACAGTATATTCAGTGAAGCGCTTTGAGACGTCTAAAAGACGTGATAAGGCACTATATCAAATGCAAGTATTTTTATTATTATTATGCTTTCAGATTGACTAACTATGCCCAACAATGCCATTAACATCCATTAAATATTCCCTAAAATAATCATAATGCTTTGAAACCATTGAATTTAAGGGAAACTAAAGGTGAGGCACATTTTCTCTTTAAATGAAATACTATCAATTATTATCATTCACCCAGAGTCTGTCCTCAAACACCAATGATTAGTTTAAAATCTTGCAAGCATCAAATTTCAATTCTGGAACTGTCAAACATTTCCAGAGAACAAATCAGGAACCAAGGTATTGGAATGGACAAGTCATTTAGCAAATAACATTAGACTTGAACAAACCTGCTCACTGGGGAAACAGACTGTTGGCTAGATTTAAACTTGTGTTTCAAGGAATTTCTGTATATTGGAAAAATGAGGATATTACACTCTGAGGCCACCATTATATCACAAGCGACTGCAACTTAGGGCCTGCAGAATTCTACAAAGACACTAGAGGGTGCTTGAGTTTCAGAGTTCATGCAGAAGCACACTCAATTTTTTAAAAAGTTCTGTTACCCAAGTTAGCATGGGCACCATCACTGCAGTGAAAAAGATCAACATGGAAGAGAAAACATGTCACTGCACACTGCAGATTTAAGGTGATACTCAACCACCAAAAAAAAACAATATTAAGTTACTTCACAATCTAGTACTAAATAACACACGTACACGCATTCCTAACGTCCAGGCTCGACTATGCAAACTCCCTGTTTGTTGGCCTCCCCGACTCCTCCCTCCATAAACTGCAAATCACCCAGAACGCTGCAGCCCGTGTCATCTCCCGCACTAGATTATTATATACTGAAAGGGTGAAGTTTACACTTGGAAGAGATCAACATTTAGTTCTTTTTAAATAATGCTACCCAGAACTTTGTTTCCTGCATTCACACCATCAACACATCATTGAAGGTTTCTCCAGCTACATATTACACGTGTGCATTTTCCCTTGAGTTTTTTGTGGAGTTGGAAAAAGGTCGTACACTGTTCATAGAATTATACAGCACAAAAGGAGGCCATTCGGCCCATCTCGTCTGTGCCAGCTCTTTGAAAAGAGCTATCCAGTTCAATCCTCTTCCCCCGCGCTCTCTTTATAGCCCTGCAAACTTGTCCTTCCCAAATAATTATCTACTTCTCTCTTAAAACCTGTTATCAAATCAGCTTCCGAACAATGACAATGTTCTAAACAATGACATTAATTTAATCCTAATTCCACTCAGCACTCCCTTGCAAGAAGACGAAAAAGCTGGTCTCACACCAGGGTCACTGTCGAAGATGTGTGAGCAAACCTCCAATAAACCATGTGACAGGGGAATACCTGGCTTCTGAAATCTTCCCAGAACCTCTCTAATGCAGAAACAAAACTGTTATCAACCTGCTTAGTCACATAGGATACCAGATGGTAAATGGTATATCATTGATTTGATTCAGCCACGAGTAATAATCCATAGACAATACTTTGAGCATTTACAATGCCTTCAGCTATATTTATTTGTTGCATTCCCATTAATCATGCTACTTATCCCATAGGATAAAAGGCAAACTAATATGGGATTTCCCACCTTCTCATTTAGATAAGAAACTACCCTAAATGAAAACTAGATTTCAAGCCAGGTGTTCGCAGTGCTAAGCTCCTAAAGTAGTCTTCCAAGAAAAGTTGGATAATTGAACCCAGATGTGTATGTCAGTGTATTTTTCTTCAGGAAAGAATATGAGTTAGCAAATAAAATATGTTGAACGAGGGTGGAAGTGATAGTACCAAAAGGAGAGAAACTATTACATAAATAAAATCAAACCAATTGCAGGGATTTATAGAAAGTGAGCAGTGAGCAGAAATGGAAAAGACACAGGGCGGGAAAGAGGAGGGAACAAAATCATAAATGCAGAGGAACCGTTGAGCAGAACAAAGAGCACATGTGTTTAGGCCAACAAAACAGTCCACATTCAAACACAAAGAATTATAAGTAGAGGGACTCAAACAATAGAAACAAAAAGAATTAGAAACACAGAACAATGGACATAAAGAGCAAAAGCTACTTTTGTACAAACTGAACAACCCAAGACCCCCACATAATTAACTCAATAAACCCATCTTTGACAAAACATACAAATCTACAAGAAAGATTGAGACTCTTCTGATTTAAAAAAAACTATTATAGACTATCAACACAAAATAAACACAAACCCGAGCAATCATTGTTATGGTACAAACTCCCATTGCTCATGCTGTATTTTTCAAAAAAGTATGCTTACAAATGGGTATTAACTATTTGCTAAAATATTTTGACCCGTGGCAAATTGCTGCATTTCACAGATAGTCTGTGACTTCAGCCCACAGCAATCAGGTCAAGAGCAAATAATATTCATAATAATCCTTGCATTTGATATTGTGCCTTATCACGTCATTGTAAAGTCTCAAAGCACTTCACAGAATATACTGTAAAGTGCTGTGACTGTGCATTTTGTGGGTGAAACTCAGCAGCCAATTGCGCACAGCAGTTCAATGGCAGCCAATTGCACACAGCACAATCATCCGAATTTTCACTGTCCCATATTCTGTGTTCAATCAATGCAATTCAATGGAGCTTAAAAGGAGTGTTGGTATCAGAAAAATAACATTGAGAACAACTGGCTGTGGGCAACAGATGAGCTGAGCTAGCAGAATTCCCACAGGACATAACCTCCTGGCATTAATGACCTGTACACCTCAAATGTCTTAATCTCAGGCTAGGTTTCACATTCCCAAAATCCTGTAACATTTATTTTACCACAATAGCTAGGTGGAGTCCAAAACTCCTCTTAACTGCACATAAGATTACTGGTAGAGTAGAACAATATGATTTATAAGATACTGCAATATAGAAAATTATTGAAGGTAAATGTGATGCATGTAATACTTACATTCTGTGACAAAGAAATTAAGCAAAGTAATCACAACTGTGTGACCACTGAACATGTAATCTCCACATGTATGCACTCCAGTCAGTGTCATTCCAAAACCACTCCAAATTGCAAATGCTCTATGAAGCTTGGCCCACATGTCCCCATACAGCTAAGAGAGAAAAAGAAAAAAATACAGAAACATCTTTCAATCATTTAGCAAAACTTTACATTCCTTTTAAGGGCTGACAATGGTTTTCATATAATAATCCTTGTGTTTTGTTAATATGACCTGTATGTGGCAGTTCTGCTGTTGCCCATACAACAACAAAGAGTTAAGTGTGTTACTTGGAATTTTACATTTAGAACAATATCTGCTTAAGCAGCATTGTGTACTATCTAGTGAGTTCTCCCATCAACCAGAGCTCCAAAATTAATTATCGATTTAGCCTTTCAAAAGGAACAGCAGATTTGGGGAAATTATTTTTTATGAGGCTGAATTTAAAACTTCTGCACAATCTTAAATTTTAGGATAATAATAATTTAAGGATAATGGTCTTAAAGTTAATATCATGAGAAATTTCAGGCCTCCACAATGTATTCATAAATCCCTACCATTGCTGCTTGAGTAAAAAAGTACAGCAAGACATTTCCTTACAGGACTCGAAATTTCAATCATGCAAAAGGTTTAAAATGTTACGTTTATTGGTAACATAATACAGAAGTTACACAATCTTAAAATACATAATATTTTCAAAATCAAGGAGCTCTACTTCAACAATGATTTACGAGAAATTGCTTATCTCAACTTTGAGCTTGGCGTAGTTTAAATGAAACTTACTTTTCCAGAACACTGCAGATGTTGGCCAGGCACAGAGAGTGAGGTGACAAACATAGAAACACAACGCAAGAGGAACACTGTTCCCATCAGGCTACACATGCGACGGAATATGATAGACCTACAGTTCATTGGAATAAACAGCCAAAAACAGTTAGTAAGCAGTGCACTTCAGTCTACAATTTAACTTACTTTATGAAAAACATGAAAATGTTGAACATTCAAATACCCCTTTTTTTGCATTCACTTGGTATGCAGAGATGAAACAATTTTTATTTGGTGTGTGTTGGTCAGGACACCAGGAAAAAACTCTTCTCTTTTCGAATAATGCCATGGGTCTTTAACATCCACTTGAACAGGCAGATGGGACGTCGGTTTATTGTCACATCTGAAGGATGGCATTTCCAACAATGCAGTGCACCCTGAGCACTTAATTTGAGGGTCAGCCAAGACTGTGAGTTCAAAGTCCCGACATGGAGATCAAACCCACAACCTTTTGACTGAGAAGCAAAACTGCATCATCCAGAACTTGATGTCAGACAGGCAATCAAACAGTCCTACAACTGGTGAAGAGACTGAGATGGGTATTGGCATTGTACCCATGGAAGCTAATCCTGTGCTTGCAGATGAGGTTGCCAAGAGGCAGCATGAAGATTTCTCTCTTGCATATCTTACATTCTCGGTAGCTCTCTTCTCTTTCCCCATCTACATGGAGAGCTTTCTCACTCTCTTTCCTTCCCTGGAGAGGCACATCATTGCTCATTATGGATTAATTTTAAAAAATCACAAAATGCCTTCACATTTCCAGGCTTCCCGGTGTTCCCTTTTACGATGGATAATTTTTCCCCAGTGGATTATTTCGGGAGAATATTGCCACATTTTCAGTAACTGCAACTCACGGCAGCAATGTGTGCTCAAGGCTTACTCTGCTTATTTGCTTCAATTTAACACATAAAAGTCTTGTCATGGAAGCGCCAATTCCCTACCCCCCAGTTAAACTTTATTAATAATAATCCTTGCATTTGATACATCGTCTAGACATCTCAAAGCGCTTCACAGGATATACTGTAAGGTGGATCTGACTGCGTGTTTTGTGGGAGAAACTTTCTCGGTTCACAAATAATATCACAGCTCCAGTGCCCACTAGTTACACGTGCAATACGTAAACGTTATTAATAATACAGCTTCAAAAAACTGACCAAGAAAAAACTTACCTGTGCTTATGAAGCAGCAACACCAGCATCCAAATAATGCAGAGCACAACACCACAAACCTCAGCCATTGCAAAAGCCCATGGTATCCTTGGGACACTATCAAAAGACCATTGTACAAGGTTACATATCCAGAAATGTTTTAAAATCAGCAAACATTACAACATGAAAAATACTTTCAATTTGGCTTTTTTTAAAACTATCCATCGCCTACTATTATGCAAACTTATATTCTTGTGGACTGTGTAGGTATGGTTCAGTACTGTAGAGTATATAGTAGAATGTGAGGATCTTGAAATTCTGAATAGTGAAATGAGTTTGTGCCACGGAAGTTTTCCCCATTATTAATCATTACTGACATTTTGGATAAACTACAATCTGCACCTATATGCTTGCTGAACCACCCGGTTTTATTCACTAGATGAGCTTCAAGGACTCCTTTTTTTCTAGAGAGCCATACTCAAAAATCATCCATTGAACACCAGTATGCAGCAGAATGAACAACGGCCACATATTGCACCTTTCATATTAAAATAAATGTCCCAAAGCACATTACAAAATATATTTGACCAGATATTTAAGTGAATATAAACATATAAACATATGCGACAGCTAATTTGCACCAGCCGGGTCCCATAAACAATGAGAAGAGCAGTCAATTAATTTGAATTCTGATTAGGGGACAATATAAACTTCTTTGAAATATTACCCATGTCAAAGGCTGATCCAACCTAAAATTAACAAATGAAGGATTGGAAGAATCATCTAAATATAAATAAAATTGTGTTTAAATATTTTAAAAAGTATCCTAAGTAAACAGTAGGTCAATCAGAAGTCCAATCTAGATGCTTTTCTAGCAACTCCATTGGGGCATGGCTCAGATTAGATCATACTATTGGTGTAGTAGACTTGAATCATTGAAATCAAGATTCAACAAAATTGTGAAATAAATCAGCTATACCACAGCACTGCTCAAGAAACTATTGAAACTCAAGAAACAATATTACCTCTTCTGTACTGAGAATTTAGCAACCAATTTAAAAAGTGCCAGAGGATTAAATGTCTCTTTAAAATGAAATGTCATATTAAACATTGTAACCCACACAATGCAGCACAGCATGTTTTCCCCACAAAAAGGCCAGGACATTAAGAGCCAAGTGATTATCTCACACACCACGTGTGGGTCAGATGTTAGAGGAAAGATTAAGCAGAACTGAATCATTGTTTATAAAAGGGAAAATACAGTTCTTGCTCATGAAAGCTAAAAATAAAAGAACTCAAGAAGTCAACTGAACGCATCAGCTCCGTAAAAATGTGTTATTCTAACTCAGATGGCAGCACTATCATTTCTCAGTCATTTAAGTCTCAGTGGGTTCAAACACATTAGTATTTAGCTCATGGTCTAGGTTAACACTCCAGTGTGCTGCTGGGGGAATCGCTGCATTGTTAGAGGTGTTGTCCTTTTGGATGAGACCATAAACCAATGTCATATTAGTCTGTTAAAGATCCCACAGAAGTATTCAAAAAAAAGATTTGGTCATTCACTTCATGACTGTTTGTGTGATAATGCTGTGTGCAGATTCACCTATGAATAGAGCCACTGAAAACAGTGAAGTGCTTTGAGATGTATTGATGTTATAGTCACTATGTCAAAAGCAAGGATGACACTTATTATAATAATGGTATGATGCAGAACATTTTTAAAATAAGTTATTCAAAATGGAAACAAAGCTGTTAGAGAGAATTTACAACTGGAAGCTGACCACAAATATGAAGAAATAACTTTAAATAGAAAATACTGCATTTAGTTCTTTATTGGCAAAGTTAATAAATTATTGCAGAAATATCTCATCCACTGACCTCACCTACTTATCTTAATAATTAAAAGGGCTAAAACAGTTTCTTGGCTGAATGCTATTTGCAACTTACTGTCTTTAAAAACCAAAGGACATCCATTGTAAATACCACTTGGGCCTGAAAATTGTGAAGAGTAATGTCAAAAGCAGCCCAGTGTTTGGTTATGTAATGATCAGAGAGCGACAGATGTGTGCAGTCAGTAAAACGGTGTTAAGAGGAACTTCCTCTCAACAGGACAGAAGTTGTTCCTGTACAGTCAGCTGCCACTCTGTAGTGAGCTGTACCACTAATCCTCCTCCTCCGCACATTTCAATATAATTCCATAGAAGCATCAAAACCAATCAATATTACATTTTCCCTCTGAAAGAAATTTTCAACCAGAATAGTGTGCGCTATTCATACTGTCAACAATTCTCTTTTTCTCTCACCAACTTCGATGTCTTCTGCTGATGTTCTAGATAAGTTCCACAGACCTGTCCAAGTAACCAATCATAGACATCCCGGGATGGAAGGTGACCATTTGGCACATCAAGGAAATGCTGATGTTTGCTTACTTATTGGAACTAATTACTCTAATATAAATTCCAACCGTTCCTCCATACCCTCCACAATCAACTCATAAACTAAGTGTGTACTCGTACCCTCAAATCCTTTTTATACAGTTTGCCGTGGAACCATTTCTGACATTTCATTTTGTCTTTCCTACTTATTCTGCTGGAATCAGCCGAACTGTCAGCTACAGTGTAATATGTGAGGATCAGACTGCTGATACAGCCACCAATCCATGGAACTCAATATTTAGAATAAAAGCAGAATATGTAGCATATTGCAACAGGAATCTGAATGTAAAACAAGGCTCATAAATCTGTTTGTAATCCAACAAAAGAGTACGTGCAGTATAAATTTCTATTGATAATTCATTTCATTCCTTTGGCTATTCGTGGAAAATGTGTTTGGATTTTTGCAATATTCAGCAATAGATAATTCCTGATGCTGATTACCAGTTTTTTTTAAAAAAATGTTGCTTGAAACAGTTCTATTTTAAAAAAGGGAACTTCTCAGAATGCACACAATCCCAGCCAGAAGATATGGAAGACACATATAATCCATTTCAATGTTGAAATTATTCATACAACTGTTTCACAGTAAAGAATGTTAACATAAGCATTGTCCTTACCCTCCCTGCCCTCCACCCTTGCTGATCCCAACCACCACCTCGAATGCGGAACCCTGACTGTCCAGCACGTTGGACTTCTAAAGTGAAAGGCGATATACAAATGTAATTTGTCGTTGTTGTTAACATATATCTCCCCAAACTTCTTGGAAATCACTGTCTATTGTACATCTCCATCCAGTCAGAAGGTTGGAGACTTTGTTGTGACCACTGTAAATACGGTGGTCCAGCTCCCACGTATATGAGCAATGTAAAACAAAATCAAGTTTTCCTCGGTTTCCCTCACGAAGATACAGTAGGTGACATACTTGGCAATGGAATATCGGAATCGAGCCAGCCGTCTGTGGCGTTCTTGGTAGTCTGATTCCTGAGCCAGGTGGGTTCACAGAATTTCAGGGCATTGCTGATGTTTAACTTGGAAGGACTGACCAGTCACTGGACAAGGGAATCCTCCCACTCAGCTCCTGTTAACCCTGCAAGCCAAAGACCTAAAGGGTAGGGTGATCCGTCCTGGACGAGCAGCGTGAAAGCTTGCCAGACAGTTCTATCAATGGCAAGATATGTGGTTTTAGCTAGTTAGATCCAGCAGTACCCCAATGCACACTCTGCGATCCCCAAGCCTTGGCTCCTGCTGACCTGTGCCTAATACTTTCGGGAATTAGGTAAACAGGATGCATCGCTCCAGTGAGAGAGTGCGCATTCCATTGCAACAATCTATCTCTGGGATTTCCATGTTTAGTGGGAAGCATGAAATTCTCAGTTTGGTTTGGATACTCTTAAGCGTGGTGATGGGTTTCCGTAAGTGTCAAGACAACCAGCTGACCAATAAAAACAAATGGAGTGTAATTCTCTAGAAGCCTGTCTGCAGATGCATGGATCAAAGCAACATACACATTTGGGTCATTCTGGTGGTCAAGGAGAAACTACTTCAACCTATTGAATGTGATCACATTTATTAAACCACAATTACCTAATCTAGATCAGGTATTCATTTGATTAATTGTAATGAAATCTAGGCCAAACTCTTTCAATATTCTACCGCTGCAATACACCTATCATTTAAAACATTTAATGCCATCGCCCACTTTACAGTATCAAGCACAGCAGATCTACCGAATGTAAAGACAGCATAGGAGGTCAAAAAAATTATTCTACAGATAGTTAAGAGGCTAAAATGATTTTGACATTACTGCTTACAATGGTTAGAGTTGTGCAATGGTCCCATAAAAGCAGTGACATTCCATGAAATCATAAAAAGGAACCTAGATATGCTTGAGAATAGCTTAGGTGCAGGATAGAATGAACAAATACTCCAGTGTTTGAATAGCTGCTGAAGGGCTGAGCTGAATGGACTGAATGTCCTGTTCTCCTTTCATATGGTTTTTCTATCTGGAGTGTTGCCACACTAGTACTTGTATTGGTAATTGGCTCTGCTCAAGCCAAGAAAAAGCAATGCATTAAAACCCAAAACGTATGCCTCCTTCCTGCTGCAGAATTACATCCCAGTTATATAATCCCACTTATTATAATGATATTAAAAAAAGGGAGAACATGCTACATTCTGCATCGGCACTTGGAGGCCACTAGACACCATGAATTAACATGGAATTTCCATGTTACTGAACAAGTTGGCTGTCTACATAATGTGAGACAAATTTTTATTTTGCACTATTGTACATTATTCTAACACAAGTTTGATTCAACCCATCAGTAAAGTCCAAGAATGAGCTGAGACAAGTCTGCATTAAATTACCCATTATCTTGCTCTGACAGCTAGTAGATTTGATACCATTCAATAATTTCCGCTAAAAGGCTAAGAAGGAAATTGATGTCTTGATGAGTGGCTAATAATCCCTCCAAAACCAAAAACAATAATAAATTGATCATTTTCAATCTACGACTGTTTGTGGGACATTGCTGTGCGCAATTGGCTGCCGCGTTCGCCCACAAATATACAGTCAATTCACTTTACAGTGTGTTCTGTGAAGCGCTTTGGGACATCCTCCCGACGTGAAAAGCGCTATATCAAATGCAAGGATTATTATTATTATTTCTAATGGGATTCCTTACTTTGCAAATTACCAGTATATCACCTGACTCGCACAAACTCCTTTCCAGATCTAGTCTGCTTTCGGAGCAGGATTCCCATTGCTCGGTGTGTTGTATGTAATCTGGTTACAAGGAGACTCCCACACCTCTCAATAGATGGTTTAGAGCAGCAGAGATGGAAGCTATGGAGCAAGCTGCTCACATTACCTCTTAGTCACAGCTGGTGTCTGGCCTGGCAAGTCCTACCGAGTGAGCGAGTCTTTTCTAAACTTAATTAAGTAAAAAGCCTTGTATAATGGTGTCATCCTTTCTCCCCCATAACAATTTAATACTTCACGGAGAAGTTGCTATTTTATGGCTTACAATTAGAATAAAGTAAAATGCCTTGCACTGAGGCAAAGTCCAACATAACATAGCACTGAAATCGCTCTTGATGTGAAGCCAAACTCAGCAGTTCATTGTGTGTCTGAATCATTTGGTTACAGAAATAATTTCTGCTGGTTTGATGGATTAGTTGATTACTAATTAAAAGACACACACATCTGCCTCATTATTGGAAGTAAAGTTACTTATTAAAAGCATGAAATAAAATGGAGACAATACATACCTATCCAGGAATATGTCTGGCAGAGGTGGATAGGTCTGGACATCAGGGACTCGTTCATGAACTAGCACCATGACAAATGATGTGAAGCCAAATACTATGAAAACATAAATGGAGCCCAGAGCAGTCTTCCAGAACTCTGGGTCAAGTCTTCGATGCTTGCATTTGCCATTTGCGTTCTGGTGCTGTTCATCAATCGAGCCTCCGGCAGAGGCACCCATCAAATGTTCCACGCCATTACACAGCCAGTCTGTGTTCTGTATAGAATTTGAGTGTCTGACGGTAGCATCAAGCCACTCATCATTATTATAGCCCATCTCTTCCAACAGGTCTTTGTTCTGTTTTTGTAGTTTCCGGATAGATACCATAAGCCTTTTAATGTCGCCCAACACTTTCAGTTCTAAAGGTGGTGAGCGCAAATCATATTCAGTCAAAGTTAATAGGGCAATACCGTCCAACCTGTGTTTATTACATAGAAGATCTACATACTCGCTGAAGCCTTCCTCCTTTAACCACTTGGCTGTATTTTTGCTGGTCCAGCGCTTGATATTCAAATTGTTTCCAGGCATGATCAACTGAAAAATAAAACACAATGGCCAATTAACTGGGTTATACAATATTCCACTGCTACAACAAAGAGACTCTGCTGTAGCCACTTCTCAGACAAAAAAAGTTCGTACAACAAAATCCCACTTCAGTTGGCAACAACAGCAACAAATTTAATTTGTATAGCCCCTTTCACGTCATGAAGACTGTTTTGTATTACAAAAAAAGTTTGTACAACAAAATCCCACTTCATTCGGCAACAACAGCAACAAATTAAATTTGTATAGCCCCTTTCACGTCATGAAGACTGTTTTGTATTAGGCAGTCCTGATCTAAAACATTGCTTGTAACAGAAAGACTAATAGCATATGTTCCTTTTAAGATAGTTGCCCTTTACTACCTACTGAATTAAGTCTATAACCAAAAGTTAATGTAGTTTAATGAAAATATACTATTAAACAATTTTATTTTTAGAAATTACAAACGGAAGTGTTGTAGATATAAAGCTCGTTAATGCAGGAAGAACATTTTCATGTGCAACAAATGTAATACATTTTGAAAATGTATTAAAACATGTTCAAGTTTTGAAAAAAAGTCCCAACAATTACAGTTTTATGCAAATATCAGGGTGCTCCAACACTAACCTTTGGCCCTCTTAACCTTCGTGCTAAAAACAAGCATTGTGAACTTTAACATCCACCCAAACGGGATAACTCTCTTACACACAAGTATCCAAAGTAATTACAACAACCACAACAGCAACAAAATTACATTTGTAAAGCACCTCTCACGTTGGGAGGACGTCCCAAGGTGCTGGACAGCCAGAGTTACGGACCCGAGCTGGGGGTTCGGGGTCGGGGAGGGTGGAGGACGGGGGGGGGGAGCAGCGAGATCGAAAGCACTGTCGAAGAGGAGGGTCTTGAGATGGGTCTTGAAGGTGGCAAGGGAGGGGGCGAGGATGGAGATCCAGAGGGTGGGGCAGAGTGGTGGAAGGCCTGCCTGTCAATAGTGGGGTAGAAAGGATAGTTGAGGGTCAAACAAGACCCCAAGGTTCCGGACCGGCTTAGCGAGGTGGAGTGTGCAACCACGGATGGTGATGCTGTCAGCGCCTGAGGTGAAGAGGCACTGTCTGGAGCCAAGCAGGAGAGCCTCGGTCTTGTTGACGTTCAGTCATAAACCATAATTAAGTAATAAACCATGAGTCAGAGACAGAATGTCTCCATCCCTTGTTAGCTCATAGCAAGCAAGGAATATCTGACCATGGCTACAAACCCTTTCCTTTCTCTCTGACTCCCATTTACAGACAAAACGTTCTACGCAGTACATTCTTTAAAAAGTCCATCTCTCTGAGACATAAAAAGGACAACATTCCAAATACTGTTTTCAAAATGTCTGACCTGTTGTGATATTACAATAACAAAGGTAATCCTTGCATTTGATGCTTCATAGGTTGTACTGTAAAGCGGACTGACTGTGTGTTTTGTGGCCGAAACAGAGCAGCCAGATTAGCACACAACAATATCCCACAAACAGCCATGTAATAAATGAATGACCCTTTTTTTTATTTGGAGGATTATTGACCAATACCTTCTCTTTTCGAACTGTATCATGGGATCTTTAACATCCATGCAAATGGCAGACAGGACCGCGGTTTAACAATATCAACTGAAAGACGGCACCTCTGATAATGTGCACACCCTCATCATTGCCCTGAGTTTGGATTTGGAGCACTACAAGTCTCAACATGGGGTTTGAATCCATAACCTTCTGACTAAGAGGTGAGAGTGTTACCACTGGGCCAGGCTGGTGCGTAATACGTGACCAGAGTCAATTTTCAGGTAATTTTCAATAGTTAAAGAATCTTTAAAAGATCATGTGCTTCAGAAAAATAATCCCACAGTCAGTGAATGAATAAACTTCGCAAAGCTTGGAGATATTGAAAGGAACCCTCATCAAGTCTTCCAAATTTTCCAATGCAAGACCTACATTTTACATCACAGTAATATTAATTCTTCAATTGCTACATCTGAGCCAAGAAAAAGCTCACCCAGAACTGGGAAGCCAGATAGCAACAACAACAACAACAAGATTACATTTGCATAGTGCCTTTCACGTCGGGAGGATGTCCAAAGCGCTGGACAGTGTACAGCATTTCAGACCAGAGCTGGGGTCAGGGAGGGAGAAGGGAGGGGAGGGGAAGAGGGGGTGGCCGATGGCATGGTCAAAGAGGAGGCTTTTGAGGCGGGACTTGAAGGAGGCTAAGGAGGGGGCGAGGCGGAGTGATCGGGGGACGGAATTCCAGAGATTGGGGGCAGAGTGGCTGAAGGCTCTCCCCCCAATGGTGGGGTGGGTGGGTCGGGGGATGTGGAGCAGGCCAATTGTGCTACTTTGAAGGGGAGGAGGAAATATAATGGAAATCTCATGTTTGACAGAAAAGTTATAAAAATAATGTCAATTATTAATGTTTGCAAGGTCCAAACATTGATAATTGACTTTATTTACTGGTTGAGACACTCAAGTTACTGATAAGATTCACCAAACTCAAGGGTGATTCATCAGAAAATAAGAATGCCAGAAAAGGGAAACGAGAAACATTGAGCCATTTTGCTCCGTGCTGAGCAAGATTCTAGTGATCTTGGCAAGAGAAGAGTTTCTGCTATCTCTAACAAAAAGGTCAGCTGCAGCTACTCTTTTCAGAGAATTGGGACGTTAAGAGTGATAATGAAACAGAACAACCTGATCTTGTGATATGCTTGATGCTTCACGTTCTAAGATGCCAGCAGAAACACAACAAATTTTTTGAATAGAACACAGGAGTATGTTCCAAAAACAGATACGAGTATCCAATCCCATATACACTCAGTATGAATGAAGCAAACACCACAGGAAGTACAGCATGATGGAACATTTGCCTAATGATCCTTTTCTAATCGGCATAGTTTAGTGACGCACCAAATTCTTGCAAACTAATTACCAAAATTAAAGAATTACTCTGTTGACTGTACTGTACTCAAAGCTCTGTGCAATTGCTCAACCCTTTCAGTAGCTTTTTAGTGTGCCTGGAGGAGAGGTTATGCACTGTATTTTACCTATGTGCCTACAACATCTAATCTTAGTTACTTTTACCCAGGGTAAGACAGAAAAAATCTTCCCCTTATTGGAAAACAACCCAAATCTTCACGCGTTGTCAAGTGCGTTTAATTATCTGTGTTGATACAAAGAATTGATTCACAAAAATGTGGTTAAGGCAATATTATTACATCAGCTGGCAATATTACAGAATTTAGCTAATTGACAGTGAATACAACAAACCTATAAGTAAATCTGTAAGACGTATTTAAAAAGTTCTGTTAACTGTTACTGTTGGAAACAACTGGCAAATCCGTTCTCATTATAGCTGCTGTTTAGCAACTCCCTCAGTAAACTATTATATAAACGCTTTTAGTCGCATAAAAGATACTGCGTAAACTAGGCGAGTTCTAATCAAAGTATATTAAAATTAGGAACAGCATTTGGTTAAAATAATGGAAAGAATATATTTTACGACAACCAATCGTGACATTTTTGATTTTATTCAAATTATATCTGTCTAATATCCATAGAATCCACTTTTCATAAATTGCTGATAAAGTGCTAGAGTAATAAAGAACATAAAATCCAGGCACTTGCTAACAACTCAGATTCTGAAGCAATTACTTTTGTGATGAGGAAATGAATCTTTATGAAACGACATATTTTACGACACACTGAAATACTGACTGTCCAGTGTCCTGGGACATTCTCCCGATGTGAAAGACACTATACAAATGTAATTTTGTTGTTGTATTCTTTTACATAAATGCGGTGCATTCTTTTACGCTCAATCCCTACCTGTTTTGCAACAATGCAATTCAAATGAGAATTACAAAATAGAATACAACTCTATTAGATTGATGAGTCCAACATAATGAGTTAATTTAAAAATTCTGAAATTTCTGAGTCTTGAAAATAACTACCAAAATTACCTACAGTATTATGAAGATTGTTACTCTATATCTTAAGGAGCCTTTATTTTTCCATCTAATACAACATAATACAAATTTGCATTTATACCGTGCCTTTCACATTGGAAGAACGTGAAAGAACAGAAATGCAGCATCAGAACAGGTAGTTATAGAAAACTTTTGTCTATTTAATTTGTTTTTGCATTATTCCTCTCAATACTTAATCATTTTAAAACTTCAAAATGCCATTAGAGGCATGATTTGATACCTCAACTAAAGTTATACGACACATGACTTTTTGTATAATTTTTTTTAATATCACAGAATAAACAAATTTCAATCACTTAATTTTAAAGTCTTGAATTAATCCCACTTTAATTAACAAAGATTTAACACATTGAAAGCAAATAATATTTAGTAATGAGATTCTCCACTGAAAACTCAGTGCCTTACAATACAAATTCTACTTACAGCACTCTACTCCCTCATCCAGAAACTTCTTCTGTAGAAATTTTAATCAACTAAGTACATATAAGGTGCAGAACTATAAATTTTCTGGGTTGACAAGCCAGTTCCTGTCTAGTTTTACTGAAAACGAGTGGCAAATAAACGTGTGGCTCAATTATGAGTCTTGCTATTGAGGTGGGACATTCTATCTGTGCACATTACCAATTTTACCAGTGAGTCACTAGGACGGAGAAGTTTGATAAACAATATATCTCTGTTAAAGAGACAGAGATGTGGCAACACTGAAGTTAAAGAATGAAAAAACCTGCTCAGTCTTGCTGCCTTCGCAACTATGAATGAACCAGTGATCAATGAAGTGTCATCACTGCCTTGTAATTTGAAGTACCCTCGCATTGTAAGTCAGTATTTTCTCATTTTACATACCCATTTTTGCAACCAAATTTACAGGGATCTACGTCAATACTGCCGTCAATACTCAAATGACAGGAAACATTGGCTGCAAACCACAAACTCACGCCACCCAAATCCCAACATAACACAAGTGCCTCACCCAGAAAATACTGTGGCTACATTGGGAACTTGGGACCATTCATGACGCATGATTCAGCGAGGTCCCAGGTGGAAACAGACATCTTTCAACCCGAGCAACACAATCACCCCTCTCCACATCAACAATGTTCAGATTGTAGTGGGTTCTAGTATAGTGCCATAAACTGCAGCCAAATTTTGATCTCACCTTCAACCACACGCTATCCAGCTGAATGACAGTAATCAATGCCAGCAAATGCACACCCCACAAAACTATAGCTTTTATGATAACTCTAATTATATTATCAATTCTTCAATGTTATTGGCTGCTGAATCTTAAATGTAAGTGAGCAAACAGGTTTGTACAAACACAGATTACCTTACAACGAACCACCAATGACATTTTTTGCAACGTTCTCCTGGCATGAAAGGCACTATATAAATACAAATTCTAGCCGTCATTTAAAAATGATTGGTTGAAGTGTTAAACCAAAGCCTGTCTGCCTGTTCAGGTGGACATTAAACTACATGAAAAGAGAAGGGAATTTCTCCCGGTGTCCTGGCCAACAATCCTCCAAATAAAATTGAACATTAGTTTCATGTGGGTCCTTGCTGTGTGCAAATTGGCTTTTATCTGTAAAGACAACCTCACAGATTCCAAGATGAACCACAGAAGCTGGAAGCAAAACATAAGGCAAGTGAAAATTTCTAAAAAGAGCTACGAAAAGAAACGTTAGGGGGAAAAAAGGGTAGGAAAGATAAAAGAGGTTGCAATTAAAGCACTAAAGCAATTCCAGATGTTTCAGCGGTTTTATTAATGAAATGGGAGAGTTTTAGCACCCAGATTCTCTATTGATCTACTCGCATTCCATGAGATTAATCGTGTTTTGAAAGAATTCAGTGTGCTTTAGAATTTCCCACCCGTATAAATTTCCCACTGCACTTTGCTTTACTTATTAAGTAAAAGAAGTCCCCTGTGCGACAATTTCACCGGCACTGTGCACTGTCTGGTACCTCTACAAAGTGGTCATGCTTTATACGTGAGTCAAAGACTACTTGAGCGCAGGGGCCATCACAGCTCAACCTGCCTCAACCAACATCCACCCCACCTGGGGACGCAGGCTCAGGAACCCTGATGGATATTCCCCTCACTGAACTGGGATGCTAAAGCTAATTGTAGAGCACCAAATACCACCCTAGCTGAGATCAGCTAACTTGGCACAAACCGGGAATGAAACCATGAACCTTCACAATCTATATAACTCAGCTACGCACTGGATGGACTCACTTAACCATCCAGTGGAGCTAGATTCCTTTCAAAAACAAAATTCTGTCTCTCACTTTCCAATAATCAATAGTACCACATCCATGCTCTGCCACGTTCTTCCTTCCCTCACCATCGCAACATTGCCCGCCTCCGCCACTGCCTCTCCCCTTGCTGAGACCCTCATTCACACATTCATCACGTCCAGGCTTAATTATGCTAACTCCCTGCTCGTTGGACTTCCCAATTCTTCCCTCCGCAAGCTGCAGATTATTCAGAACTCTCCAGCTCATATCCTGGTTGATCACCCCCCATCCTCGCCCAGTTTCACTGGCTCCCCATCCTTCAGGAGATCTATTTAAGATCCTCATCCTCTCTTTTAAAGCCCTCCACAATCTTGCTTCTCCCCACCTCTGCGACCTACTAAAACCATACCATCCTGCCCGCTCCCTCAGCTCAGTGGCACTGGTCTGCTCCATGTCCCCAGCCCTGCCCACCCCACCATCAATGGTCGGGCCTTTCTGCCCCACCCTCTGGAATTCCATCCCTTCAAGGCCCATCTCAAGACCTTACTCTTTGACCATGCCTTCAGTCATCCTCCCACCCCCAACCCTTTTGATTCCAACTCCCAGCTCGAGTTTAAACCCTTGATTGTCTAGTGCCTTGGGACGTCCTCCCGATGTGAAAGCTGCTATCTAAATTGATTTATTCTTGTTGTAGTGTATCCAAATCATAAGACTGTACAATGGCTCTCTTCCAATCTTTTCAAAAAAAAGCTGTCTGACCAGATCTAAACTGTGTCTCAACATCAAAACACTGTCTCTGCAAAGCACGAATCAAGGCTCAAATAGAACCCTGATCTGATTACAGTCCTTGAACCAATTTTTAGGGTTATCTTGACTGAACTGAACTCAGCTTTCCGCATTTTGAGATAATCACCATTGCTCAATCAGCAGAATATAATTGCAATACAAGGTTGCATGATTCAAAGCACTGACCCATCTCTGTCGCAATGTATAACCTTGAACTTCATATTCAGCCTGAGAAACCAGCTTTTCCAGTTATCAGTTCTCACACGAGGACTAATTTAGCTTTTGCAGAGATCACTTTCTTTAAAGGTCTCTACTTTTTAAAAGCCTCTAAATAACGTACTAATTATTCAATCCAAATAAAGGGAGAAAACTGGCAAATGGCCAAAGTTCACAACAAATAATTTTTTGTGAATTGATAATAAGCAAGTAAAACGTGTTTTTTGAAAAAAATCTGTGTGCGCTGGGTGAACGAATGAAGCCAAACTTCCTGATAATTTCAGTCATTACATTTTACAGTCACCATGAGAGAAAGAATAAACAGGGAAAATGCAACACATCTCATACGTGGTTCAAAAAATGATTCACTGAAGACAAATAAATGCATCAATTCCCTCCAAGAGACCCTGCCTCACTAAGTCTCAATTCCGTTATCATCGGAATTATCGTCATAGGTTATCGTCCCTCTCCCTCCCTCACTCTGCAAACAATCCCTCATGAGCAGCTCCCTCCCTCCAGCAAATTCTTTAATCCCTCCTTCCCTCATTCAACACACTCATTCAAACTCATTCAATCCAGTAAGAGACCCTCACTCTCTGCAGTGCTGGTGTGTGTGTCTCTGTGTTTATGTCTCCCTCTCTCTGTATGAGTGTGTGTGTGTGTCTCTCTCTCTATATGAGTATGTGTGTCTTTCTCTCTGTGTCTGTATGTCTGTATATGTCTGTGTGTGTATGTCTTTCTGTGTGAGTGTGTGTGTATGTCTCTGTGTGAGTGTGTATGTCTCTGTGCATGTCGCTTTATGGGTAGGTGTGTATGTCTCTCTCTCTGTGAGTGACTGTATGTCTCTCTCACTGTGTCTGTATGTGTATGTCTCTCTCTCTGCGAGTGTGTGTGTCTCTCCCTATATGTGAGTGTCTGTGTGTGTATCTCTCTGAGTGAAAATGTGTGTATGTCTCTCTCTCTCTTTCTGTGAGTGTCTGTGTGTGTGTTGTATGTCTCTCTGTGTGAGTGTGTCTGTATGTGTGTGTGTCCGTGTGTATATGTCTTTCTCTATGTGAGTGTGTGAGTGTCTCTGTATGTGTGTCTCTCTTGTGTGTCAGTCAGGAACCTAGGTGTCTTGTTTGACCCTCAACTGTCTTTTCTTCCCCACATCCAAGCCATGACCTGCTCTGCCTTCCCTCACCTCCGTAACATCACCCAACTCCACCACTACCTCACCCCTCAGGCCACTGAAACTCTCGTTCATGCCTTCATCACCTCCAGGCTCGACTGTGCAAACGCCCTGCTTGTCGGCCTTCCCAACTCCGTCCTCCACAGGCTGCAGATAATCCAGAACTCTGCAGCCCGTGTCCTCTCCCACACCAAATCCGTGACCCCATTCTGTCTGTCTGTCTGTGTCTCTCTCTGTCTGTGTGTGTCTCTGTCTCTGTCTGCGTGTGTGTGTGTGAGTGTGAATGTGTGTGTGAGTGTCTGTGTGTGTTTATGAGTAAGTGTCTGTGTGTGTGAGAGTGAGTGAGTGTGTGTGAGTGTGTGTGTGTCTGTGTGTGAGTGAGTGTGTGTGAGTGAGTGTGTGTGTGTGTGTGGCTGTCTGTGTGAGTGTGTGTGTCTGTGTGTGAGTGTGTGTGTGTGAGTGAGTGTGAGTGAGTGAGTGAGTGAGTGAGTGTGTGTCTGTGTATGGGTCTCTGTGTGAGTGAGTGAGTGAGTGAATGTGTGTGAGTGAGTGAGTGTGAGTGTGTGTGAGTGAGTGTGTGTGTGAGTGTGTGTGTGTCTGTGTGTGTGAGTGTGTGTTAGTGAGTGAGTGTGTTAGTGAGTGTGTGTTAGTGAGTGAGTGTGTGTGAGTGTGTGTGTGTGTGTGTCTGTGTTAGTGAGTGAGTGTGAGTGAGTGTGTGTCTGTGTTAGTGAGTGTGTGTTAGTGAGTGAGTGAGAGTGTGTGTTAGTGAGTGAGTGAGTGTGTGTGAGTGTGTGTTAGTGAGTGTGAGTGTGTGTTAGTGAGTGAATGAGTGTGTGTTAGTGAGTGTGTGTGAGTGTGTGTTAGTGAGTGAGTGTGTGTGAGTGTGTGTTAGTGAGTGTGAGTGTGTGTTAGTGAGTGTGTTAGTGAGTGTGTGTTAGTGAGTGTGTGTGAGTGTGTGTTAGTGAGTGCGTCTCTTTCTCTGACCTCCGGAGTAGCCTTTCCCCAGAACCATCAGAGAGCGCGAGCGGCGGCCAAACCGCGCCGGTCGCCTCGACCCTTCAGATCCCGACAGCCGCTTCCCCACACGCCCCGGACCTGACTTACCCCGCGGAGGCCCTCCCTGGCTGTGGCCGGTTTCCCCGCCGCTGTGAGCGAGTGCCCCGAGCGGCCTGGGCTGTCGGGGAGAGCGGCGCGTCACCCGGGAAACGCCGCTCACAACCTGCGACACCGCACTCGCCCGCTCCCAACAGCGCCGCCCTCAGGCCGGCGGTGTCATGTGCAGCGCCCTCCCACTGTAAACAATGTTTTTACCCAGTGAGTGAATGAGTGAGTGACTGAGCCCCTGTAATCCTCAGTGTAATCTCACTCAGTGACTGAGCCCCTGTAATCCTCAGTGTAATCTCACTCAGTGACTGAGCCCCTGTAGTCCTCAGTGTAATCTCACTCAGTGACTGAGCCCCTGTAGTCCTCAGTGTAATCTCACTCAGTGACTGAGCCCCTGTAATCCTCAGTGTAATCTCACTCAGTGACTGAGCCTGTTGTCCTCAGTGTAATCTCACTCAGTGACTGAGCCTGTAGTCCTCAGTGTAATCTCACTCAGTGACTGAGCCTGTAGTCCTCAGTGTAATCTCACTCAGTGACTGAGCCTGTAGTCCTCAGTGTAATCTCACTCAGTGACTGAGCCCCTGTAATCCTCAGTGTAATCTCACTCAGTGACTGAGCCCCTGTAATCCTCAGTGTAATCTCACTCAGTGACTGAGCCTGTTGTCCTCAGTGTAATCTCACTCAGTGACTGAGCGTGTAGTCCTCAGTGTAATCTCACTCAGTGACTGAGCCTGTTGTCCTCAGTGTAATCTCACTCAGTGACTGAGCCTGTAGTCCTCAGTGTAATCTCACTCAGTGACTGAGCGTGTAGTCCTCAGTGTAATCTCACTCAGTGACTGAGCCTGTAGTCCTCAGTGTAATCTCACTCAGTGACTGAGCCTGTTGTCCTCAGTGTAATCTCACTGTGCAACTGAGCCTGTAACACACCTTCAATGTAACCTCACGCGACCTGAAGACGGGGAAGAAGCGGGCAAGGCGGAGGGATTGAGGGAGAGTGTTCCAGAGTTTTAGGGCTGAAAGCGTGACCGTCGATGGTGGAACAGAGGGCACGAGCGACAAATAGGAGTCCATAGCCAGTCAGTGTAACTTCACTGTGTTGATGACTGAGCCTGTAAATGTACCCACAGAGTAAAACTCAGTTTGAGCCGTATTGACTTTGAACTCACATAGTTTAGGATACCAACATTGCAATGTTGGGGAACGCACAAGAGATTGAATGAGACATTAAATTGAGATAATATAATAATAATCTTTGCATTTGATACAGCGCTTTTAACGTCTTCTCAACGTCTCAAAGCGCTTCACAGAATAGACTGTAAGACGAATTCACCATATATTTGTGGGCAAAATGCAGTAGCCAATTGCGCGCAGCAGTGTCCCACAAACAGTCGTGGATTGAAAATGACCAATTTATTATTGTTTTGTTTTGGAGGGATTATTATTAGACATGTGGAGTAAGGAACCTTGCCCAAGGTTTCACCCTGCCTGGAATTGAACCCAGGTTCTCGTTTGCAAGGTGAGTGTATTAACCACTGAGCTACAGGACTCTCACCTGCCTGTTCAGATTGAAGTTAAAGATTCCATGTCACATTGTCTTTCACTTCAGGAGGATGTCTCAAAGTTCTTCACAGGATTCACCTTAAAGTGTGTATTTTGTAGGCAAACATGACAACCAATTTTCACTCAGCAAAATCTCACAAACAAGTCAATGACCAACTGTTTCTGGAGGATTGCTGGCTAGGACAAAATGTATTAAAATCTCTGCTGGTGTCCTGGCCACAATCCTCCGGAAATAAATGGTCATTGACTTCATGGTTGCTTGTGAGATATTGCTGCATGCAAATTAGTTATGTTCACCAAAAATACAGTTGCTGCACTGTAAGGTACATCCTGTGAAGCATTTTGAGACATCCTGCTGAAGTGAAAGAAACTATCAAATAAAAGGATTATCATTAAATTGTTAGTATTTATTGGCATCCAGTGTGTGACCTTGCAATACACCATCATTGTAAACTCAGAGAGTGACTGAAACATGCAGACTGACACTGCAGCGCATCCTCGTTGTAAACTCATTGTGTTTATCTAGTGAGTGTCTGTGCCTGTAGGTTGGGCCATGTCACTGTGCTGCATCTCATCCTCAGCACTGACAGCTCACTGAGTAGCTCAGGGAGATTTCAGATTGAATTTCCCAGCCTATCCTGAGTTAGCTGCGTAACATTGGGACTGCTTCGGACAGGAACCGTCTGCAAACAAACACCGTCTGGATCAGGGGAAAATTAAGTGTTTGTGAAAACTTTAATGGGGTGGGTAGGGGGTGTCAGTAGATTTTTTTGTGTGGTAGGCCAGGAATGAATTAGCATGCAGGGCAATGGAAAAGACCTGACACCATTAGGGACTCCCAGGTTACTAATAAAAATAGAAACTGGTGAAAAAGCAAGTTTTAAGCAAATTGCTACCCGAGTAAACTCGCTATGAATCTTCTGGCACCTCAGCACATCTCCCAGACCCATTCCAAACACTCTCAGGAGACAAGAATGTCATCCAACAAAATGCTTGACCCAGTTGAGCCTTGCACTGTCAACTAAAGCATTTGCAATATAATCTTTGATAATAAACAGACAGTCGCAGTAAATAATACTGGTAACAGCAGGGTGATCTGATACTCAGCTTGTACTGTATTGAATATCCTTTCACTCGTAAACAAATCCCTTGACACCCTGGTACCTCCCTACCTTTCTGTCCTGCTTTCTCCCCACTCGAACGACCTTGCAATACACCATCATTGGCTATCTCTGGTCTCTTGTTTGTCCCTCATCCCCTCCTTTTCACCATCGGTGGCCAGCCCCGAAGGTTTGGAACTCTCTTCCCCAATCCCTCCACCTTGCCCCCTTCTTCCCCTATTTTGGATCATGACTGAAGACCTTCCTCGTTGACCACGCTTACAATCACCTGCTCCCGCTCCCCCACCCCAGCTAGGCATCAGGCTCCGCCGCCATTAAGCACTCCCAGACGCTCCCCTGTGTGAAGAGCGCTGGATACATGCAAGTTGTTGTTATTCAAGAATAGCAAAAGTAGACATTGAGCAAGCTCCTGTGCTACAGAACTATTTTGGTAAGGCAAACTTTGCATTGGCATTTATTGGATTTCTGACATTACGTTGACCTCTCAACAGCAATTTACTGGAATCTATTAAAGTCTGTTTGCATATCGAGTTGACCAACGTTGCTTATGAGCACATGGATTTGCACCTGTTGAGAGGCATCACACTCAGACTCATGTCAGTCTGACAGAGAGACAGCTCTCTAAATCGCAGAGTGAAGGGTCTATTTCAACCACAAAAGCAAATAACTCTATATTGTGGAAATGTCAGGTGTAGCAGGTCACTCAGCGAACATTCCCAGTTCCCTTGAAGACTCCAAGTCAGATTCTGCCACTCCCACTGTTGCAGAATTGGAGGAGATCTTGAAGAGCAACAAGTTCCCATTTCACCACATTGACGAGGTTTGGCCTAACCTGTACCTAGGAGATATGTGAGTAGACTTAACTGGCTTCACATATCATTGACGTCAAAGGCTGATGCTGGGTCATTCTGAAAAACATTGTTTTGATAATGTTTGTATTGAGAGGGTCTAATAACAAATTTAAAATGTACTTTTATGGTAAATCATCCATGTGATTTCAAAATGGGTGCTCTTTATTTAGACATTTATGTTGTCATAGAGAAAAACAATAAGCAGGGGTGGTAAGATTATTCAATAATGTAACAGTTTTGTTGATGTAGCCAAGTACTATTCTGTGCCTTTTATTAAGATTAGCAAACAGACCTCTGTGTGCTTATAAATAACTGTATCAGAATATTAAATAATAAAGGACATCAGATTATGGATGAAAAATGTGATGTTTCATAACAGAATGTTTTGATGAAACAATTAGAGAAGTGACAAAACTAAAGTTCATCACGTGCCTGCCAGTACGTGATGGATTCAAGGCGGAAAATTTGTTTTGTATTAGTGTCAGCGTCATTCAATTGTCTATAAATCTCTGTGCACCAACGCTCCCGAAAGCAGTATTTTGTTCTCTGGCACAAAGGATCATTTCACACTGCGTGCAAACTACACTAACTAATATAAAGCAATTTGCATGAAGCTTTCATTACAGTGCCTCAAAATCACATCTGTATGTTAAAGCCTAATGGTTAGATTGATTTTTAGAAACAATGGGAGGACGGTAGGGTGGGGATTCTGGAAGGATGAGATTAAATGAGACGATGCCCTCTTGTGGCCTTGTCTTCTTAATAGGGCTTGATGCTGTCCCCGGTTTGTCAAAACGGGAATGTTCAGTTTAACAGAATCAATATTCCTCATCTCAAAGCAAGAAGTTCCTAAAAGGGAAGTTAAAAGAAAAAAAAAGGATATTGTGAGTGCGATTAAAATATATTTCCTACTACCCCTTGTCTCACTAGCACGATAGCCCAGGATACATTTGGCCTTTGGAAGATGGGCATCACTCATGTCTTAAACGCTGCACACAAGATGCTTGGAGGTGATGATTTCTATGGCACCAGTGTGGAGTACTACGGAATAGCAGCCAGTGACTTACCAGGGTTTGATATTGCTGCCTATTTTCATTCTGGAGGTGAATTCATACATCGAGCACTTGATACCCCAGGAGGTAAGAGATCATCGGAAATCTCAAAACCAGCCTTACTCTCCAGCTATTTTTAATCAGATAGTGTGCGTCACAGAACAAGTTAAATTCATATTGTGATGTCTTAGTTCATGTCAACAGCTAAAAAAAATTTGCCCACAAAATATACAGTCAATTCACTTTACAGTATATTCTGTGAAACGCTTTGAAGCATCTCGAAGACGTGATAAGGCGCTATAACAAATGCAAGGATTCTTATTATTAATACTGTAAATCCTACAGAATCCAGACAATACACACATTGTAAAATTGGTTATGAAAATCAACCTGAAAAATGAATTCAAATGCAACTTTATTATCTTAACCTAATCACTTTTTTTTCAAAAAAATCTTTTGGTTTTCGATTGGTTAAGAAAAGGTATCATCAGCTTGGTTTAGTCGGTAGCACTCTCAGCTCTGAATCAGAGGTTATGGGTTATGTCAAATGAGATGTTAAACCATGGTGCCACCTGTCTGTTCTGCAGGTAAACTTTAAGATCCCGTGATACTATATAAAAAAAGCAGGGAGTTTCTCCCAGAGTCCTGGCAAGACCAACAGTTCTCCGTATCAGTTGGTTTTTCACCTCATGATTGTGTCCTGGCACACATAGCTGCTGTGTTTGCTGACAGTGATTAACATTTGACAGCAAAAATGTATGAAGCCCTTTGAGATGTTTCACTTTGGGTGATTCAAATGCAAGAATTATTATTAAGACCGCTTTTCGAGCTGGTTCTGGGCTACTGAATTCTGTGCAGGAGAGGACGAAGAGAAAAACAGGTGTACTTAAACTGTTTTAACACTTGAGACTGTTGTCAGATGTGCAGCGACTTCTTTCTGGGGGATCATGGAAAATACACAGAAAATATACCAACCTTACACCAACATCAGGAAAGCTTAATTACTGTAAATAGTAACTCCAAGCCCATAAAACAATGATGTTTGTAATTTTAAAAAGTTAAACCCTGGTGAACTTGTTCACCAAGTAGGTGTCATACTTGGAGGTACAGAACAGTACCAATAGTACTACACAAGGAAATAGTCAACAATAATAATCCTTGCATTTGATATAGCGCCTTATATCGTTGAGATGTCTGAAAGCGCTTCACAAAATATACTGTAAAGTAGATTTGACTGCATATTTTATGGACAAAATGTGGCAGTCAATTGCACACAGCAATGTCCCACAAACAGTCATGGATTGAGTGACTATTACCCCCAGAAAGTGAACTGCCAATCGACTAACAACTGGGCTTCTACTTATTGCTAGCTAAATAGAGGCTTGTGTGCCTAAAGTTAAGAATAGGCTCTTACCTCTGAAATGTTGCAGTTTTCAACAACATTGTTGAAGGAGAAACTCAAACAGAAAAATACAATGCATAAAATAAAGCTACCTCGATTACATACAACAAACAATACATCAAAATTAGTAGACGCTTTCAATTGATTCTGGCACAATTGTTGAACCGTTCTTCTAACTATAATCAGTCACGGCCTATTTTCATTTATTATTTAAAATTACATGGCACATGATAGTTTAATTACATATAATAATGACAGCCTCTTCTATAAATGATTTAATGCTGCAAAATATAACAAAGTATCAATTGTAAATCATTCATCCTCATCCAACAGTGGAGTGTTGGTTCCAAATGATCATGAATTGACTGACAAAGGATATGGATTCTTGACATTTCTGTGGTGGATGGTCAGTGATATATTGCCCAATGTGATATCTATGTTTGTGTAGAAGATCTCATAATTATAGTTACTATAGAAGTCCTGTAGCTTATTAGTTAGAGCACTCGTCTTGCAAACGAAAGGACCTGGTTCGATTCCCGGGCAGGGCGAAACATTGGGCAAGTTTCCTTACTCCACACACCTCTGTTTACCTGGCAGTAAGTAGGAACCCGGTTGTTAGTCGGTTGGTTGGTAATAATCCCTTCAAGAAAACAAAAATAATAATAATAATTTGGTCACTCAATCTATGATTGTTTGTGGGATACTGCTGTACCCAATTGACTGCCGTGTTTTGCCACAAAATATACAGTCAATTCACTTTACGGTATATTCTGTGAAGCGCTTTGAGACGTCTCGAAGACGTGATAAGGCGCTGTATCAAATGCAAGGATTATTATCATTATTACATGGATAAAAGCAATGAATGGAATTGACTCGATTTGAAATGTGGATTTTCCTTTATTGATACCTTCTAAAAATATAAGCTTTAAGCAATGTGCCCAGGCCGTCTAAGAGACCAGATCACAGCACACTCAAACAGAGAGAAAGAGAGAGGGAGGGAGGGAGAGACCGACCTTCCAAGACCTGCTGATGAGTTAGACTGGCAGTCTAGTCATCAGCAGTGCCCTGGAATACTGCAGACTTGTCCAGCTCAGGAACCAGACGACTGAAACCGCCAAAGAAGGCTGGCGCTTGATTCAGACATTGCGTTGCAAACAGGTTTAGGTTAAAAAGGTTAGCTAATGTTGCTCTTGAAACAACTCAGGTGCTGAGCCAGTAATCCAACAGCAGAGGGCGATCCAGATCTACCTAAATTTTATTCACTGCCGTTATGAAGGAAAGTAAAGTGCTGTTGCTGTGTGATGATTTAATTTGTGGTAAGTGGTAAATATTTGAGGACCCAATGATACGCAATCATTTCATTCTTCCCTGTTGGTATCTTCTGAACATTGTTGATTTAAAACAAGGATGCATTTCATAATAGTATATAGTATAATAACTATATTGTGTAGTATAGTATAATAACTATATTGCGATAACGTGCAAAAATAAACAGTTACGGATTGTAACGATGATTAGTTAATAATGCTTGCACTTGGTGTATAGCATATTTCATATCAGTAAAATGTCTTAAAGTGCTTCCTGGGATAATACTGTAAAGTGCAGTGAATGTTTGCCATATAGGCAAACATGGCAGCCAAATTGCACACAGCAATGTCACATAAACAGCTATGGAGTGAGTGACCAATTTTATTTGGGGGATTTATTGGCCAGGACACTGGGAGAAACTCCCTTCTCTTTTCGAATAGGGCCATTGGATCTTTAACCTGAAGACCTCAGTTTAATGTCTCATCCAAAGGATGGCATCTCGGATAATGCATCACAGCCCCCAAACAACGAAGTAGAGTGTCAGCATAGACTATGTGAGTTCAAGGCCCAGCGTTAGCTTAAACATACAGCCTTCTGACCCATTGGCAAGAACTCTGGAACTGAGTGAGGCTGACACTAAGAAGTATTAAGAAGACTAATGACTGTATTAAGAAGACTAATGATTGCATTTAATGTATATCCCAGGGAAGCTCCTAGTGCATTGTGCAGTCGGAGTCAGCAGATCTGCCACTTTGGTGCTGGCCTACCTGATGGTATATCACAGTCACTCGCTGGCGGAGGCAATCGAGACAGTGACCGCTCGCAGACGCATTTTTCCCAATCGAGGTTTCCTAAAGCAGTTACGTAAGCTGGACCAGAAGCTAAAGGAAGATAGGAATGCTCGGAGATCCCTCAGGAATGTCCACCAGACCTCATCGGGCAACGCCTCATAACTGCTCAAAATACCACAAATCCGGATTGACCATCCTATCCCGCATCCGGGCCTTAAATCAGACAACTCAACATCCCATTGTTTCATAAACAGAGATAAAGACTCCACCTCAATTCTTATTTTAATCAAAATGAGCTTCCACTGTGCGTGTTGCCAAGAGATTTATCTTTGATTTCACCCTTGACTTACAGAAAGATAAATCATAACATTATGTACTCAGGATAGTGGAACACCCTTTTATGTCATGAATTTGGTGACAATAAATGACAGATTGTGGCATACCCCACCCATCCCCTCCCCCGGTCTTAGCAAATGCACGCAACTCTCTACACACACTACCACTGGATGGCTGTAATGTTCCATTTAAATTCAATAGATAATTTTGCACACATTCTCAAAAAAACAGTGAAAAATATTCATCTCGTAGCCTGACTGTCACAATCTATTTGTGTCTGTTTCATTTACAGGCTCCATGGTTGGAGGAGTTTTGTGATCCACTGCCCTGCAGCCATGCTGATTTATCGCATGTTAACTCTGGGACTATTAGTTTAATTTGGGATGTTTTCCAAATCTATTTATTAAATATTTTAAATGTTTCTTTGACCCAAGGGGAAGTGATGTTGGAGGTGGGGGGGGGAGGAGTGGGACATCCTTCTTTCTAAAGGGAAATGGTGTTATCCTGTTGATGTGCCAGCACATATCCTGTGTACACAAAAAAGCAGGCATAGTAGGAGGCCATTCAGTCCATTGAGCCTGAACTACTATTTAGGGACCTTGAAAGATTTTATCCCAATGCCTTGCCTTTTCACTACACCTCTTAACACCTCTCATACCCAATTATCTGTCAATCACTCTTCTAAGTATCCTTATTCCACATTACCTAATTATAATACTTACAATTGATATAGTACCTTTCACATCAGGAAAAAGTCCCAAAGTGCTTCACAGGATATGCTGTAAAGTGTGGTCACTGTGTTTTGTGGGCAAGCGTGGCTGTCAATTCGCACACAGCAATGTCCCACAAATAGCAGTGGAGTGAGTGACCAATTTTATTAGGGCGATTGTTGGACAGAACACTGTGAAAAACTCCCTTTTCTTTTAAAATTGTGCCATGGGATCTTTAACAGCCACCTGAACAGGCAGACAGGGCCTCGATTTAATATCTTGTTTGAAGGATGGCACCTCCAAAAACACAGCACTCCCCCAGCACCGCACTGGAGTGTCATCTTCGGCCATGTGATTCCAAGTCCAGACGTGGGACTTGAACCCACAACCTTCTGCCTCAGAGGCAAGAGCACTAACTACCAACTGAACTAGGCTGACACGCATACTTGTGGGGAAGGAGGAATGTTGGTTGGTTAAAAAGAATTAAAAATTGCCACACACTCTTTATATCATTAATGTTGTTGTACCTTGTGTGTTGTTTCACTGTCTTAGTAGCTTAGTGCACTTACATGGTGAAGTACTGATCCACACAGACCAACTCTCTGGGGCAGTAGGTATACACGAAGAAGGTCTCAGGTTCAATAGTTGGTCTGAATGGAGTTAACTCATCTCAACTAGGAAGCAATTGGAGGAATGCTACAATCAGCACCAGTGAACCTGAGCCAAAAAGAATAAAAGGAAGTGAAGGAAAGTGGCTTCTAAGTTGAGAGTTCATTGAATATTTTTGTAAATTTCTGGAAGGATCTTACATTTAGAGACAATGGTCGGAGGGATAAGACCATGAGGCATTTCAGACACTACAAGTGTTCACCTGTGTTCCCCCACTCCCCGCTCCCTCCGCTGTCACTGAGATGCTGGAAAATGTGTCCGCACAGTCCTGTGACCGCTGCCCAAGTCAACCCTTCCTCAAAGATGGAAAAAACCTGCCTCCTCACCTGACAGGCTCATCGAGGTACAAGAGCGAACATCACAAATGCTGCCCCCACTGGTCCAGAGTTCAGACAGCTCAGGGATTCTCTCTCCCCAAGCCAAGGTTTCGTCTGACACATCTGCAAGGCACGATTTAACACAAGTCAAACAAACATTTATTAGCTCTGGCACAAAGTCATTTTACACCAAGACCCCGGGATCATTTATTCACAGAGCGCCAGTTCTCTCCATTGCCCACGAGTTCAGTTCAGTTCAGTCAGTGTTTCATTAAAATGCCCATCACAGATTTAATCAATAACGAAGGAAAACACTTCTAAGACACCAAGGCCGAGTTACCTGGTTGTCAGGACCGGTTTGAGTGCTTGGCACATTATATTTTCCCTTGTGACTTCCACACGCAAAAGAAAAGTTTTGATTTGTGCATTTTCTTCGATTCTCCTTATAGATAGTGACTTGTAAACCTGGCTTCCTGCCATCACGGTTCAGTATCACGCAGCCCAGCCTCAGCATGAACCCTGCTAATAACCACAGGCTGTTTCTGCTGCACTGCACGCTGAAGTTACTTTTCCTTTCCTATACCTTTCAGAAATGCAGTCTGCAAGGGTAAGCTCTGGGAGTGAGATGGGTGACAAACCTCATTTCAATGGACGGGGGATTTGTTTACAATTCAGATGCTGAGGAGCTATGCTCCCTTTTATTTAAATGTTATTGTATTTGAAATTGAATGCTGCAGCATAACATAATAATCATAAAACTACGCACGACGACAACAACATTTACATTTATGCAGCGCCTTTCACGTCGTTAGGCTGTCTTAAAGCGCTTCTCTCACCTGACTGGGAGCTCGAGCTGGGGGTGAGGTGGGGCGGGGGGAAGAGTGTGTAAGGTGGCCAAAAGCTCAGTTGAAAAGATAGGTGTAAGTTGAGTTTTGAAGATGGAGAGGGAGGGACCAGAGAGCAGTTATGGTGGATGGGGCAAGGGACATGAAGCAGGCTGATGTTTGTTGAACGGAGGGAGGGGCCGGGATACAAACAATATAAGAACAACATTAATCTGTGGTATTTCTTAACACAATTTCTTAATAAGGAATCAGATTCACACAAATAAGAAATCCTGTCCCACCGACCCGGAGGAAATTTATCCCTCCAATCCACAGGATGTGTGGTCCACCGACCGACACCAAATTACATTTGTATAGCGCCTTTCACGTCAGGAGGATAGGAAGTCACATGGGAAGTCTGCCTCACTGACCCACACGAACTCCACTCCGACGCCATGCACTTCCAAAGTTCCATCAACAGAAATTGTAACGCAAATCAACATGAGCTCTAATTGTTTTTTCTTATTCAAGAATCTTGTTAGGAAATATCACATAACAGACCTGTCAGTGGCCCCCTCTGTTTGAAGACATATTGTAACCGCAAGCGACTGCATTAGAAAAACACATTCTTTAATAAACTTTGAAAACTGGCCAACATCCCTTGATTGACATGTTATGTTTAGCTGTGATACCTGGGTTACAGCCAAGCAGTAAAGATTTATCACTCGTTTGCACAGGTGCATGAGGAGTCGTAACACGCTCTTCTTAAATAAACTCCACAGAATCCGAGTGTTTAAATAACAAGACCTCAGACCGAGTGAGAGATCTTTACAAGGAATAGGTTGGATCAATATTAAGCAGAAAGATTGGAGTCTGAGCTAACCACCACAGACACGATAGACCAAATGGCCTCCTACTGTGCTATAAACTTCCAGCGACTGTCTTTTGCGTTAGATGCAAAGGTAACATTTCTTATTTAGTCCATGCTTTTTCAGTTCAAATATTTGTCACTTGCACCAGTGCCCAAAGAAGGTACAACAGCAGCTCTTTGAAAACATTATCCGAAGGGTCGAGCAACAGCCTGTAGCATCCATTTGTTCAACCCATCAGCAAAGCAATCTGACAGCGCCTGACACTGAGTGCAAGGGGCGCTATCTACACAGGAAAGTCTTGTGTCCCTTATAAACACGTAACAAAGTGATGCAAGTTATATTGATATATGTCATCATATCAGTCGCTCATGGAATTGGGATCAACTAGAAATGGTGTCAACTTGGAAACTCGTGAAGTATCGAATAGGAATTATCTGATTGTGCTGGTGATGAACCCTTTTCTACTCCCTCCACCCATATTGTTTTCAACACTGATATCTATATAGCCAGATTGCCTATTTGACTTCCAGCTCTCACCACAAATACTGAGCTTTGAACATATGAGTCACAGATGATTTCACAGGGAATGGGGCAGGGAAGGGAAGATACTGTATATACGGAAGCAGTCTGCCTCTGGACCACTGAAACAGTTCCTATTCCATACATTCTGAAGTTGTAAATGTACTTCACCCACAAAATATTCAGACAATTCACTTCAAAGTACATTTTGTGAAACGGTTTGACATGTCTCAACAACGTGATAAGTCGCTATATCAAATGCAAGGATTATTATTATTATTACTTATTAGGTGTTGATAGGTTGTTTATATTTGTTAGTGAATCCAAAACAAGAGGAGTGGGAAACAATACATATGAGCAGGTTGTTGTAGATCTAATAGGGAGTTTAGAAGGAATTGTGGTTGAAGCAAATAGCAGCAATATGTTTAAGAGAAACATTTGAAGCAAACAGGAGGGAAAAGGGAATAGAAGTGTAAAGGAGAATGGAACAGAAGGATGGGAGTTTGCATGAATTACTAACACCAGCACAGACGATTTAGGATGAATGGCTTGTTTCTGTGCTATATCACTCTATATAACCCCAATATTGGAGACATTTTTCCAGTGTCTCTTTATCTCAAACCCTTCCTCCTACTCACGACCACTTAAATGATGGTATACACGCCTTTTCAAAATACACGGCTGGTTTCAGAGGTGGATAGAGCTGGATTGGGTTGGCATTTGCATGGTTTAGTCAAGAACAACAAAATTACATTTGGTCAGTACCTTTCACGTGAGGAAGATGTCCCAGCATTCATATACCAATCACTGCCCTCACCACCCCCCAAATTCCGAATTTCCTGGCAGCAATTTTATCTTGGCAGTTGCCTGAGAATTAATATAGATAATTATTTCAGACACGGACGCAATGTCCTCTCACATGTTCTGGCTCGGTAAACCCTGGTGAGAAGCTCTGCACAAAGTGGTGTTCTTTACCCAGTGGAGCGTGGAACACTAACAGAAAACGACAACACATTAAAGGGATTCGCAGCTTTCAATAAGAATTGAACGAAGTAAGTTTACTAACAACTTAGCAACAGAAATAGAGATGAACGGAGCAGTTATTTATATTGACTTAACTGTGGTCCACAGAATTAGCTCAGCTGCCTGCAGAGATTACTGTAGGTTTTCTGAATGCAGAGAGACAGTTTTTATGCTTATAATCATTCATCAGGCAAGTGTACATTTGCTTTAAAATCGAAATTCGACTGCGCTTGATCACCATCGTTCTTTATTCTAAACATTAAGAGATTCGTGTTTTGTTTTAAGTTGCAAGACTAGAGATTGTGTCTTCACTAACAAAATAAAGTGTCAGTTTGGCTCAGTGGTAACAACAACAGCTTGCACTTACATTGCACCCTCCATGCAGGATAGCATCTCGGAGCGCTTAACGGTGGCAGAGCCTGACTCCGAGCTGGGTGGGAGGGAGGTGACGGTAAGCATGATCGACGAGGAACATTTTCAGGCGGGACTTGAAAAAGGGGAGAGGGGGGAAAGGTGGAGAGATTGAGGGAGAGTGTTCCAGAGCTTTGGCCATAGTGGCTGAAAGCGCGACAGCCAATGGTGGGGTGGAGGGTACGAGTCAAGCAGGAGGCCAGTCGAGTGGAGACACCAGGTGGTGGATTGGGGAGTGAGGCAGTCAGAGAGGTAGGGGAGGTGCCAGGGAGTGAATGGATTTGCACACGAGTGTGAGGATCTTGAAGTCGATCCGTTCGGTGATCAGGAGCCAGTGAAGCCTGGCCAGAACTGGTGAGATAGGGGTACAGAGTTTGGTCCGGGTCAGTATGCGGGCAGCAAAGTTCTGAATGAGCTGGATTTTTTGAATGGTGGAGCTGGGGAGACCGGCGAGGAGTGCTTTAGAGTAATCCAAGAGGGAAGTGATAAACATATGCACGAGGGCTTTGGCTGCACTTGGGGTAAGGTACAGTCGAAGGCAGGCAATGTGACAGAGGTGGACGAAGGCGATCCTGGTCAGGGACCAGATGTGGGGGAGAAAGGACAGCTGGGGGTCGAACCGGATGCCTAGATTGCGCACTGATCTGATGAGTCTGAGGGAGAGCCCAGGGTGGTTGAGCACATTCAGTTGCAGGAAATTTGCACTCATACAGGCTCTGATGTCTGTCAGTCAAGCTGATAGAACATCTGCAGACCTGGAGTCGATGCTGAAGGAGGCAAAGTAGATGTGTGTGTTGTCCGCATCCATGTGGAAGTTTACCTCATTTGCGGGTGACATCGCCCAGAGGGAGCAAATAGATGAGGAAAAGAAGAGGGCCAAGGATGGAGCTCTGGGGAACCCCGCAGGTGACCAGGCGGGGGCAGGGGGAAAACCATTTGAAGAGATGAAGTGGAGGCTGTTGGTTAAGTAGGACTTGAACCATGCGAGTGCAGTTCTACTAAGGTGGAAGAGGGAGGAGAGGCAGTGTGGTTGACTGTGTCGAACTTGGAAGAGAGATCCAGGAGGATGAGGAGGCAGTGGGAGCCCTCACAGATTGTTGTTTGTGACTTTGACAAGTGGTGTCCCTGTGCTGTGGGCAGGGCGAAAACCAGGCTCGAGGAGGGAGCGGAAGGAGAGGTGTGATCAAAGTTGACCTGCAACAATGCGTTCCAGGACTTTAGCGAGGAAGGGTAGGTTGGAAATGGGATGGTAGTGGGAGAGATTAGAGGTATCGAGGGTGGGTTTTTTGAGGAAGGGTGTAATAACAGCGGTTTTTAGAGGGAGTGAAACAGAGCCTGAGGAGAGAGACTGGTTAACCGTGTCGGCCGGCAGGGGGAGAGAAGAGCGAGTTGAGTGACTAGCAGCTGGGTAGGTAGTGAACTTCATGCGGGTATTCGTAGTTGATAGGGAGGAGGGAGAAATGGGGGTAAAGGAGTGTAAGGAGGGGGAAGTGGCAATGGCCGTAGTGGAGAGAGCAGGCAGTGTGGATGTGGGTGGGGTGGAAGGGGACATGGGGTCAGGATGATGCAGCCAAGCGGATGTTTTCGATCTTTGAGGCAAAGAAGTCTAAAACCTCTTCGCACTTGTTTGATGTGAGGAGCAAGAGGAGGTGCACGGAGGAGGTGATTGACAGTGGAAAACAGTGTCTTTGGGTTGTTTCACTCTCAAACACTCTCGCTTCTTGGTCAGAAGTTGTGATTAATGTCAATTGGAGGTCGACACTCCAGGACTGGAGTGGGTAGGCTGAATCATCAGGGCTGTGATGCTTCAATGAGACATTGAACTCAGGCTCTATCCATCACTTTGGTGGATATAAAAAAATCCCATGACACTATTTGAAAAGAGAAAGCAATTGAGTTTCTCTTGGTGACTTGATCAACGATCCTCCATAAGTGATTATTCCATAAGTGATTATTCACTTGATGATTTGTGGGCTGCATTTGCCTCCACATGCACAGTCACTACACTCGACAGGAATGACCTGCAAAGCACTTTGCAGCCGCTGAATCAAATGCAAGAATTTTTATTATTATGTTATGATAAAATTGCTAATTGCAAAAAAACAACTTCTGGTCACTGCAATATAAAAGGGATATTGCAGCGATTGAGAGGATGCAGAAACACTACTTCAGCAAGTGAGTAATAAACTTATGGAACAAGCTCCTTAGGGAGACAGTGGAAGCAGAAAATATTGTTTGTTTCAAGAAATTAGATAGACTTCTGCTAGAAATCTACAACATACAGTACACTGATCATTGATATGGGTACAACAGAAAAAACAAACAGTTGATAATAATAATCCTTGCATTTGACATAGCGCCTCGTCACGTCTTTGAGACGACTCAAAGCGCTTCACAGAATATACTGTAAAGTGAATTGACTGTATATTTTGTGGGCGAAACCCGGCAGCCAATTGCGCACAGCAGTGTCTCACAAACAGTCGTGGATTGAAGTGACCAATTTTTTTTTGGAAGGAATTATTACCCTCAGAATAGCGATCTGCCAATCGACTAACAGCCAGGTTCCTACTTGCTACTAGGTAAACAGAGGTGTGTGGAGTAAGGAAACTTGCCCAACATTTCACTCTGTTGGGAATCGAACCCAGGTCTCTCGCTTGCGGGGCGAGTGCTCTAACTACTGAGCTACAGGACCCTGTGTAATAACCTGATAATAACTGAATGTCCCTATTGTGTAGACTATTAAAGGGAAAACAATCTCTTTGCTATGATCTCATCAGGAAAGAACGCCTCCCTCAAGTGGTCTGTGTACATAATTCAGAGGTTTCAACTCTTCATCTATAATTAATCATTTCAGCCTCCAAACAACATACCCAGTCAAGTTACCTTTCTGAAATGTAAATATCAGAAAGACACAATTTGGCAGTGGAAACCCTGATGTAAACACTCGGCAAAGTACAACAGTTTCTGGTCTTTATTAACTAAGTGGTTACCGGTGCTTGCGAAAAGATCGTTTGGTCTTTTTGGTAGCCGCACCAATACGAGAAATTGAATAGGCAGCATTAATAAGTAAGACATTTATAGGACCTAATTCAAAGTTTCTCATATAGAGGTAAGTTGTGTTTCCACAGCTGAATTTTCAGCACTGAATTGCAAACAGAGAGGGGAAATGCAAGTAATTCATATCAAAACTGTCTCCTTTCAAAGAGTGTCACTGAATCCTGTTTCAAAATATTTGTGAAAGATAACATCTCTGATAATGCAGCACTCCCCCAGTACTGTATTGGAGTGCCCATCTAGACTATCATCTTAAACTCTGATGTCAGTAAGGGGAAAATATCATCCTCACATACAGTAATTTTCCCCTATAATTTCTCTCATGTTGGGCTTTCATCTGCTACTTTTTGGCACAGCTGTTTGTGAAATTGAGGGCTCATATTTTATAATTATACCACAAGGATTGGGATCTTGCCACAGGTCAATTGGAATGAATGAGAGCAATTTATATTGCATGAAATGTGTCCTCTGATCAAGTGAATCTCAGAGAGGCCTTAGAATAATCAGCTCACTCTCAGGAAGAAAATCCCAAAGAGCTAGGGAAACAGCTGCTCTGGTTTCTGCTGACAGAATATTCATTGACTTGGACTTTCAGAAAGTTAACAGTTGGTAAAATGTCCACTTGAGCTGATGATGGTTGGCTTGGCAAATTGCCAATCCTGGGGTAGGTCCAGGAAAGGAATTGGAGGTAAATTTCAAGTACCTCACAGAAACCATTCTCAAATTGACATTGATAAGGGCAAGCAGCAAACAAGCTTCCTTCTTTCCTATGAAATGCATATAGTTTAAGAGCCTTAAACTATTATTTATGTAAACTATCATTTCAACCACAAAATACACAGTCAATCCACTTTATAGTACATCCTGTGAAGTGCTTTGAGATATCTCGACAACGTGAAAAGGCACTATATCAAATGCAAGTATTGTTGTTATTTCTTACCTTTCACGTCGGAAGGACACCTCAACACCTTGGGATGTTCTTCTGATGGGAAAAGTGCTATGTAAATATAATTTTGTTGTTATATAGCGCCTTTCATGTCAGATAAATGCTTCGCAGAGATGATAGGGAGCAGGAAAGAGAGGCCAAGGGATTTGGGGAAGAGTTTGAGAGGGTGGCACAGTGGCTATGAAACCACAAAATTCATGTAACTCATGGAACAATAACTTTAAATTGATATGGAACCTTTTACATAAAAGACACATGTCAAAGTGTTAGGATTGCAAAATAACTTTTATACATGTAACTTCCATTCCGCTATCTACAGGCCATTTCTTCTAGTTAGGATTTATGTTGTGCCGTGTATCATAATGAATTACCTATCCTACCACAAATGCTCTTATTCTTGCAAACGTCTTGTTGTAGTACCAACCTGCTCAGTCATTTGCTGTAAAACTCCCTCAGGGGGTTATGATTTGCATCCAGGATCTTTTCATCAATTGGAATCTCACAATAGATGATCTTCCAGCAGGGCAAATAGTACTTCTCTGGAGGGATCCCAACAACAATCTGGTTTCAGCTGTGGGTGATGGGTACAAACACCTTGTCGACACTTAACCTCATCATCTGGAGTGATACTTCAGCAGCACGGTAGAGTACCAGAGAAGCACTCATTGTCAAAGTGCTGTTCTTCAGAAAAGACTTTAAACCATCTGCCAGCAGGACGAGTTGCACATTAAAGATCCCCTGACACTATTCGAAAAGAGAAGAGAGTTTTTCCTCATAATCCTGGCCAATAAACCTCCAGAAAATGTGTCATTCACTTTGAGATTGTTTGTGGGACCTTGCTGACACAAATAGCTGCTACGTTTGCCGACAAATACAGTCACCAAACTTGACAGTAATTATCCATGAAGCTCTTAAGGATACTTTGGTTTATTCCCAAATTCTGCCACCTGCATATTCACCCACATTAAACTCCATACACCTGTCACACCAGTTCTAGCCATTCTCCACTCGCTCCCTATCATCAAATGGATCGATTTCAAGATCCTCACACTCGTTTTCAAATCCCTTCATGCACTGGCAACTCTCTACCTCTCCGACCTGCTTACACCCCAATCCTCTACCCGCTGCCTCTGCTTGACTGGCTCCGGCCTCCTGCATGTCCCCCGTGCCCTCCATTCCATCATCGGTTGCCGGCTTTCAGATACTTTACTCTGAAACTCTGGAATACTCTTCCTCTACACCTCCGCCTTGCCACATCCTTCTCCATCTTCAAGTTGCCCTTAAGACCTTCCTCTTCAACTGTTCCTATGATCACCTTCCCCCTCCTTCCAGCTCAGCGTTGTGCCTCACCACTGTCAAGCGTTCTGGGACCCCACCCTGCATGAGGGGTGCTAAATAAATGCAAGTTGTTGTTGAGTTGGTGAGGTATTCTTTCTGTTGTACTCAGAAAGTTCCCTTTGTCATAGGCCTTTAATGTTCTCTTTAGGTTTAATAGTCTTTCCTGAGGTTGTGATAATAATAAACCTATCAGTTGGGAGAAAGATTTTCTTGAAGAGACTTCTCTGTTGGTGGCACTGAGCCAAGGAGACCAGGAAAGGCTCAGATTAAATCTTAGATCCACGCTGAATTTGTGGATCTCACCAGGGGACAGGAGTGGGCTGCTAAATTTGGCTATATCATCTCTGAGCCAAGGAGCGAGATGAAGGAAAATTATTGGCTTGTCTTCCTGCTTCTGATCATTGTCCAGTAAGCCTTGCTGGAAAGTAGGGTAAACCCTTGTGCAGACCTTGGATGCTTGAGTATTTGACAGAAAGAAAGAAAGAAAGAAAGAAAGAAAGAAAGAAAGAAAGAAAGAAAGAAACAAAAACAAACAAACAAACAAACAAACAAATAAATAATATTAAAAAAATGAAAACCAACACCCTTTTCAATGACAGCCAGTTCTTTCACCCTTGTTCAGCCATAGCTTCATGGGTAATATCATGTCCTGAAAGATACATTATCGGGATCATTCACCCTGGGCAGACGTCCAACTTGCAGAGAGGGAAGTGAAAAAATAACCATCTGATAGTGCTCGGGGTAAACAGAGCCGAGTCACCTGTTGAGTTGAGTCACTGTTCCAAGTATAACATCTTCACTTAAGCTATCAGATTTAAATATTAGAATTACATAATTGCAGCCAATTCATATGATTTCCCAAACTGAATGATTCCTCACAAAACCCTATTCTCCTACTCTTCTCTGATGCAGTTTTGGGTGCTCTGGCCATTTGATAATAATAAAAATAATAATAATTCTTGCATCTGATATAGATATCTGATGATATCTTCATCAAGTCTTCTGTCCATTTGATAATACTAATAAAATAATAATATTATCATAGCTCAGTGAAGCAGACACCTACAAAATAAGTTGCCTCATTGAGCAATCTTTTTAAAGTTTTTTCTTTCTTCTTAGTCCAATGAACTTGTTATATCATCCAATATCCCAGCCAAGTGGTCAGGCATCCAGTGCTTTTGGAGAACTAGCTGTGGGAGGATTGGATGTTCAACCTGAAGGTAACACTCTCTTCATCGTTCCCTTTGGGAAGGGAAGCACCAGGTTCCTCTCCATTTGGAAGCTCCTCAAGATGGCAATCTTGTGATTGGAATTCCAGAACATACGAGATGCTCAGCCATAAATCCACATCTGCCATTAGTGTGCCATTGTGTCGCCAACTTTGTCTTTATCATTCCAGAAAGGAATTTCTGAACAAAAGAGCTCAAAAGGGTCAAATTCTTCCAAACCCCAAATAGCCTAATGCGATTGCTTTCAATTGCTGAGTTCAGCACTTATCTATGCTTCTCGGCTTTGTTGAGCACATCAGTGTCTATTCAAGTTTATTTTTCTGCCATGTTTGACATTGTCTTGTGTGTAGATGAACTCTTCTTCTAAATACAACTGTTGAGGAAGCTTTATTGTTCATTATTGCCTAAATATAGTGGCATTCCTCATTAATTGTGCACATGATAAATATGATATTTCAAGCTGACAGCACCCTAATTTAGAAATGTGAGACAAGCCAAGAATTGAATGCACAGCATTCACTATTTAATTTATGAAGCCTGCCAAATCTAGCAAAGCTCCAAAACTTTCTTATCTGTCAACAGATCTCCTTTCATTAATAAAAATCTTGGCTGTGTAAATCTGGGTTCTCAGCTTCTGCAGGAGAACAGAATAGTTTTTCACTTTCTGTACCCAACGTTAGCAACAATGCTCCCAAATAAAGTACAGCAAAAGTTTGTCACAAATTTTAACTGCTTTCTAACTACCCTAGTAATATATCTTTAACCTCTGAGGTTTTATATACAGGGGAACAAGTGTGTGTGTGTTGCAGATACAAAATTCGGGAAGGTATGGCAATGATTAAGCAGGAGAATTCTACCACTGCAAGTTGAGAGTGATGATTTCTACCTCATTAGGTCTGCTTTAATTGCTGGTGGTGAAACAGCAAACGCATTGCCTACAGAACATGTTAGCACTTCCTTATCCCCTAATCACGAACAATGAATTAACGCAACAACAACTTGCATTTATATGGCATCTTTCACGCAGGAAAGCATCTCAGAGCGTTGAACAGTGGCGGAGCTTGACACTGGGCCATGGGGAGGGGATGGTGACCGTAAGCACAGTCAAAGACAAAGGTCTTAATACGAACCTGAGAAGAACGTTCTACTGCACCAATGTGACCACTTTCATTTTACACAACAACCACCCTTTGAGTTCCAAGCCTAATGTTCCCCTCTAGTCTGCTCAAGAGCATTTCTAAGATTAGATTTCAATGAGAAAGCGAATCAGTGGAGATACCCAGGGAGACTGATGCACAACAAAAAACCCTTTGCATTTAGGCAGAATCCAAATCAGGTTTTTGTGTGAGTATACATGTTATTCGGGAAAAGATTGCCATGTAATTGTCTGAACACACGGTTTTCATACTCGAGCACCCAGACTGAATGAATGTGGTTGTACAATAAGAAATGAAAAGGAATAATTCCTTCTGATCTTGTTGTGAATCTGCAATTTATAATAGACAGAGCATGTCTTGTGAAAGAAAGATTGGTGCATCAGGGGAATATTTCAAATTGTGTCTAAAGCCACTTCTTTTATGCAAATGGTATACTATGAGAAAGTAAAGTCTAAATTTAAATTTAAGCAAAAATTCCTTGTGCGACCAAGTGCAGCTACTTTGATGATGTAGGCTGTCGTTAACACTTGCTGGAGGCCAACATTAGTGCACGTTGTCATAATAATGAAAATCCCTTTACATAACCACAATGAAACATCACTAAAGGTAACACAGAGCAGTATATCGCTACTTTGAGGTATAAGGAATTCCTGAACGAATTTCACTCGTCATTCACCAAATGATAACCCCCTGTAACTCTACCTCCCCCCCGACCCCCCCACCACATACACACCTCCCTCCTGTGCGTTTCAAAACCCTGGTCAAAATGTAGATGCCAAAGTAAAGGAATGCAGGTGGACCACACTCCACTTATCCATGCACTGAGCTTTGGGGGAAATGTTGAGCTGAGATTAGAGAAGAGAAATTGGAAGCAAAGCATCACTGGGGCCATTACATTTAAATTGGGAGGTAGAATAACTTAATAGGCACAATGCAGACTGCAGCCCATCTGTCAACCATAACCCATTTCTATGTAAAAGTCAGAGGTATTGAATTGTTAATGATTGCCTGAAGGAAGTGGGTAACATATTGGTTATAAAGAGATGCAATGCAGACTTAGGCCTGTGACAAGACAAAATAAAGGTCAAAGATCTAATTGGAGTACTTTTGAATGTTCCGGTGTGCACTTGGAATCCAAGTGGAGGCAATGTTAACTTAATAGACACACTGAGTCTTCTACTGTGAGGAACAATAATAACACATAATTGGTGAAGGTATTTCGAGAGTCAACATTTCAGTGGCTGTAATTGGTATATGTAATAAATTACATTTTAAAATGTAAAAAAAGAAAGTATAGTTTTCAAGAATGAAAGATAACAATAATGGTGTGCATCATGTTTCAGAATGTCTTGGGAAGAGACAGACAGGGGATTTGCATCAAGATCAAAACTACCTTCTGCATTAAAAAACGAAAGTGAAGACAATTATGAACCTCCTAATTTATCTGATCTCCATCGCCTCCTCTGGACAAAAGCAGAATCTGGGCACGTTGATCAAGTCTGGCCAAACCTTTACCTGGGAGATGCGTAAGCATATACAGTACATACCACACAAAGCTTACTTGCCCTTGCCACATAGAGGCTAGGAATAGAATCAAAATATTCAGTTGCTTACAAAATGGCCATCGCTTCTTTTTAATTTTTTATATATTGTACCTATTTTTCATATTATTGCTCTCCGTTGTCCCACCCCCAGTCTGATATCTTTTTCATTGATTTTGATTCACAAAAGCCAGTCATCCACACTTGAGAATTCCAGCTCATGGCTGTTGGTTAGAAGGATAGCACGTTAACCATTGAGTTTTTTAAAAAAACATTAAGCAATTTTCATCCCATTTACTCCTGTGGGAAGTGAAATTGATCAATCAAGCCATTTGCCACCAAAAGACTGAAAGAATTGATTGCCCTTTTTACCAGGTGGACTGCTCGAGACAAAGCCACTCTCCAGAGATTGAAGATTACTCACATCCTCAACAGTGCCCATGGAAAGTTCAACATCAATACAGGAGCAAATTATTATAAGGATATGCTAATACATTACTATGGAATTGAGGCATTTGATAGCCCGGATTTCAATCTCAGTGTCTTTTTTTACTCAGCTGCAAAATTCATCCGAGCTGGTCTGAACACACCTGGAGGTAAGTAGCTGTTCTCTGACAGTGCAATGTTGTTTAATAGAAGCTCAGCGAACCCTCGCTCCATATGGCTTCCTCCCCCGGCTGTCCTTCATTTCTGTCCTATTTCCATTTGTAATAGACCAGGTAATTAAGAAATACTTGTGATGCCCGTGGGGTTAAGTGGCCCTTGACACATTGGAACAAATCGGAATTTTGCCTGACATAAGTATAATAAAACAGCTCGTCTTCCTGTGTCAGGGGTCAGCAGCTACCCCTTGGGTTCAGCACAGGAGGGATAGTCCATGTACAGACAGGTTGGCAGTTTGAGTGACCCAGCATCTAATTTTCTGCTCTCACTGGTATCAAGATGCCAAAAGATAGGTCCAGCTGTTCTACAGACCTGTCTCAGGAAGAGTCACAAATTGCTGTTAATGAGAAGTCGGTTATGTTCATAGAAGCAAAGGATCCGCAACACTTAGAAGGTCTGGAATTCTACCTAGCTTTAGCACGCGTAGCCATTTTGTATTAAAATTGAAGACTGTGCAGAATTATGGAAAATTCTTAATTTCACCCTGAATTTGGAATCTGTTCTTCCACTGTTCTTAAAGAGAACCAGTTTCCAAATTAAAACTGGAGTTGAAAATGTTCCATAATTCTGCGCAATCGCACATTTTAAGACAAAATGGTCTTCTTACAGGCTGGATGGTGATCAGGAGTAGGGGTTTTTCTCTTCTTAAATCCAGGGGCTCTGAGGTCAATTGTAGCATCTCAACAGCTGAACTTGCTGAGATCAGGTAATTCAACACAGTTTTCCCAACAAGCCATCAAAGGAGCTCTTGGGATCATTTCTTAATTGTTTAAAGTTCTGGTTCAGCCAAATGACACATTGATTTGTCTCAGTGTTAACATACTCATCATTCATAGAATTATAAAGACTATACCACCCCGAAAGAGGCTATTTGGCACATCTAGTCCATGTTAGTGTTTATACACCATATGAGCCTCCACTCCTCCTACATCCCTCTCTCTACCTCCTTCCATACCCTTCTATTCACTTTTCTCTCTTGTATTCCTCTGAGGATGGTTTAAAAATAGGAAAGACTAAGGCAAAAATAAAAACTATAATATATTGCACCATGCAACTAATATTATGGAAAAGTAACTAACACTAGAGGAGATCTTTTTGAATATACTACAATTAGCAGAAAAACATGCATTTGGGTGGGGACTGAAAAATATATTCAAGTATACAGGTGGATATAGCGTATAGAATGTGTAAAGCTGAGATAATATTGTAATGCACCCCCCCAAAAAACAAAGATAGAGATGAAAAGTAAGACAGTCAAAATATAACAAGAATCATGGCTTCACCTCCCTCCCCCTCCACAGGGCTATCTTTTAGCAAGTCATTAACAGATTTGCTGGAAGTCTAATCCCTGTCTGTGTAATAAAACACACACTGCAGACATATGGTAAGAATAGACGAGAAAAGGAGTCCGGGACAAAGGCACTGAATGAGTGAGAGTGAGCCAATGCCTTGGGACCCTGGCAAACGTCAGGCAGTTGCAAGCAGATGGAGTTAGAGTAAAGACAATACTTCTTGCTGTTTGGAGTATTAGAATAATTGTAGATGTGGCCATCAAAATGCTTCATCCCTTCTGTCTAGCAATCTACCATGTGGGCTTCCTTAATAGCTGCTGTTTTCTCCTGGGTAGACTACACACAAATGTCATATAAACAGCATGCATAACCATTAGAGTGCTCATAGAGTGCCTTATGTCTATAAGTGCATTATCTTTGGACGTTCATGACAGAAAGTCACACAAGCTGGATCAGCATGTGAAGATAATGACATCAATGCACAAGGCGATGAGAGTTTTATATTTACAGTGTGGCCACAATGCAAATACTCAGCACCATCTCAAGCTGTTTTGTGGTTAATCCCCATGATTCAGGCTCAATACAAATTAACTTGAGCAAACAGCAAACAATTCAATTGTAATGCGTGAAATTGGATATATGAAAGCCTTTGTGTGTGGATGAAACTTGATCTAATTAGCTCCCATGTGTAACATATTCCTCTGGTCTAAATCAAAGCCAAACCTCTTAGCTTGAGTGTCTGCGCCCAAGTCAACAATCCGCAACTGTGTGTTTGGGCTCCAGTTCACTGCCCACTATAGACAAGTTTAAAATTAGAACTGTGTCACCAAATCATTTGTAAGTTCATTTAAATGGGTCATTTCTTAACTTTAAGCAAAGCGGGCATTTTACAGGTATTTAATTAAGGGCAAGACTTTGTGTGCCTCCAATTGAGTATTGTTCAATTAAGGTAAATTTTATCTGTGATCAAGTCATTTTATTTACAGCCAACACAGGAGAAGTTATCATTCTGAATTACAACCCAGATCTCAGAGTAGAAATACATTAACCAACTGCAGTTCGCAATCCCTCACATTGTACCTTTAAACTCTTTCAAAAATATTTTGCTATTTTAGCAAAAACATTTTAACTAATGTTTTAGTTAATCAGAAACACAAAGAGCCTGGAAACCATAATACTTATGGTCAATAATAAATAACCCTATATTGCATTTGATACAGTTTCTTATCATGTTGCCAAAACATCTCAAAGCACTTCACAGGATATATTGTAAGTGAGTCTATTTTGTGGATGAAAGGGGCAGCCGATTTGCTCACAGCGATATTCCACAAGCACCCATGGAGTGAGCGATCAGTTTTATCTGGGGGATGGTTGGACAGGACACAGGGAGAAATGTCCTTCTCTAGAGGGTTATTTAGGACAATAAAAACTCCCCTTTTTCAGACTTGTCTCTATCAAGTGCAGTGAAATAAAATGTGAGTAATGAAATTAAATTTTGGTCTTCTCATACATTGTATGTAATGTCATTTCAGGAAATCAAAGTATAACATCCGGTGTATGACATGGATGTTCATTTTCCTTTCCAGGTAGAGTGTTTGTTCACTGTGCTATGGGAATGAGTCGATCAGCCACTCTGATCTTTGCCTTTTTAATGATCTGTGAAAAGATGACTCTTGTTGAAGCCATTACAGCCGTGAGCCCTCACAGAAATACATCACCAAATGCTGGCTTCCTCGGCCAACTGCAGGAGCTTGACAGGTCCCTAATGCAAGAAAGGAAGCAATAACTCCAACTTGTCACAGCTTAAAGTGAATGCAAAACATCTGCTTGGAAAGGAATGCTGTGCAATAAAACAATTAATTAATCGCTGGACTTTATATTTGAACTCAAGTTCAGTCCCACTTGCCCACTGGAGTGGGAAGTTATTTAATCTTGCCTATAGCATTGAAGAGGTTTGATTGGTGATCTTAGCCCTATTGTTTGAGTTGATTTTCAAAGTACTGAGACTTATGGAAACCCTGTGTATTCAATCATAATTTCTGCTAAGATCAGATGTTCACAATGTGGATAATAATAGTGACATATATGCACCCTTTCATTCTGGGGTCTATTATGCATGTTATTTAAACCATGTGTAACATGTGTACAGAAGGAATTGTCTTTAATAATGTAATTAACTACCAATGACAAACATTCAACTAATGTTCAATACAATATAAATACAATTTCTATTTATTCTGCTCCTTTCGTGTTGGGTGAATGTCTCAAAGTGCTTCACACTGTTGCCCGGGTACTTAAACTGGAGGTTTGTCTTCAAGTAGGCTTTCAATGTATGGTGAGAGGGAGTCGGAGGTAAATAATCCTAACACACAATATTTCTATCAAGTTCAATTCAAATATGAGCTCACACATTGCAGTATGTCAAAATGTTGTTATATCCAAAACTAACACATCTGCTTCCTTATATCAGACAACTCAAAACATTTAAAAAATATAACAACTTGTGATACACCTACCTTTGCACGGTTTATACAAATGTTATCTTACCTTCCACTATACCTCCTTACTCAAACATGAAACTTCCATTTGACCACCAAAAAATCTACTTTATTCTCTCTCACCTAACACTTTGGCTCCTATATCCCTTATTTTAAGCCAACATTGAAATTGGCATTGGCTCTTATATCAATATACCCACATGGAGGTTAAAATTACATTCTCCACAGACTTAATGTTTGATGGATTTGAGGCTCGATAGAATTGCTGCTAATAACTAACGTTAGTAAAAGTGCATGTCATTTTATTTTATTGCAGAGATGTGAACCATTTGATAAGTCCGGAACTTATTCACCACTAAATTCTTGAACACAAAGGGGCTTATTCTGCTCCATTCACTATAAATGTGGCAGATCTTCCAAATTGGGATTATAGTAGGAGTTCCTATTGGCAACACTCAGTGATCATAGCCAAATAGACTCGTTTGAGACGACTCGATATTTGTTTGTTCCCACAACACTGGTTCTCTAATATGCATACCTTCACCAGTTTCCCCACTTGAGCATAAAGTATTCACAGTGAATTATTTTTGAAGAAGTGGTGGGGTATAAAAAAAGCTGCAAGTGTTTTTTCAACAGCAGTAAAAGCCATAAGTAAAATTATGACCTGGACAACGTGCTTTGAGAGCAGATTTGCTGGTTAAAAGTACACACTGACAAGGTCGATAGGTATTTACTTTATGGACCAGAATAACCCCCTAGCACCCCCTCCCTCCCTCCATCCCTACCACCCCCACCCCCCACCAAATAATTTGCCAGGTTTCTTCCTAGTTCCTGTCCTTAGGTTTCAGGCACTTGTTGGGATACAATTCCATGGGTGCTCACTATTTTCTTGCAACATTGCCCAAGGTGCCATTCTTAATCCAGTTCTGTCAATCTTTGATGGATATCTGTCTCCCTGTAAAAGGAGCTCAAGTCTGGAATCCCTTTGCAGGGAATCTTTCTCACCTGTCATGGATGCCATGGATGTCAACCTGGTTCTATCTTTCTAGATCACCAGACCTCATACTTTCCTGCACTAGAGGTTAACTGAGATCATTTAATTAGGAACAATCATCTTTTTTTTTATTCACTGCTTGAAACCTCAATAGTCTCCTCCAGCCCAGGCTGGACAACTGAAAACATCAGCAAGGACTGGGTTATTAAATAACCGTGACCAACTGCTCAACACAACTGCCCTCGGGCCACTGGGACCGTTAAACTGATACCTCATCATAAAATATCCACTTGGATCATGTTTAGCTGTTGCCGTGCAACCGTTTGCTATTTGTCAACTTCACACATTGCAAGGTCTTTATATGGACTGTACTTTTGCTTGTTGCCAACACAAATAGAAGTTTGACTCAGAATGGTGCAGTTTCACTTCTCCATTGTCAGAACACTTCCTATCCCCAGGTGAATCAACGAACAGCAGTTTCATAAAGTAATGGCAATTCTCTATTGGTAAATAATGTTCAACAACAAAAATGTACATCGTAAAGTGCTTTTCAGGTCAGGAGGATTTCTCAAACTACTTTACACAGCTGTCTGGAGTGGAGGAGCTGGGTGTGGTTGGGGTGGAGGGAGTTGAATGTGCAGCCAAAAAGATGGGTCTTACGGTGGGTTTTGAATCCGGGGAGTTTGAAGGGTATCCAGCTTCATTTCTAGTCTACAACACATTGCCATTATCATCGTGGCTTTATTATTTTTAGATTGTGCCTTGATGGTATTTTTATATCCATTGTGCATAAACGGGTAGGCGAGAACTAAAAGTATCAATGCATGTAATTGACATGGACCAGTTCCAGCCACATGTAAAAATTGAAAGTCATGTCTCAATGTCAGTGATGCCTTGTCCAGGAAGTCAAACTACAAATCACTGGACTCGCAGGATGTATATATAAGTGTTATTAATATTATTATTTTTATTACTGCATGCATATTCAGGATTCAAGCATGCAAATGGACATAACCTTCCAATTGCAAGAGCCGGAAAATTTGTTTTATACTGAAGCAGAGCTACAACTTTTAATTAATGCATTTAGTACGCACACACTGTAAACACACACAGGATTGGGAGAGTTGTGCCTGAAGTGGATGGTTGACGAAAGTTGCCATCATCTCACCTATATGCCAAATGTTAGGGTTGAAAATTTACCCCAAGGAGCACACAGAGTACAACAAGCACTGCCTTTGGGATCTAATAAATGGGAAGAAAAAAATCAAAAGAGTTAACACTCATCGTTTATTTAGGTGATAAGACAGACATTCCATCGTGTAAAGAGTTAATGTGGATCCCAGAGACGAGAAGTGCACATACATATGTAAATGTCTGCTTCCCCAATTGCATTCCAAGTACAAATGCACAGTTACTAATCTTTACAGTAAATCCTGTGAAGTTCTTTGAGAAGTTTTGATGTGCCATATCAAATGCAAGAATTATTATTATTATTAGATTATTATTAATGCACTCACATATGCATAATACACACAAACACACATTGGCAGATATGAATAGTAATGCAATGCAAAATCCTACACTGATAATTCTGGTACGAATTACGTATGTAGGTATTGTATTTTATCTTCTTTTGGCTTTTGCAGTTATTTTATCATTTTGTTTGAAGTATTTAACTTTTGCCTTTGCTTTATATGGAAGTTGGAATGATCTCAATGCACACAAATACATATGGTTCTGAATGAGTCACTTGACCCCATGATCTCAGCGATTTCATATCTCGTACGGCGTTAGCTGTTTAACTTGGGAGATGGTCTCCAATGAACATTCTCAGTGCTTAGCAGTAACGTAACCTCGGGGGAAAGGCAAGATCACTTTAGTGGGTGGTGAAGCTTCTGTCTCTTCAAGTGCCGCTCTGCTTCTGAACCATAATAAATCACATTGCAAGTAAACTCAGTCCTGCCCGCACCCTAAATCCACGTGTGCACTTTCTAATATGGATGACTAGACAGCTGTCAAGAATGAGAATTGCTGGCTGATATTTTCCTCTCTTTACTCTAAGTTGCCATGGCCAATTGCAACATGTCTATGACTCTGCACTCCGCACAAAGTGAGGAACAAACTCAGTCAGGACCCTGTCAGGGACTTTACTGCCTGGTTCCTCAATGGGCAGTCACTTCACCAACTGCACCATTTCAGGAGCACCCTTACCTTTTCTCATTAGACAATAACTCTCTTAGACTGCAGTCAATGCACATTGCAGTATATCCTGTGAAGCGTTTTGAGATATCCCAACAACATGATGAGGCGCTATATTTATTTCTATTATTTATAATTATTTATTATCGTTACTTGTCAGAGGTATTCGCTAAACAGGATTAAAGTTTGTAAACTTTGTTACATCTGAGTTCATGCCTTAAATTAAAGCACTTGTTTAGTGGCTGAGTAGAAATGGAACAACTGTCTGCTGTGATGTGGATTTTTGCAGTGCCACAGTGAAGAAGTCAGAATACAGCCTCGGGGGTTAAGGTTTCAGGTCAGGGTTAAAAATAGTTACAAATACTACATTTGTGCAGCGTTAATCCTGCCCGGACCGAACCCCAGCCACAACCACAGCAAAGGTCAAAGTTAGCAGCTACCAGATTGAGATACACCAGAGAGAGAGGGAGAGAGAGAAAGAAAGAGCAAGAGGAGGAAGAAGCAATACCTGAAGCCTGGTGACAGACCTACGCTCAGCAGAACCTTTCTGTAAGTACCAAAGAGGGACAAGCTTTCTGCTCATCTGCTTTACAGTTTGTGTTTATCTCTGTCGAACTGTTCGAATAATAAACATATCTGTGAGCTCAGCAATGATTGCATGTTCCTTTTGGTCAATGTTTTATAAAAGAAAACTCTTGACTGCTTTCAGAAATCGTGTACAGTTTACAAAATATATTTTCCATACTAGAAATTGTTTGCTTTACACTTCGCTGAAGCTTATTGCTTTAACTGCAGTTGCGTCCTAATTATAGCTTTAAACTTATTTCAAATCTGTTCATCTAAATCAAGCCGCAAAAGCTCATGTTCAGCAGGTACTCCAGTGACTGAGCACATGGGACTGAATGCTGATAATTTATGGAGAAGCGCAGGATAGAATCTGAGTTGCAGGTTCTGAGAGTTTAGAGGCAACCTGTTCCAAATTGTAGTAAATGACGAATACACTGAAATACTCCGTACTCATATTTGGTGGCTTTCAAAGAATCCCAAATCTCTTATTTAGTCAGTGTCAAGGACAACATTCTGCCTGTAACCCTTGTTCTAACCGTAAGAAAGGTAAATGAAAGTGCTCTCAACACATATCCATTATTATTATTATTATTGTTAATAATATAAACTGGTGATAGTGAAGTATCCTTCACCCTCTTTTTAAAGCTTTTCATACATACTCTCCCAATACATTTCATTGTTACAGATTTTTTAAAAAAATTCATGACCCAAAACAAGAACAATTTACATTTGTATAGCACCTTTCATATCAGGAAGACATCCCAAGGCACTGGAAAGTCAAGGGTTTGAACCCGAGCTAGGGGATAGGGATCAAGAAGGTTGGAGAGTGGGGATGGTATGAGTAGGAAGATGATCAAAGGTGCGGTCGAAGAGGAAGATCTTGAAGGACATAAGGGAGAGGGCGAGGCGAAAGGACTGTGGGTTGAAGTTCCAAAGGGTGGGGGAAGAAGCGCTGACAAGAGGATTTTTGTCTGCTAGGATCTGTGGTAAGGAAGGTATTATAAGTAGTAGTAAGCTCTTCTGAGAGTGGAGTTAATGTATATTATTCATGGGAAGGAATAAGGAGGTGAACCGTGATGCATGCTCAATGCTGATAATGGGCTCAAGAGGCTGGGAAAAGGAAGAATTTACCCAAGAAAAGGAGACGCACAGGATTGATGTGCTGAAGAGGATTGTACCACATGATGAAATTGTTAATTAGACCCCTTTGTTACACAATGAATCTATTGTGTTTTTTGCTTTCCCCTCTCTTTATAACAATACTGTATACTGCAGAGGTCATATTACATCTGTTGTTATAGAATTAAAAACAAGTAATCCTGAAGAGGAACTGTGAGATACATAGAAACGTAAGCCATTCCAAGAGGTCAGATTGTAACAAGAGGTCTTTGACTTCATCTTATTACCCTAGATTATTTTGTACCAAAATTCTAGGTCAACGGCGTCTAAACAAGTAACCACATACCTCAGAGCATCAAAGTACAGGGATGTCCTCCGCAGGGATCCCGATCCAGAAGAAAAAAAACGCCTATTCAGCCGTTAAAGTTGACCCCAATGATGACTATGCAACGCCAGGTGCATTTGAGCTGGAGCGTCTCTTCTGGAAAGGGTCTGCGAAGTATACACATGTCAATGAAGTGTGGCCGGGCATCTACATAGGAGACGAGTAAGTTGGGACTTGAACTCTATTTGTTCAGTCAGATAAAGGTTCTGTTATACACAACATAATACATATATATCATTTCCTTGTGTCGTCAAATCAAATATCACTACACTTTGAGTCCCACCAACACACTAGCAGTTGTTTTAAGTCATAATTTACCATGCAGTTTACACATGCTTATCTCTGCAACACTGTCCTGTAATCTACCTACTTAACCTCCAGAGAAATAATTAAAAAGTACATGTAATAAAACACACAGGTGGTAGGAGTATGTGTCTCAAGAACAAGCTATGTTTCCCGATCTTCCCATTCTAACACTTCCATTCGTTTTTTTCTGGGGAAGATTCACTACCTTGATCTTTTCCAAGATTGCCTTACATTACCCCAGGATACAAGACTCAAAATTTACAGATCCACTTTAATGCTGTGATGGAAGAATGATAGAGTTGGTAGGCTGGAAGGATGAGATTAAATGGGCAGAAGGGATTTCTTTATCTGAATGATTCTTGTCATTGATTTTAAAGAGTTACTAAGGTAGGTAGAAGATAGAGAAACTAGAGGGTAATTAGAGGGTTTCAGATAAATTGTCCATCAACTGTTTTTGTCAGGAACAGGGGAATATTTAAAATCAAATACATGTTATCATGTAGATAATGCATGTAATATGAAGCAGTGGCTTTAACATTGCACCATTGGTTTTGATTATAATTGATGACAGTTACAAAATATCCCATAGATTCTTTGGCATAAATTATACAATGCAGACAGACTATAAATATTTTAGTGGTTGTAAAGTCAGGATTGTCTGGACTAAGTCTGTCGATTGATATTTGCGGTGTATCTGTTTTTGGTCCATCATGTGACAGCCTTGTGTCCCAGGGGCCAATAATAAAAGTATGTTGATATGGTCACACCATGAAATTAATTAGTTTTATGTCTAAGGACAAACAATGTTGCTACAGTATAATTTACACCAGGATACACTGGCTGTCTGAAGTTAAAAGATTCATATTGTATTAAAGATACATACCATTAATGTCAAGTAAAAATATAGAGCACTGAAATCCACTAAGGAACGTTCTTGCTGTGGAGATCATGACGCTACCACCTTGAGTGATTGAGATTGAATCTTTACAGTCCTATCCGTTTATATAAAGAACAAAGGCACTTTTAAATTGTTTCAAAATATTGCTGTGAATTGTGACATTTAATGTGTTAATTGTCCAAGGTGATGATCAACACATCAGCAGTTTCAATCCTGTTTCTTTATTTCCATAAACCTCCATGTGTTTACAAAACATATGTGAGTTTTCCCCCTTGTGGCCAGGGAGACACAAAGAGTGCAGATATCTCTTCACAGGGAGGTGAGAGTATATTCTGATTGTATTTTTTGACTACCATTACTGCTGGGGTGTGTTCCATTGTCGGACGTGCTGTCCTTCAGATGAGATGTTAAATCGAGGTCCCATCTATCTGTTCAGGTTAACATTAAAGATTTCACTGTACTATTTAAAAAGAGAAGGAATTTCTCCCGGTGTCCTAACCAACAAATCCCCCCAAAATAAAATTGGCTGTTTGTCGGCACATTGCTTTGCACAAAGTGGCTGTCACACCTAAAAAATACAGAGTTAATCCACTTTACAAGTATATCCTGTGAAGCGCTTTGAGACGGCTCGATGCTGTGATAAGACACCAAATCAAATACGAGATGATTATTGTATGAGCACATCTCCTAATGACCATATTTATAGAGCAACATTCACAAAGGTGTAGGATCAGATTACCTGCTCAAACCTACACCAAGAGAACTGACTATCAACGAAAAGGGAGCGATAGGGGAGAGGAAGCCGTTTTGTTTCAAAATATTTTCCATTGAGTACATGTACCTTGATTGGATGAAGCTCTATTAAGATATGTTGTATCTATGTCTCACAGAGCCACTGCATTGGACCGGTACATGATTGAAAAGACTGGTTTCACTCACATATTAAATGCAGCTCATGGTCGCTGGAATGTGGACACAGGAGCTGAATATTACAGTGAAATGCCTATCGATTACTATGGGGTTGAGGCTGAAGATCTGCCTCGGTTTAACCTGAGTGAATTCTTTTATCCAGCCGCCGCATACATTGATAAAGCTCTCAGCACAGAAGGAAGTAAGTGATGTTTGTCACATTTAACTACAAGAATAAAATCTCACGGGCAATTTATTAATATCCAAGTAATGTACATCTATTGTCTGAACTGGTGTATTGGGAGTTCCTCCCACTATTCTGGCCCCAAAATAAATAATAACATTAATTGTTGCATATATATATATAGAGAGAGAGAGAAAGGGGTATTCTTATTGAGAGGATGTTTCAAATCGCTTTGCAGGATTTATTGCAAAGTGTAGTGACTGTGTAGCAGTCACTGTAGGTAATAAAATTGATCACTCACTTCATGGTTTGTTTGTGGGACACTGTTGTGAGCAAACTGACTGCTGTGTTTGCCTACAAATGCACAGTCACTTCATAGCTGATGAATAACACTGAATCTGAGATCAAGTACAGTGACAGAAAGAGTTGGATCATCAGAGAAAATCCCCACATTGACGCATCGTTGAGAAGCTCACATTTTGAGTGCAGATAATACTTACCAGAATCTGTCCTGTGAAAACACAATATTCTCAAGTAGCCACCTGTGTCATGATCCAAACCTAGTTATACATTAAGAGCCCTGATTGCTTACTTGTCAGATTGATGCAAGACTAATCTGCAACATTAGCGTAATACTACTCTACTGTGAATCATGGAATCAGTTACGTCAATATATAAATGATAACCATTATATATCAGATTTCAAATTATATCACCCTAGAGGCAAGTCCTGCTGACAACTCACTGGAAAACATTAAGTCCATTTAGGTGACTAAAGTGCAGAAGAAACATAGCTTTCTTATTAATAGTAGCAGTAAGCCAGTCAGGACTGAGCCATTACCTCTGGTGAAAAGACATCTCAGAAGTCATTAGGTTGTATGTTACAGTGGTAACTTATCAATCTCAACGTAATAAACCAAAAAAGCGCTTATTTAAAGGCAGCATAATTGATATGCTAGATACTATGTTGGTCTTAGAATATGATTTTATCAAAGATATTTCCTTGCCTTTGAATTTATCAAAGATATTTCCTTGCCATACAGTTGTGATATAGTTCTAGGGGTACTAAATGACAGCTCTGCCCAAGTGGCTATTCTTCAAGTGGAAGCGTAAACAATGACCATCGTCAGGCTATTTGACGGTGCAGGGGAAACGGATGGTGTAGGGACGGACATCACACTTGAGCCTGATACTTATTTCATTCAAGCACCACACAAATGTACGGAGTCTAAGCAGAGGTTACAAAGTTGCAAATTCCCTTAAGAAAACCCATAACTAAAGATCATAACCGAACTTGGACCTGAAAGTAGTAGGGATTATTATTTTAAATGAACAAAAAAACAGAAACAAAGTTGCCTTTAAATCACAAAGCCTTAATATTTCACATTACATACAGGATTTAATTTGTCCACAATTCTCTCCCTGTCGATTGGCTAGAACCTGAGCTCTGACCCCGTTCATCTAGTAGATGTGACACCTCTAGGGTGCATCGGAGTCCAGTGCCTGTATTTTGGGTGCATCTTTCCTGTAAGTTTGTGATAGGAGTGAAAGATTTAAAAATATATATAATTTGTCCCAGATCTAATTCATTCTATTTACTTCCAGGTAAACTTTTGGTACATTGTGCTATGGGTCGAAGCAGGTCAGCCACACTTGTTCTGGCTTATCTGATGATATATAAGAATATGACAGTGGTAGATGCAATTCAAGAAGTAATTCAACGGAGATGCATTTTACCAAACCGCGGCTTCCTGAAACAACTGAGAACCCTTGATATACAACTGGCAATAGAGAGAAGCAATAGAAGGAATGGGATCAAAAACAATGGTGAAGAAAAAGAAGCATATTAGCAATCCGCAGACACAGTAGGACTCCTTTTATATGGATTAATTCAGTTTAAGATGTCAAATTTAAACTGTTTAAATTTAATTTAATTAATTTCTGCCACAATACGCAGAGTTTGTTTTACAAGGACAAAATAGTTATTCGGACAACTGTTTTGCAGTGCCAAATCACACCTAAAATTATGATATCAGAATTTCAAAGTGTCCTGAAATTACTCAAGTTATTTCAATGCACATATTTATTATTATTTTGACTATCTGTTGGCTACACTGTATTGAGATGACACAGTTGAGTTTTCAACATCTTTTTAATACAAATTAACATATAACATTGTGCTTTGATATTCCAAATATTTTTCAGCAATTGTTTTCAAAATACAAAATGTTTTTTCCATAAAATGTCTTGTTGTCTTTGAGTACAATATCTCCAAAGAATAATCTAATATGGTATGGACAGAAAAAAGAAAGCTTTATAATATATTTAACCATATGGGTAAGTATATGCAAGTACATTATATTATCTGAGACCTTATAACATTACCAAATGTTTTTTAAGTGTTGGTAGTGTATTCAGCCCTTAACCATAATAATAGACATATTACAATGTAGGGTTGAATAATAATAATAATCCTTGCATTTGATATAGCGCTTTTCGCATCTTCTAGACGTCTCAAAGCGCTTCACAAAATATGCTGTAAAGTGAATTGACTGTATATTTGTAGGCGAAACACGACAGCCTTACCACAAACAGTCATGGATTGAAAATGACCAATTTATTATTGTTCTGTTTTTTGGAGGGATTATTATTAGGCGTAAGGAAACTTGCTCAAGGTTTCGCCCTGTCTGGAATTGAACCCAGGTGTCTCGCTTGCAAGGTGAGTGCTCTAACCACTGAGCTACAGGACTCCACAATAATGATATCAAGCTTTTAAGAGATACACGATTCCAATAACAGTCTGTGACACTCTGGCGTTGGAGTGCACTTGGTAGCCAGACACATGCACAAGCACTATCTCAAATCTCCACAGATTGTTATTTACTACAATACCAAGTGCTCTGAGGGTTTTTTGAAAAGCACTTGGGGCTCCGATAACTGAGGGGACTCTCGCTGCAACAAAGTGTCACTTACGTCTGCAGTGCATAATGTAGGCATGCCTCCAAATGGTTCAATATTATTATTATTGAGGACTGTTAAAGGGTGATTTTGATTGTTTAAACGTTCAAATATTACAAAGTATTCTTCTGCCTATGTCCCACTGCTCATCTCAGGCTTTCTTGTTTCTGAAGCAAGCAAAACCATTTTGTAACGATCCTCAGGAAACTCAAAAAATAAAAGCAACTTGATTTGCCTGTAACAAACACATGGTTCTGTTTGTTCTTATTCTTAGCTAAACAATTTAATCTCAATCCATTCTTTTGAGATTAATGCATTCTGTTTACTGTGACATATTGGTCGAGGATTTACACTGAACTCAGATTAAAATTTCTTTTGAGACATTTAACAAGTGGATGGAAACTCCACAGACAAACCCAATCCACTCGTAGCTCTTGTTAGAAGCAACACATATAGACATACAAAGAAGAAAAGCTATTTGGATGCTTAAACTTGTGACAGCACATGTAGTGCAAACCAACAAATGAGAGAGGATGTTTCCTTGGACAGTGTAATGTGTTAAGAATGGTTTTGGCATTTAGTCGTTTAGATTTGGAAAATTAACTAATCTAAATTTTCTCCTTTGTACGTCCATGTGGCAAGATGGCTGGAACTGCTAGTAGAAGAATGGAAATCCTCAAAAACCTCAGCTCTAAATGACATTGTACACTATATTAGTCACAGAGTACACATACAGTCATCGATTGAGTATTTGTAAAAGAAAACCCATCTCTTGCTCCCAGACACTTCAAGATAATGGTGTCACTTGAAACTCTTTCCCTGGTGAGGAGAGGGATCCATTGGGCTTGCTGAAGCCTGTGTTACTCTGGAATATCAATGATTTGAGCCCAGTCGTTCAGTACTCTCACAGTAACTACAGGGTTTTTAAATTTACAAAACTCTACCTAGTTACAACTAGTACCAGTAAAACCCGCTTCAAGGAGTTCATTTCAATTCTGTAACACGTAAACCTGATTATGTTAAATTCTGGCTAAGTATGGATAGTTTTAATAAGAAATGATTGTTGTAGATGTAATCAAATTAAACTATTAGGCCATTGGAAGTTCAAGTTTATATTTCCGATCAACATGTCTGAAAATTGTGATTTCTAAGTGGGATTTCTCTGTTAAATGTGCTAACAAAAGATCAGTGTGAAAAACCACAAACTTACCTAAACAATATTAACTTTTTTTCCATTTAATTCCATAAGCACCAGTCAAAAAATGTTATGGGCTGCTTTTTATCTAAATGTCAATAGCTTTTGATGTAGTAATTTATTTCTGTAGTATAATGTTTTCATCATCACTTTATCCAGCTCCATTGATGGAGCAAAAGTGCGGAGCAAAGTGAAATGTTTAATTCAAGTTGGTAAATTAACTAAATCGATGGATGCACATCAAAATATATGACTATCACACAGTCATTTCCCTTTAATTTCAATGGTGTTCCAGCATTTTCAGTTTTTTAAAAGCCCATTCAATTGCACTAACAAATTAACTGAGCAAACTACTCACAGACGCAGTCTCCATTTTGTCCACAAACAAAATAATTTTACTGTGACTGCTGGGAAAATGGAATTGGCCAACCATGTGTGAAAATAAATCCCTCTTATGCTTAGCCACCCACAACTACAAAGCTCATTGCATCTGCAATGACTGTATACTAGTTCCTTTTATGTTTTCTAGCACAAAATAGGAATTGCTTTCAGATTGCGGATTTGGATTCATTCAACTCGTGTTTTTTCACAGAAGCTGAATTTCTAATTTTAAGGTGTAGGAGGCAACTATTTGGTCCATAAACCTAAGCTTATGCTAGTTCACCACTCCAGGTTCCCTGATTTTTCCAAACACTTTTTATATTCTGCTTCAAATTTTCCAATTCCCATTCATTCTTACCATGGTCAGCCTATTAACCCTATGCATGAAAAAAGCATCTTCTAGCTTCACCCTTAACTCTTTTAATAACAATTCAAGTTCATGTCTCCTTGTTATTGATTTCTCTTCAAGTCGTGTATTGCCCAAGCTTCTTGCAACAATGGGATGGCATCCTGTTCAGGTATATCACTGGTGATCAGAGAAACTCCACGTTGGTACTGGCAAGAATCACTGGTGCAATTAAAGAAAGTCAAAGAGAAAGAAAATGTGTAGAATTAGATTTCAATTAAAATTATAGGTATAAACTATGGGCCAGAGACCAGAAATCCATCATGTAATACCATTAAAAGTCTTAAAAGTTTAAGCCTTTGCAGAATTTTAGAAAATTCTTAAATTTAGTCCTAATTTGGAAACATTTCTGCAGTTCCTTCCTGCAGTAAATATCCTTCCAAATTATGGCTGAATTTAATCATTTCCAAAATTCTGCACTTACTTAAACGTTAATGTAATAGGCTTAAGGCTAAAACTAGACTTCAGTCTATAGGAACCGAAGGCTTGGCCACCAATGGTGACGCAGTGACAGTTGGGAACATGCAACGACAACAAGATTACACTTGAATAGCGCCTTTCACGTCGGGAGGACCTCCCAATGTGAAGTAAGCTTGAGGTAACTGAGTGACGGGGGCAAGCAGAGAAGTAGAATAGAAGATTGGAGAGATAAGGAGGTGCCAGGAATGGATGGATTTGTACATGAGGTACATGAATTTGTACATGAATTTTGGAAATTATTTTTTTCTCTTCTTTTCTTTCACCCTATTCTAATTGGGAATGGGTGAGCATGCATGCCAGTTTGATAGATGATTGCATGATAATGGAATCGGTTGACAACATGCTTTACTCTGCACTTGTTACCTTCTTTTGTTGTTTGGCTACGGTGGAAAGCAATTTGGAGCATGGAAATTAACAGGAATCCATTATTCTATGGCTAGTTTCCATTCATATTCTACAAGATCTTTTGAGTAGTTAATTCTCATATTAAGGAGGCCATGTGGCATGCAAATCTGAATGGTTGATGTGCTTACCTTGTGTTCCTAAAGTAGTTTCACCTATGTTGAGGATCATAAATACAACTTACCACCAAATGGAGTTAGATAACAAGTCCAAGTGCTTTGTTCCTGCTCAGTAGTGTAAGTTTTGTTCTCAGTTCTGTTAACATTCATCTTTTGAGTACAGGTGGCACCTTGCATAGTAAGGCAGGCTCGATGGAGAACACTGAACAGGCCCTCTAGCATCCTCTGCAAATGGATGTCCTCGAGGGGCAGCTTGAAGCCTTGTTTATTGTTGGATGGTCTGGCTCCCAGGACCCAGGAGCTGCACAGCGTTTCTGTTTTTTATCACCATGGAGAACAGTAATGAGGCCAAGCTCCTGGTGGCCAATTCTGTGGTACACAATACTGTTTTTTTTGGGGGGGGCGTGGTAAAACAGGGACCTGGAGATAAGTGCAACATTTGGAAATGGCAGAAGACATTTGCTTGTTTGCCTGCATCTAAAGTTGGTTCCATTATTTGTGCAATGTTACTGGTGCAGACAACCTTGATATTATATATTTGATATAGCGCCTTATCACTTATACCTGCATGTTTGTCTGTGCAACAGTTATTACACACCAAAGTAACATTGTGCGAACTTGATAAGGTGCTAAACAAATTCAAATAATATATTGTAGAGCATGTGCTCTGATGCAAATACTTGTTGCCTTCTCTTGCTGTTTGGCTACGATGGAAAATATACTTGCAATTTGGACCATGGAAATTAACCCATTATTCTAGGTGTTCCCTAGTTTTTCAAAATAGGGAATTTATGGCTTTCCAAGTCACTACCAATTAGTGGTCAACAGATATGCTTTGGTGAGACATTGCTATCTTATTATATAGTGTGCCTGTTTTGGTAGAGGTACATTATATAATAAGGTATTCCGTAGCTCTGTTGGGCACTATGATTGGGTCTTTGCCTACAAAATATAGTCATTACACTTTACCCGTAAATGCAGTATTGTGATATTCTCAGTGTGAATGGCACTATAGTCATATGTAGGGAATATTTCGATTAGAATTTAAATGCAATATTATACATGTGAATATTCAGCAATCTAAGCGCATCTTTCAATTACATCTTTGCAGCTTAGTTTTGCAAGCATGTGGGATTTATCCATCCAATAAGAAAACTAAAAATAGTGTTTCTTTCATAGAATAACAGAAAAGAGTTGTCAGCAAGATCATTGCAAACAAGTAATTAACATTTGGCACACTATTCATTTTTACTTCATCTTTCCTGCTGTGAAGTGATAAAAGGGAGCCATTTCCATCTGTCATTGAGTTATGCAATTAATCTCACAAGCCTCAGAATCATAATTTATTCACATCCTGGAACAGGCAGGTAATCTTGCATTGGAGCAGGAGAGATGCCTGTAGATGAAGCCTGGTTTTGAGGAAGAATACTGCCAAGAGAAGGCTCAATAAATGTGCCTGTGGTTTGCCTCCAGATAGACTTGGCTCTCTAAAATATTTTGCTTTCTAAACTAATAGGGCAGCAGTTTACAGTACCATAACTGGAAAGCCTTTTGCAGTTTAGAGAAAACTGCTACGGTTTGCAAACAAAGAGAATAATTGAATTTGAAAGACATAAGATAATCTCTTACACCCAATGCCACTGCATGACGGTATAAGAGGGCATACCTTTTCCCATGCCTTCCTCGCTGGTCTCACCTAAAACACCCCTCACTTGATCACCTGCACCAAACTCCCACATCCATCACCCCAGTCCTCTCCATGAGTTCCCAGTGAATCAGCTTCAAGGTTCTCAACCTCATGTTCAAATCCATCCACTTCTGGCACCTCCTCTCTCCAATCTTCTCCTACTCTACTTCTCTGCTTGCCCCCGTCACTCAGTTAACTCAAGCTTGCTGCATGTTCCCCACTGTCCCCACATCACCATTGGTGGCCAAACCTTTGCACTAAGTTCCTTGCACTAAGCTCTGGGACTCCCTCCCCTACCACACTGTCAACCCCTCTCTATCTTTAAATTCAATCTCAAATCCTACCTCTTCGAAAGTGTATTTTGTATTTTTAGGTGGACTTGGCAGCAAATTTGCACACAGCAATGTCTCACACTTAGCTATGGTGAATGATTAATTTTACATATATGCAGCCTAGGATGGCTGGATAGCTTACATTATCCAACAGTATGTGGAGATGAATGGACAGACCAGTTTGCTTAAAAATATAATGTAATAGTTGGAAAAACATTCAAAACCCCAGATTAAAATAAAATACAAGCCTGGAACAGGAATATTACAAGTATATTTTGCTAACAGGAAAAGAAAATATATATCAGCACGAGTGCCTTAAAAGGTCTAAAATGGCTTTTAAAGGGACATGCATCTTTTCAATATTGCATAGTTTACACCTGTGGAACAGGTATGACAAAGGGAACACAGGTATTTCTTAAAGAGGAAGTGTTGACATGAAATTTCCAACAGTTTTGATCTTTTTTTATATCTAATTTTCTGGTAAGTGCAGAATATAAAAGAAAGTAGCAACACACTCACTTAAGCGTATTCTTTTGGGTTTTTTTCCCCTCGAGGTTATCATCAAATGCAAGGATTATTATTATTATTGTACATCAATATTGTTAATACATATGTTGCTATTTCTACATACTTTACCAACAACTTGAAAAATTTCAGAGCACAGGAAATCTGGAAATGGCTCAACATAATTTATTCCATGTTAAAATGTACAGCGTCCTTTGAGGTGACTCACTAGAAAGATAACTGATAAATACAAGTGCATCTCACTTGTTTGCGTCCTATTTTATACATGTATCCAGCTTTTTCCTCTCAGTCCTTACAGTCACCATGTACAAGTACAAAGGCTACAAAAAGGAAGAAATATAAACAGTCACAAATACTTTTGCTTTTTACATGCGTTTTGTAAGCTTATGTTGGTCTATTCACACACTACAGTTCTAAGCTCTTGTTAAAATATAACTTCGATATTCTCTAAAGATAGAAAAATCTACTGATGGAATGCCAATGAATAGTTCAAGGTGGTTATCATTGGGCCAACATAACTCTGAACATATACGACAGCATGTTCAGCTGCTGACTGAACTTGGAGGAAAAGCTACGCTTTAAATGAGACTGACAGGTACAAATATTCAGATATGCTGTTAAACCAAATTTGTGTCTTCATTTGTCAAACTGAATACTTTGCATTTATAAAGCTGCCTCACTGAAGGAAAGAAAGGTTACAAAAAAGAAATATTTCAATTTTACACTTAACATTTTGCAAGTAACCCCTTCAAAACTGCCAAATGAACTCAAGGTCTAGCTTTTATAATTTTTACAATCTCAGAATTAACAAAAATATAGTTTTCATTTGACTTCAAAGCTAGTAAAACCTAATAAAGGCAAAACATAAGAAATGGCTTGCTGTTAAACACAACACATTTTTGTTTTACTAAAGGACACACTGTCACAAACAAATTCCAATGATGTTCTGCTGCATGCTGAATTAGGCATCAGCTCAACAAAATCCAATACACTTGTATAATAACAGAAGTCCAAAGAACGAAAGCATCCGAGTTCCAGCCACAAGTCTGGTAAAGCCGTCCACCATTTGAGCTTTCCGCTTCACTATTTTATAACTTTCAAAATCCTTTCTATGGGCAATTAGGCACATTTAAAGTTTCCATTGCATGGCAGTTACTGCGTATAAATGCAGTATTCATTCTTATCGAATTTTTCAAGCCTCAATCTCCATATTTCTTTCTAAGACATACTCTGTTCAAGCCAAGCACAGAAAGGAAAGGTACAGTTGAACAACAAAGATAACAATACCCCATCCGATGTTGATTTTTAAAAAAAAATAAATAAGGCTTCCTTCTGTCAACAGATTGAATGCAAAGTGCCATTAATAATTTCTTTAAAATTGTTTTCTATTGACAATTCAGCCATCAAATCCAGAAATGGATTTCTTGCACTCAGCCAGGCAGAATTTCCTTTTAGTACCTCATATGCCCAACAAAAAATTACCTTCTCATATAGGAGCCATTTAAAGACTGCTTAGGCATGCCAGTGTTCATGTAACTGTGGTGAGCTGGTGGTGTGTACATCATGTTGCTGTGTGGGGTGGTCTGCATCGGTTGCTGGCTGTATGGCTGAGTTCCCATCATGCTCATTTGCATTTGCATGGGATACTGAGCAGTTTGATTCATGTAAGCAGGATTTCCATGGTAGCCACTGTTCATCATGGATTGAGTCATCCTGTACCCATTCATAGCATTCAGTGTATTCATATTCATGTTCATTGAGTTGACATTGTAAGTTGGCGCTGGCATTAGGTTAACTCCCATGTTCATGCCACGCTGCATTGCCAGAGGTCGGGGAGCTGACTGCATGGCCACTGCTGGTGAGGCACGGCTGTAGATCTGCTGCTGGTGAGCAGCAGCAGCAGGTGGTAAGGGCACCGACTTGGAACGTATTGCAACATGGCCTTTGGCTGCCATCTGTGTGGGCAATCTTTGGGTATGAGGGATCCCAATATTAGGGGCTGCCATACTGCGCTGAAGATGTGGTGCTGCCAGATTCATTGGTGGAGGTGTTAGATTAGGTGGGGGAGTCATTGTAGGTTGTGCTTGAGGCCCCCCTGCTAAGGAATGAGGAGACTGTGAAAGCTGGACAAGGCCTGTATGTGGGGAGGACAGGGAAACGCTAGTTGCATAGGAAGTAACAGCAGCTGAGTGATTGTAAGGCAATGGATGATCCATGATTGTATTAGTTAGCTGCTGCAGTTTGGCCAGGCTGAAATTGGCAGATGGTTGATGATAGCCACCAGTTCCAAAGTCACCCTGGCCCATCCTTTCATAGATGCTGATAGCTGAGTTCCCAGTTTCTGAAATGTCTGTCATTTGTATTGCTGGTGTGAAACTGGTGGACATGCTGCACTGTGAGAGTTGCTGCTGATTGTTGCTGGGAGGTCTTTCGATTACACAATTCTGCGGAGATTTAACACTGCAGTTTGGTGGAGAGTTGATGCTATTTTGCTGCATCATGCTACAACTACCATTAATGTTTGTCATCTGCTGAGTCATGGCACAGCTACTCTGAGTAAGGCTACTAGAAGATATGTTACTGTAAGAGCAACTGTTCTGTGCTGAATTATTTCCACAAATGCTACCACCCATTGTAGAATCATAGCTGCTAGGATTCTCATAGTTTTCAGTTGTGCTCTCAATGCTGCCTAGGTCACTAAAGCCACTGTCCACAACTTGTTGCGAATGGTCTGAAACTGAAGGAACGTCCATCATTGGGCTGGTTTCGATGTTTTGTAAAGATGGTGCAGAAATGCCAGTCTGGTCAGGACTTATCTGAGCATAACTGCTCTCCAGAGCAGGCACACTGGGGCTGTTGACAGAGCGAACAGATTGGCTAGGATGGGAATGAACAGATGAAATGGGACTGCTATGATCTGATGGATGACAGTCATCCACTGTGGTCATTTGTGGACTCTGCTCTGTGTGAGTATAATTTTGCAGGTTTCTGCACGCCTCCAGTGTCTCTGCACAGTCCTGGTAGGTACTTTCATGTTCATTGCTTTCCTGCTCGTTATTTTCTTGTGTTAATGACTGAACAGCCTGCACCGTCTCTGTATCAAGTTCTGCAGTTACAATGTTTTCTGCTCTGAACTCTGGGGACTGTTGGCCACTGTCTTTTGGATCCCGGTTGTCTGTGTGATCTTCATCAGAGTCCGGTACATGCTCTGAATTCCCACCTTGATCGTTCATTTGATCTTCATCAGAATCTGGCACACGGTCATTTTGGGGATCCATTTCATCTTTATGCTCTGTCGCGCTATTGGGAATATTTAACCCCAAAAAGGTTTCCTGACTTTGGGAATCTTCCTTGAATTCTTCCTCTGGATTTTCCTTTCCTACCTCAGTAGACACCATGTGGCTATCATCCTCATCGTCTGCATCATGATCCTCATTTTGGTTTGGTTCCTCCTCTTCCTCCTCTTCCTCACGCTCACCTGCTAGATTTTCAGCTTCTTCCTGAGGCATTTTGTTCACTTCACCATTCTCCTTTTCAGTTGCTTCTTCTAAAGGCTCGTCTGCACTCGATTTGCAGTCGGGCTTCTTTGGAGATTCTGGTTCTTCTTCGAGTTCTTCTTCCTCAGTTATCACAGGTGCTGAATCATTGTGTTTCTCAACCACAACTTGGCTCTCTTCCATTGTAACCAGTTGGTCGGGCTCTAGTGGAGTCTCTGGCGGAGTGTACAAGTTGAGTTTAAACCCAGTTTTATTCTCGGCTTTGCGTCTCCATTTAGCTGGACCACGCTTCACTCCCTTTGGCCAACCTTTTTTGCGTTTCACAACTCGTGTTATAGGCTCAGGGTGGACAGAGTTTTCCTCAATGCTTTCTTTTGAAGAGATATCACCATTCACTTTATCTGAGGAAAAACAAAAAAAACAACATACCGTAATTATACACATCGGAACATTTGCGGATGTTCACTTTGAATATAATAATAATCCCTCCAAAAACCAAAAACAATAATAAATTGGTCATTTTCAATCTACGACTGTTTGTGGGACATTGCTGTGTGCAATTGGCTGCCGCGTTCGCCCACAAAAAGTCAATTCACTTTACAGTGTGTTCTGTGAAGCGCTTTGGGATGTCCTCCCGACGTGAAAAGCGCTATATCAAATGCAAGGATTATTATTATTATTATTATTGAATAACTTTGCCGTTCGCAGTATATCTACTTCCACAGTTCTATTTGTACTGGCAAAAAGTTAAAATAAAGGAAACCTCACCATTGTGGAAATAACATTAAAGAACCTATTGTTGATAGGGCACATTAAGCCGGTAGCATTGTAAAGTTCAATGCAGCTCTCTTCAATAATTTCTTGCTTTCCATAGGGCCTCAATCTAGCACCTCCTATAGCCTTAAGAGACTAGAATTCTGAGGGGGACCAGAGGCCACTTTGCAGCTCAACACATTGCGCTCCAATAAATGTCAACCCAAAACATGAACAAATTAAACATTCATAGGAAGAAAACAAAGGCAATCGAAGTAATAAATTACAGTAAGATAAGAATGATTCCTGTGTAAAATACAAAGCTGAACGCAAAGTATCTATTAAATTAATCTATCTACTCAGGCTTCCAGCATATTTTCTCCTTTAAATTACTTTGTGTGTTGGGGGTGGGGGTGGTGGATTGAAGGAAAGGTGAAGGCAAGTGATTTCAGGAATAATGTCTATACTGGCCAAATAATGCTGTTTACTCAGCTGGTACTAACTTTTCCAGCTGAGATCCTTCCTGATTATCATCCATAAATGGCCCAGATGCCAATCCACAAAATTCCCTATAGAGCTAATTCCTGATGTCGACTCCAAAATAAGAGCCCCAAAGTAGAAATAAACCGAGGAGATAAGAGTTTTTTTTTTAAATGCTTGCATTTGATATAGTGCCTTCTCATGTTGTTGAGATACCTTAAAACGCTTCCCAGAATATACCTTAAAGTGAATTGACCGTATATTTAAGAGCAAAGGATGATTCCCTTTACTCTTTTCCTCCCTGATTTAACAATCAGGTACGTTAATTTAACTTTCCTTCTATTTTCAAATTCCTCAAGCTACGTTAAAAACAAGTGAAATCTTCGCTTTTAATAGTTTATTCTCATTTTCTTTTTACAATCTTTTACCTGTACGTTGTTCTTTCTCAGGAGTTTCGTCTGCACTCTTGCAGTGATCTTCTTGCTCGTCTTCTGGATTTGTGTTTTGCTTTTCAAAACCCAAGCTGCGACTGTTACGCCTGAAATAATTCTTTAGTTCATCATTTTCATCTTCCTCATCGTTCTCCTCTTCCTCACAAGTAGGTTCCAGGCAGGGCATTTGCCGCTCATCATCAGAGTTCTCAAAGGCTTCATGCAACACTTCAGTTGTTTCTGAAATTGTCTCTGTAGTTACACTGCTGTTATGTCTTCGGCGCTTGCGACCCCTCTTCTTTCGGTGAATGGGTAGCCTCTGAAACAGCAGAAAATAAGAGGAGGAAACACTATATTTGTGCCATTTTGCGACAGAAACAAATTGAGTTCGGAATGAATATATAAAATAGCAATCCTTTAACATAGTGAATTATAATAAACAAAACACTTAAAGACACCTTCAAAAGAAACCATTTACATCAAATATAAGTTTAGTCTTTCGGGTTTATCTAAACTGCGAGAATCGTAACTGCCAAATTGTGATATGTTTCAGTCACAGTTGAACTACACTGAAACACTGACTTGAATAGTTAACAATAATATTTTGGGGATTTGATGACTTGCAGCAGATCAACTAAAACATGTTAGATTTGCTATTTACAATTTTTTTTTTAGATTTTGTTAGATGTTAGATTTTGTCATTTACCTTTTGCCAATCTCGCAAATATTTTAGCTCACTAGTTTTTTTTACCCAGAATGACACTGACAGATTATAATTCCCTACAATTTTTATAATGTTATGCATGGTGTATTGTCTGCTCTCTCCCTACTGATTTGCTGAAGCCAGTTGTAGAGTAGTGAAATTCTAAGTAATCCAGCACAATTTTAACAGAGAAGACTCCAGCTTTAGCTCAAATATGAATGTTAAATTATTATTAACTTGAGACAAATAGGACCATAAATAAAAATAATTCTGAGAAATTTAACTCACAGATCTGGAAACACCAGAGGGCGATATTGTATTGACTCTGAGGCCCAGAAGGATTATGTAAACTCAAATAATAAAATGGAGAATGTCAAATTTGCTAAAGGTTTTTAGTATTCATTTAAATTATGTAGAGCGAACATTCACATCCACCATAAAGAACTGATAAGCCGTAATGAGATGTGAAATTCTTCCTGTGATCATGTTATAACACCACCACACATTTGTGCATTCTGCACTAATATATATAATAATCCTTGCATTTGCTATAGTGGCTTTCGCACTCAGGAGAACATCTGAAAGTACTTTACAGGATTTATTGCAAAGTATACCAACTGTGTATTTTGTAGGTAAGCTTCAATAAATATGCTTCTAAACTCACGTGAAAAAAAGCAAACAGGGCAAACATCCCTTTCAAAAACCTCCAAGTGATTTTTCTTGTAGTAAAATTTCTGCCCTCAAAACAACAGTGAGGTGAACAAATTCATCCTGATTTCAGCTAATATTCACCATATATTCCGTTTTTACTTCCTATTGAGTTCATTGACAGTGTTGTGTTATTACTGCTGCAGACACTTCTTTTGGCTGAGGAATCAGCATTGATCTATTTCTTACATTTGGCCAAAATAGCAGTCTCTAGCACACCATGTTAGTTATAGCATGGCTAGACACTGAGTTAAGCTGTCTTTCTGTGGTTCCAGTAATGTACTTTAACCCAAACCTCAAAAGCTATAAGTGCTTTAACTCATACCTTTTGAGGTATTGGTTAAACCACAATGTTGGAAACACAGAGGCTGCACCAGTGTGTTTTTTTCCATTTCCTTACAAGTCATCATTATGTTTCTGAGTGAGATTACCAATTTACTGTCATTTGTGAAAACATGAACGCTTCTATGCTGTTGTTTTGTGCTCACTAAGAAATGAGGTGAGGACATGAGAGAAAAAGAGAGAGATATAAAGACTTTGCAAATCACTGTTTGGCTTTGAACTGAAATTTCATTTGCAGCCAATTTGCCCTTTTGTCACCTCCAAAAGAAGACTCAAATTATTGCTATTTAACTAAGGTGTCCTAATGAAGTTAGAGATGTTGATGTTAAATTTGTGGGATTTCCCAGTGGCATTCCATAATAAGAAATGCCATTAGAATTCCTGACTATCGATGGAAACTCTAGGTCTGGAAGTATATTACATCAGAATGTAGTTTCCTTGGGTTCGTGTGACTTGCTTCCTGTTAAATATTCCAAGACACTGCCTGAATGAAGGGCACTATATAAATGCAAGGTGTTGTTACCAAAAGGAAATTCAAGTTGCGCATCTACGAAATAGCATAAATTAAAGTGCCATTATTTTCTCAGCTATTAAGCTAAAAAATATATATTTTTAAAAGGTGCAAAAATTGTTCCACGAAATGAAACACTAGTTTCACTTTTTGAGCTCACCTTCCTTTTAGGTCCTCGTAGCTGTGGTTTTGTTAGCACTGGCGGTGAATTGGGCTGAAGATCATCATTGTCATCATCATCATCTTCTTCACTAGTTTCTTTAGTGCACTTCATTACTGGTTCACCATTGGCAGAAAGACATTCAGACTGTACTAATCTATTTTTACATGGTGCACTTGGAGTTGAATGCTTACTGGCCTGCGTTTCACTATAAAGCTCTTGCTCTTTTTCCCAGCAACTAGCTTGTTCCATCAGATGATCAGCCTAAAATTGGAAGTGGATAACAAGGTTACGAACCTACATCATTCAGTGGTAAATTAACATCTGCTCTGTCAAATACTACTGTTTTAATGGAACTGTTCCAAACTCAATCAGCTAGCAGCCTGTTCAGAACAGTTATAATGAGCAGCCTGAGAAGGATCACATTTCACAGAAAATTTAGAACTATTAATTATAAAGTGAATTGATTGAGGTTCTCTTTTATTGTAAACATGTTCACTGACAAGAACCAATCTTGTGAGACTCCTCAGACACACTGAATTGATTGTTTACTGTGTTGTTTTTCAAGACTACATTAAGCAGAACTGACACTATCACATCTGATGTAATTACAACACATTTTCTTAGGACTTACAATGGAAGTATTTTCTTGTTTCCTTTTTATTTCTATAAGTTGACTTTTTTTTGCTTTGGAACAACATACAAGTTTATATACTTTACAGTCAGCATTATTGTTAAAATGGGTATGCTCGAAAAAGAATTCTGTACTGTGAGGATATCCTATGAATGAAATTAATAAAAGCAAATTTGGCATAATTGTGTCTAGGTTTCTTGAATGTTGCTGACATATCAAAATGAATGAGGATTCTGAGTGCCTGCTCTGAACATTATTTCCCAATGTTGCTGCAAGGATTGATGTTTCTAGATAACCGGCCCTAAACTTCCAAAATAGGCTCTGTAAGCGCATCAGAAATGCTTAATATGAACACGATATAGTGCCTTGGGAGGATATCTCCAAACACTTCACACAGCTGACTGAGACTGAGCTGGGGAGTATTTTGCATCATACAACTATGAATTCTCACTATTGGCAGAACACCTCTCCTTCCTTTATACACATTTTTTTAAAATCACACTGCTGTTACTATTGTTTGCAGAAAGGAATTCAACAACATAAGACTTTACATTATAAGATCCCAAGATCATTTTTGAATGAAGAAGACCATCAGTCAATTTGACCTCATCCTTCCAGAATACCCTCCACCCAATTGCTTAAAAATAAAAAAATAAATCTTTCAGGCCAGAACTGAAGAAATTAAACAATGTCAAGTGTTTCCAGATCTGTATTATTCAAGGTATCAAGTCATTTAAAAATTACCTCTTTTTCAGCCTCTCTTTCTTCCTCTGAAACAGCAGCACTGGAAACTACTAACGGAGTCCATCGAAGGCTTTCTTGGTCTACTTTGTTAATGCGTGGATTAACTTGCAATCGTTCCACGTGTTGTTGAATGAGTTTTTCCCGTCGAATGATAACAAATCTATCAAACAAACATATCCTTGTGTCACAGCTCTGCGATGGGTTCACTGAATTATCTAATTTATGCTACCAATAAAATCCTTCATTGGAAACTGCTTTGATAAAACCAGCTGAAGAGCTGCTGTTGTTCTGTCGATACAAAGACAGCAATCTGAGTGATGAATGAGGTTGTGATACAGTCACATCAATTCTCAATATTAGTCATATGAAAATATTAAAACATTTTTAAACATTCCTATGTGTGATGGTGTAGTTGTAGAACTTTGTTAGGTCAACTAACCATAACTTTATCCTGCAGTATCTTTAAACAAACGCAATCCAGTTCAATCACCTAACCTACTGCAATTCTACATTGCTGTTGTCAGAGGTGCTTCTACAATTCTACATTGCTTTTATGCGGTGCATATATTACAATCCTTCCATTTGATAAATCAAAGTACTTTCCTTACAGGTAATTACTATCAAGTGCAGTGACTATTTTTGCAGACAATCATGACAGCCAATTGGCATACAGCAATGTCTCACAAAAAGCCAATGATCAATTTATCTGAAGGATTGCTGGACTCCAGAGAAACACCCTTCTCTATTCAAATACTGTTCAGTTTAACCGAACACGGAGTTTGAACCCTCAATCTTCTGACCAAGAGGAATCCCGTTAGAAATCACTGCATATTAGACGTCACTTGTACAAAAGCAAGTTGTGAACAAATGTTTTTGTTTTAGAAGATTACCAAGATAACATTGAAATACATTGTATTGTATTGTTTCAATACACAACTACACTGAAAGAATAAAATTGCTGCCATTGGCCCAGTACAAAAGCAGTTAAATGTCTGATCCATTGGTTTACCCGTAACATTTTAAATGTTATTAAAGAGGTGGTTGTAAATGAACTAGCATTTGTTGGCAGTTCTTAAAGTGTAGATGTAGAGAACTCTCCTCAGTCCAGAGCAATTTAAAGTGGGTAGGTATAACTTTGGTTTCCACTATGTATTATAACAGGGGACTGACTATTGAGAAAAGATAGCCTTCCTATTAGGCTATGTAAACTTATTAGAAATGCTTAATAAGAACACAAATATAGTGCCTTGGATATCTCAGAGCATTTCACCCAGCTCACTGAGACTGAGCTAAAGAGAGAGAAGGGGAAAAGTGACCAAAAGTGTGATGGAAAAGATAGGTCTTGCAGGTTTCAGTCATGGGAAGGAGGGGGCAAGGCTGTTCAAGAGAGCAGGGGCAGAATGGTTGAAAGTTCAACAGTCATTCAGCCCAACCATTCCTGCGGCAGTATACTCCACTTATCCTCCATACGAGCCCCTCATCCAATTCCCCTCACCTATACCACTCTATTCCCTTCTCCCTCATGTATACAATGCATAATTACAATTGGCCTTTTCATTAATTTATGGCTTGGATAGCACACTTACTTGCAATCTCGCCGGTCAATCATTCTCAACTGCTGTAGAGTCATGGCAATATCATGTGGACACATCCCTGTTTCTCTGCTAATCCCCTTTATGCTGATATGCTTGTCACGATGCTGCTGCAGGTATTCTAGTACCACACTCTTCCAGTATGCAAGGTACGAAAGCCTTCCCAGGTCAGACAGTGGCTTTTCAGGTGATCCTGCCTGTCCCTCTCGCCTTGAAAGTAAGTAACCTATGTAAATGCCATAGAAAATATGGTTCATTAGGTCACTGAGGATGTTACTTCCAGTGCCCTGTGAATTCACAGCATTGACAGAGGCAAGGAGAAGTCGATCTTCCTGTATGGTCAGACAGCAAATGGTGCTTGGCTCAAAGAGGTGTAGAGAAAATAAAGCACATTGTGAAATAATATATTTTTCATATATACTTAATGTAAAACATTTATTCTTCCCATTGTGAAATATTTTGTATACATTTATGATATATGGCATGTAAAATGTGCTTTTAATTTGGATGGTTGAATCAAAAACAAAACCATTCCACACACTGGTATTGACAGACAAATGGTTAGAAATAGTCTCTCTACACACCATTTTTATCTGTTGACAATATGGACCTCGTCAGGACATACAGTGTGGCATAAGGTGTGTGTGTGTGGTGGTGGGGAGGGGGAGATAGTCTTGTGAAGACAGAGGACTCTTGCTGGATGGGGTGGGAGGAAAAGAATGATAGGCCTCCCTCTCATTGAATCAAGTATCCCAGCAATGACTAATCATGAAGTGCCATTGATGTCAGCCCTAGAGAATTCTGGCACAGGATTTTGTATTGCAGCTACAGGAAAGATTCTGTAAAGTGCACAAAACGATGAATATAGGCAATAGGCATTTTTGTTCTTAAAATATTGGTGAAAATCAAGCCAAGGCTCTGACTGTCTCAACAGTAGAGGAGGAATGATAAAGAAAACAGAAATAGGGGATTGTAACTGAAAAGCAAAAAAGATTTTAAAAAACTGCTGGAAGAAATTCACAAGAAGTCAGGGGTCAGTGAAACACGTGTGTAGCTTGTTTTGCTGCCTTCACTGTACTTCAGCATAGAAAACAAGCAAAGGCTCAAAACACTCTGTTCAGCACTTCTTTGCATGGATGATACAGTCTTTGGATATAGCTCATGTTGTTAAAGACACTAGAGGCATCTTTAAATTACAAGTAAAGAGCAAACCACACTGGATAATTAATGGAAGCTGACAGCTGTCATTGTTCTCAAGATGCACTTCAGAAGACAGCAGGAAAATGGTACAAAGTAGACGACTGGCTGCCTGTGATTAATCTCACTACACAGGTCAATACATAACACAGTGAAGTGATTGCTTACATTTATGGAGGACGTATCTTATGGAGGACATGGTAAAATCAGAAAGACAATGTGGAATTTTTTTGTAATATTTTATAAAAGGACAAATTCAAGTCCTGGGAAAAAGGTCAATGAACACATTGGAGAGTCAAAGTAGTTAACACTGGCCTTCATGTTTTGTATTATTTTTGTCTTCTTTTCTGATTTCAAATGTTCTTAATTCAGTCTTAACTATTTCCATTTCATTATTTTCACCAGCTTCGCTTTACTAGAATCCTAGAGATCGGCTTTTAAAAATGTGAAAGTGAGTTTGCAGAACTGACAAACCTAGGTTTCTTTTTGAGTTGTGCAAAGGGAAAAGTAGCAAGGTTTGTTCATATGATGCCAGGAATCTCACGAATACCTGGAAAAGCTGGCAACGGACTGGATAGAAAAAAAATAATGATCAAAAACCACATGTATGAGAAGATATCAGAATCGTTATATTCCAATATCAGGCAGAATGAGTATGGCCAATGAACAAAAACTTGTTCTGCCCGATCCTTTAGATTTTCCCTATAAATCAGAACCTGTACAACAGCCTTATTTGATGTGTTCACCAATGATGGATTGGATGGAATCAAGGGGAAAGGACTTAATGGATCTGTTCCAGGCATTTCTGACAGAACTGTAGGCTTCTGTTTGCAGATAATATTGTGGTGTTGGCAAACTCACCTGGGGGATCTTGTGCATTGCACTCACCATCTTGCACACAGAGCCACTCAGTCGGATAGGAGGGCTCAAATCCGTGCTTGTTGGATATCAAACGGCTATCTTCTGGGGGGGAGGGGAGGGAGGAGTTAAGTGGGGTCTCCTAGGAGCTGATGTAGCTCTAAAGTGAACTGCTTGGCAATGGAATGTCGGACTCGAGTCAACCCACTATGGTGGTCTGAAATGGTCCAGATTATAAACCAGACAGGCCTGCAGTACTCCAGGACATAGCTAGTAACAGACTAGCCAGCTTGGTTCATTGGCAGGACTTGAAAAGGCAAATGGAAGCAGGGATTTTTCCTGCTCAGTTTCTACTATTTGTGGAAGCCAAAGCCCTTACAGGTAGGGTGGTAGGAGCAAGGATCGGGAAGCTTGCCTGACAGTGCTCTCAATGGTAAGCTATGTGGTTTTAGCTCAGTAAATTTCAGCAGTACCCCAACGCACACTCTGGGGTCCCCAAGCCTTAGCTCTTGTCAATATACACCTTATACACTTCAGAAATAAGTAAGCAGGGGGTGTCCCTCCAGGAAGAGAGTGTTCATTCCATTTCAGACACAGGGAAATTTGCATGTAGTTGGAGCTCTCAATCAGATTGCATTCTCTAAAGCATGATTATCGTTTTTCGCATGTGACAGACTAAAAAGTGACTAGGGAACAAGCAATTAGATAAATAAAAAAAATTATATGGGTACTGCAATTTTTAGTTTCAAATTCAGATTACCACAGGTATAGCCAAAATTAAGAGTAATTTACTCATGAAATACATCTATAATGTACTGTACATTACACAGAATTTTGTTTAATCAAACCACAAATATTGTATTTAGGAAGATTACATGTGATCCATATTATTCAAGATCTTTTAAATTCCAATAATTGTACATCACCCCTTTTTTAAAAAAAACATCATAATCAAGACCACTTGTGAAATGTTCAAAGAATTACACTACTCTGTTGTGAATATGAAACAAAAATCAGTAAAAGACATAGGAGGTGTATATGCAGAACAAGATTGACCTAGCACTGCCCATGTTATTCAACAGAGGCTCCTTAGATTACAGAACTCTACTCCTGAACAATATACTAATCCTTTCCTTTTGGTACACACACCTTTTTACAATTACAGACCCCCTGCATCTTTTCAGTGAGTCTCACTGCAATGAGGAAAATCAAACGTCCTACTCGGCCTACCCAAAGCACATATTCCAGATCTCATCACCCTGCTGAAAATCCTGTACAGACAAAGGAGCTGTGACAAAACCAAATTGCTACCAGAACATGGGAACAGCTTGGGCACTGCAAGTCTCCCAGGGCATCTGTGAGGCCCTCCCATCTGCAGCACAGGGGCCATGTTTCAGAAAAACTGACAGCACAGAGCTTTATTACACACCAAACAAAATCAAAGCCTTCATATGATTTTATTTCATGCATGATTTGCCATGAACAGTTAAATCTTACTGGTCTTAATGCCAAAGCTGATATTCTCAGAGATATGTAGTGGTTGTTGTGACCTCAAGTCAAGTGACAGCAATGAAGAGGTCAAAGTTGGAATGTTTCTACCCAAAATGTTTTAAGACCTCATTCAGCCCCTCAGGGGCCCATGCAGATGACCTTGAGGCGTTCCTACAGAATATCTAAGAAAGTAAGTTGTTTTTCACTCCGTTACTTTGTACTGGGCACACATATTTGCATGCTGAATTATGTGCTCCTAGGACACAGAAGAGGTTGTCTGGGAAGACCGCCAGTAGCACATTCTGTATCCAACAGTGCTTTAATACCACTGCTTCTCAATTGCTTCAATTTGAGAACTTGAGAATGCTTTGTGTATTAGGGGCATTCATTCATTCAGCCCATGAAAGAAATCATTACTAAAAACTAGTTACCTAAACTATCATCAAAAACAATTTTTTAAAACATTTTTGCAATTAGGTTAGAATGATTTTGTTATTGCTGAATAATGAAAACATGGATGTTTTCTAATATTAACATCAAAACAAACCTGTAACTGACACCACCTAAATTGTATTATTCATTCTACATTTTACAAAACACACATGTTTAAAACATGCTTCGCAAAAAATGCCATTAGTTATCCCGTAAACTTATTACTACAATCTTTCAAATCAACAGAAAGTTTTGGACTAAATATGTGTCAAACAATTGGTTTGATAGTTTCTTTTAAAAAAAACCCTCATAAGTAATGTATTTGTAAAAGTTTTGCCGTGTTTGATGTTTGGAAAATAATGATGAAACTGACTGCATTCTGTTTTTCATTTGTTTCAGCCTACTGGCTGCATATGTGCTGGCATATGCTCTGACAGCCTTATTCTCAAGTGAAGCAGAGAATAATTAAAAGGGTAGAATTTCCATGTAGAAAAACAGTGAACTCCCAAACCAGTGACACTTGGGGTCCAGTGTGTGTTAATAAACACTGGGAACACTTTTACGACCAGAAGAACATCACACATATTGCAGGAACTGCGCTCTGAAGGTACATCGTGTTGGAGCACAGATTCCGCGAGTCAGCTTGATGTATTTCCAGATTCCTTATCAACATATTACGATGCCAAAATATAAGACATTCTATCACTTAAATAGGGGAAAGAATGCCCAAGATTGTCCCACGATCCATTATTTTAGGTCAGCCAAGTGTCCGACACCTGCAAGAACCCATCACCATGCTTAAGAGTATTCAAACCACCCATACATGGAAATTACAGAGATGATTTATTGGAATGGAATGCACACTCTCTCCCTGGAGGAACACATCCTGCTTACCGAGTATTAGGTGCAGGTTGGCAAGATCCAAGGCGTGGGGACCCCAATAAGTTCCTGCTGGAGTCTAACCAGCTAAAACTGCATAGCTTTAAGCGCTCTTGGAATGCTACCTTGTGTGAGGGGCACTATATAAATCCAGTTGTTGTTATTTGGGATCTCACTGTCTTTGAAGAGAGATGATTATGACTTGAGTGTTCTTCACCCCTTTCAGCCCGGTCCTTCAGGACAGCAAAAGGTACCGATAAGAATTAACATTTGGGACTATTGCATCTTCAATCAATACCTTTGATGCCTTCCCTTGAGTTGAGCAGAACCAGGATTCTGCATTGGGGAACCCACCACCATCTCCCACCTGTTGGCCCAGAGTTCAGGATGCCGGGTGCAGCACAGAAGGTCCCCAGGTGAGTCCTCCAGCAGCACAATATCGTCCGCAAATGGAAATGCTGCATTCCTGCCGGAGAGGCAGATACCCCAAGTATGTCCCCTTCGATGTTATCCAACATGCCTTACCCCCTTTCAAGAGGGATGGGCTCAGTGAGTCCACTGTCGGCCCTTACATGGATCTTGGAATACACATTCCAAATGAAATCCAAGATTTGGCCGTGTACTCCCAGGGCTTCCAGTTTCATCATGTGAGCTTCATGAGGCACTGGGTTAAAAGCCTTGTGAAAGTTAATGAACGCAACATAGGTGGGTTTCTGCATTCTGAGATCTCATACAAAGATACAACCTGACCCACACACTTCTCATGAGAACAGAACCATCCTGCTCCCTTCGGATCAAACCATGAGCCTCCAATGAGTGTGATAAACATGCAGCGACTACACTTTAAGAAATCAGCGAGATCTCTTTGTTGTTCTTGGTCTCACAATGGTCACATTTCTTATGGATAGAAACCCCAATTGCACTCTGGAACACTGATGGGAGTGGATGCTTCAGAGAGAGTCTTGACAAGAAGTGCTAGGAGGGCAGCTCCTAGGCGAGTTGGAGGTCCCTGGCTTGGATCTGTAGGATCCTCACCGTTCTCCATCCGTCCCCTCACAGCACCTTTTAGGAACTCGGCAATAATGCCGTCCGCACCTGCTGCCTTGCCATTAGCAAACCACCGCAGTGCGGAGTCCACCTCCTCCCAACGGATTGGGTCGTTAAGGCCTTCAATCTGTTCCACGTCTCCCGCCAGGCTCCTCCAACCTTCTAACCTCCATGCAGATTGCTCCCAAGATACAGAAAATCAAAAATCACCATTACATTTGTCATCATTAAGGGCGAGAAATTCTTGCTATAATACAGTACTTCAGATGCACCTCGTCCTGCTTCCTAGGTTCAGGCAGTTCATGTTAAACTCTGAAACATGGAAATCATTCCCCCTCCACGAAGTAACTGAAGTTCCTCAAACTGCCTAGTACAGCAGGACATGATTCCTACCATTGTATTATTGGGAGGATTCTACATTAGAAACAACAAATTATTTTCTATTGATATTTTTCCCCTTTACATCTAGCAGACAATACTTTGAAGAAAATGTACTCCCTCTAAATTTTATTTTCCTGTGATGATGTACAAATCAAAGCGGACATATCAAGATTAAAGTACACACGTCTACCATTTGTTTTATTGGTTAGAAGAACTAATGCCCCAACCACTTGCTCCCCTTCCCCGTCCACAAAGAACATGGTTTCAAACAAAGCAAAGTACTTACTGAAATCAATCAGGAACCTTCCAAAGCCTTGCCTTTGGTACTGGGGCATAATCATTATGCAGGAGACATTGTACTTCTGCTGGCAAAGCTTTTCCTGAGGGAAGGAGAAACAAGACCTAGTTTGTCAGTGCGCTGCTGATGCAGACAGCATACACCACCTACCACTGTCCTTGTAAAATGTCACACTAATCTAGGCAAACACCAATGGTTAATAACAATGATATATAACAAACCTTTGCTATCGTTCTCAATAAAACCCAACTTGCCATCTCGACTCTTTGACAAATTGTTACTGTCCAAGGCTTTATCCAGACCATATTTTTTGGGTGTATCTTTTCAATATAACAACAGAAACATTGTTTCTTGAGAAATGAGTAGTGTGCACTTCAGCCTCGGGTGAAAGATTCCCTTGTACTTAACACATTTAAATGTGTGCAATGGGTTAGCTTTTCTATCAAACAGAATATGAAATTATACCATCCAGCTATGAACTGGATTCATTTAAGACTGCAAACAAAAAGGATTCACCCCTGTAAATATTGTGTTATCCCTGAAAAAACAATTGCAAAATATATATGTAATAAGTAGTCTAACTCAGTACAATGGAAAAGCTTATACGTGCTCAATGTACAACAGGGAAATGAGAGTGAGATGCTGCATTAATTGAACTTTAATTTATTTGGCTGCTCCCAGCAATAAATGTCATGTAAAATCAACAGACTTTCCACTACACCATACAGTGAAAGGACAGATTACTTACCTTCAGGTGTAGTGTTTTTTAATCGTCAAATTTAAAACCCAAATATCAATGAGAATGCTACGAGGTATCTTTGTCCCTCTAACACTCCTCCAAGCAGAACAATGTGACCTAACTTAGCAAAATCTTTTTGTTTAAAAATAGATTTGAAGTCCATGACAACAAGCAATTAAGCAAGGCAACCAGCAAAGTGCCCAATGTTTTTTACTTTGTGATGATCAACAATGAGTTTTAAAGGAATGCTTCAGAGTAAAGTCTCCATACAATATTCTAATTAGTCTCTATTTGGTAAAAAAAACTTTTACTGAAATTTAAAAAAAATGTGCAGCATCAGAAATATCGTTACATCGTGCCACATTTAGTATTTAGTCTTGACATTTAAGATTGCACAGATTGTGGAAAAGTCTTAAATTCAGTCTTCATTTGGAAAACAGTTTTGCACCATTCCCATAGGGCTGGTTTCCAAATTAAGACTGAATTTATGATTCCTTACAAGTTAATGCAATGATTAGGTTGATTTTCAGATCTCTGGCCAAAACTAATGGGAGTGCCAAGAAAGACCAGAATCAAGGGTATTGATTCAACTTGGTTTAATAAATTGTGTGCTGTAAAAATAACTCGATAGCATCTATTTTTATGAAATGCTCGTTTCTTCCTTGTGACATTTGAAGTTCTAATTCATGTGAGACTGTTCTCACATGAATTAAAATACGTGATGCAACTTTGTACAGCTGAAAAGGGTTTTTGGCTGCCAAATTTCATGGAACAAAGAATACTAGAGATACTAATGTTCAATTATTAAGGAGATCTAAATAATTTTCTCAACTACTAAAGCACTTTGATATTTCACCCTACTTAGGAGGTACTGCACATTGCAAAGCATCAGTGATGACCACTGGTTGTTAGAAAGCACTCTTTGTGGCTGGTTCATGACTTGGCATATTATATAGTATTTTACAAGTATAACGCTTGAAATGAATTTATACAAAATTATTCAAAAGCACTGGCCATAAGCAAATATGTTTTTTTCTGGGTCTCAATTTGCGCATAGTACAACTCTAACAGATATCGATCTTAGGGGAGAACAGAAATGAAGGTGACTAAATGTGAATACCAATATGAACAGTTAAGTAGAATATCTTTTTTTCTGTCTGAAAAAGGCAGCTTTCACAGCGTTCAGAGTTCATATGGTAAACATATCCATACCGGTTACAACCAACCCTGGGGATCTGACACATACAGAAACCCAACACCATGTTTAAGAGTATCCAAACCAGACTGTGAGTTCCACATATGTCTGCCACCACCTACACATGGAAATATCCATGTCTGGAATGGAATGCACACTCTCTTTCTAGAGGGATGCACCCTGCTTAACTAATTTGGGAGAGTCTTAGATGCAGATTAGCAAGAGCCAATGCTTGAGTATCTCAGAACGTGCTTTGGGTACTGCTGGAGTTTAACCAGCTAAAACTGCATAACTTTCCATTGAGAGTATCGTCTGGCAAGCTTCCCTTGGTTTGTCTTGCTAGGAGACTACATTACCGTTTGGGGCTTTGGTTTGCTGGATTAATAGATGAGTGAGAAGTATCCCTGCTCCCAATGAATGTACAGCCAACAAACAAAGGGTTAATGTTCATCAAGTTTCAATCCAGCACAAGTCACATTTAAATAAACAAATGGTGAAATGAAATAAAGTTCACTTGGGCAACACTGTCATTTTGTACTGTGAAGCAGGGAAGCCAGTAAGTGGAGTTAATTTGTTTCTCCTTCTAGGTTTAATCTTCAACCGAATATGTAACATGTAAATGTAACAAAAGTGATATAATGGTATAAATACCCACAATGTTAATCAAAATCAGTTTAAAAAACACTCTCACAAACTATGTAAATAATGGTGTTTTACATATACTGGTACAAATAATGTTATGTAGCTGCTGATCCTATACCCATCAATATGTGAGTGAGTGCAGCACTATAGACTTATCTAGGGCAAATGTTATAACCATCTTCTGATGCTAAGTACACTCTAACATTGTGTGCAAGCAACAATTACACTTTAGAGGACGAGGAAGAGATTACTCACAATGACTTTTATATATAATAATGATTTAAGAACACAAAAAAAATCATTTATCACAAATATAGATGTCTGGAAAGTCATCAGGTTATATACAGAAGTTGCTATGGCTGATAAATTGTCTTTGCGTGCTTAAGAAGGGTTCAACTGCTATCTCCACAAGTAAAATCTGAATTCAGTGAGAGATGTGGAGTGTACATTACCTAGGTAGGCCAAAGATACCATAGTCAGATTTACTAAAATCAATTGTATTCTTTGTTATCAAAACACTACATAAAATGAGGTCTTAAAGAATGAACTCATGTGTCTATTCATATAGCATATGAATACATATTCATTAGACATTTCAGGAAGATAATCGGAATGCTATTTACAACTGGGCTACGATGAACCTGCAATTGAAAGGTTCAGGTAAGACTATGTGCTTGAAGTTTCAAGCTGAAACATTTTTGAACAGATTGAGTAGTTATGAAATAAAGATTGCATCAGGATCATTTCAGCACTAGGTGAAATAAAGAGCAAAAAGGGACTTGTTTTTGCTAAAACCTGAATATAAATGCACACTCATTTTAAGATACTGCCATTTGATTCTGAAAGCTGTACTTCTGACTCGAAGCAGTTGCTCTGACATAAATAAATGGTGGTTCTGTAGCTGAGTGAATTCATCCATCCATTGTGAATTGGCTAAGAAGCATAGTAAATCATCCATCTTCCTCTAGGACTATTCATAATCAGACATAAAATGGGTCAAATGGCATACTTTTAAGTCCTACAGCACAGAATATAAAAAATGGTCTTGCTGTATCAAGTGCATGATTTTTAACCACTAAAATAGAAAAAAATCTAATCACTTTGCATTTCTAAGCAAAAATGGGCAGTTGAAAAAATTACAAATGGATAAACCACTTAACAGAACATTTAGTGCTATTTTTTTCAAGTGAACAGAGCTAAAATTTTAAATTGTTCTAAATGAAATTTTATTTCCCTTCATTGTGAAAAGTAATGATACATGTAAATTGGTTCGGTACATATTGAACATGTTGAACATTTCTAATCTTACCATAACATACTAAGCATGGATACATGATAACCCTTAAGTTAAAAAAAATGTTTTGCCATGGGAAGTACAACAATACAGTAGTTGCACGACAATTTCTTTTTGTGTATAATAGAGGCTCAAAGCACAAAATTATAAATTCAGTAGATTAAATATCCTATCTTAAAATAAACAAGGGAATCTTGTGTCTCGTCCAGCATTCATGCCAGATCACTAACCTAAAAACTTCTTGCAATTCTATAACATTTAAAAGAGAGAAAATTACCTTTGAAAAGTATCCAACAAGGTGACAGCCTTTCTCATCATTTTTAGTCAACACATAGAAAAGGAATGGTTCAACGTCGTAGTAAAGGGTTTTGTGGTCCAGGAAAAGTTTGGCTAATAGGCAGAGATTTTGGCAGTAGATCTTGCTTATATTTCCATCAACCTGCAAATAGAATTATAATGTATAATTTTTCAGAATATTTGCTGTAGTTCACAGATGGTCAGTAAGTAATGGGATCAATTAGCATAGCATTACACCTAATAAACATTGGGTTTGATTTCTTTATTTCTATTCAGTTAGTTGATTTGAACTGGAGCACTATAATTGGACTTAGCACATCAGGCTGGAGAGGGGAAAAAAATCATCCAGAAAACCCACAACAATCATGGGTCACCTTCAATAGTATGCTTCTGTAGTTGATGGGTAAGAATATGATCAGCCTGGAAGTGATGACTTTTACGAGCTATTCATGTAGAACCCACTGATTTCCAACTGTCTTAACATAACATATAGGAGCAGGAGTAGGCCATTCGGCCTTCAAGCGTGCCCCGCTATTCAATCATGGCTGATCTTCTAATCTAACTCCAGCTAATAACCTGATCCTGCCTTATCCCCATATCCCTTAATCCCTTTTGCAATAAGAAATCTATCTATCTCAGTCTTGAATATGTTCAAAGACTGAGCTTTAACAGCCCTTTGGGGTAGTGAGTTCCATACATTCACCACCCTTTGAGTGAAGAAGTTCTTCCTCAACTCAGTGCGAAAGGGCTGGCCTCTGATTTTAAGGTTGTGACCCCTGGTTTTAGTTTCTCCAACCAGGGGAAACAATCTCCCACTATCTACTCTATCATGCCCTTTGATGATCTTATAGGATTCTATAAGATCCCCTCTAATTCTTCTATATTCTAGAGAATATAGGCCCAAATTTGTCAGCCTATCCTCGTAACTCAACCCTTTCATCCCTGGTAAATCTACGCTGCACCCCCTCCAAGGCAAGTACATCCTTCCTTAAATGAGGAGACCAAAACTGATACTGTTTTCCAGGTGTGGTCTCACCAGGGCCTTAGACAGTTGCAGCAAGAGTTCCCTACTCTTATACTCTAATCCTTTCATAATGAATGCTAACATACCGTTCGCCTTCCTAATTGCTGCTGCACCTGCAGACTAACTTTCTGTGATTGGTGTACAAGGACACCCAAGTCCCTCTGGACGCTAACACATTCCAATCTCTCCCCTTCTAAAAAATAACCCGCTCTACTGTTTTTGCTACCTAGGTGGATGACTTTGCACTTCCCTACATTATACATCATCTGCCACCTACCTGCCCAATCACCTAACCTATCTATGCCTCCTCTCCCTGCATTTGTTTAATGTCGTCCTCTGTGTTAGCACTTCCTCCTAGTTTTGTGTCATCCGCGAATTTAGATATATTAACTTCGATGTCCTCATCTAGATCGTTGATGTAGATGATAAATAGCTGAGGTCCAAGGACTGATCCTTGTGGCACTCCACTAGTCACATCCCGCCAATCTGAAAAGGACCCGTTTATCCCTACTCTTTGTTTCCTACACGTTAACCATTCCCCAATCCACGTTAATATGCTCCCCCCAATTCCATGGGCCCTTATCTTTTGGACTAACCTTTTATGCGGCACCTTATCGAATGCCTTCTGGAAGTCCAAATAGACCACATCCACTGATTCACCCTTATCTAGTTTACTGGAAATATCCTCAAATAACTCTATGAGATTTGTCAAACAAGACTTCCCTTTTGTAAAGCCATGTTGACTTGGCCTAATTATATTGTGCTTCCCTAAATATAGCACTACCACATCCTTAATCAACGATTCTAAAAATGTTCCTATCACTGATGTGAGACTAACTGGCCTATAGTTCCCCATCTTTTCGTTTCCACCTTTTTTAAATAGTGGTGTGACATTTGCCTTCGGGGACTGTTCCAGAATCCAAGGAATTTTGGAAGATCAGACATAAGGCCTCCACTATCTCATAAGCTACCTCTTTTAAAACCCTGGGATGCAAGCCATCCGGACCAGGGGATTTGTCACTTTTTAGTGCTATCAGTTTCCCAAGCACCAATTCTCTACTAATGAAAATTTCCCTGAGTTGCTCCCTGTCCTTATCCCATTGGTGCATCTCTATTGTTGGCAGACTTGTTGTGTCTTCCAGGATGAAGACAGATGCAAAGTACTCATTTAGGGACTCTGCCATGTCCTTGTCCCCCATTACAACTTCTCCCATCTCTGACTGAAGTGGACCTACATTTACCCTCACTAACCTATTCCTCTTAATATATTTGTAAAAACTTTTACAATCAGACTTAATGTTCCTAGCTCACAAATGAAGAATGGCCATTTGGGTACTGGCAGAATGGAAGCACCACTGGAACCAGCAAAAAAAATATAGAGAACTAGCAGAAAATGATTGGATGCTGATATTAAGATTGCACCACAAAACATCCAAATTTTAAAGAAAAATATCTTGGATACAAATACAATCATCTGAAGGGAAACTAGACTCAAGTTCATGGAAAACACATTATAACAGAAAACCTCAACAATAACCTTTAAAAAGAAACAGCCCATCAATCTGCAAGCCTCACTGAAGATGGCACGTAAACTGTTTAAATTGAGTACCTACTATTGCATTAACATACAAAAACATTTCTGCAAATCAAGGATTATCCAATTTGCTGTCATTAAATCTACTTAAATTTGTTATAATTTATTTGATTAGATGCTTTAAAGCTGCATTCGTTTCTACAGAAGTTCACCGTGAATAGAATGATATAAAATGAATCTGTTGCAAAATTGATGTTTAATTAATAATTATCTCAAGTTACAAAAATAATGTTTGTACAAACGTTAACTGTAAAGTAGCAACAATATCTCAAATCTAGTGGTAAAATTATTCAGAACACTCAAGTTACATACAATATGAAACTAGTTTCCAATTTGCATTTTGTCACTCTGGCATTTGCTATATTTAAAATGCCAGGACATAAATTGTTTGATTCCACTTACCTCAAACACAGACAGATCCTTTTTTCTGTAAATTTCATTAGCGGGCGGGTGGTACCAGCCACATTTTTTTGTGTGCCTCTGCAAAATGTTCTTACTCTTCATGTATTTCAGGCAAAATTCACATAGGTAAAGCTTTGGTAGTCTGCAAAAAATGTTTGAAAATAATGTTAATCCTTGTTACAGAAGAGAAAAATAATGAGTGACTGAATACAAATTAAATCCATCCTTAGCTTGCCACTTGTAAAGTGGATGGTCAATAAGAGAAAGCATAATCAGCTCGGTGACTTCATTTCTTAGAGGTTTTCCATACATCAATCCTCAGGCTAAGCTGCAAGTTTTAGACTATTCAAAACCCAGCATAGCTTTGACATGGCATGCATCTCACTCTATAAATAGCACACTGAATGGAATTGCAACTTCTTTTGACCACCAAAGCACAATGACCTTGTATTTTCTCCAATCGCTGGGGAGGAAGATACCAGGAGCATATGTGTGTTTGGAATATTTTTGTGAGACATACAAAATAATAAGATTAATAATCCTTGCATTTGATATCATCCCTTTGATGTTGGGCTTCACATAGAATTTACTGTAAAGTGTAGTGATTGTACACTTAGCAGCTAGCTATATTTGATACTACTTTTATTAGTTGTGCTCTGGAGAATTCTGGTCATAGAACTTGCCTTCCTAAAAATGCTTTAGGAAGTAAAAATATTTTTTAAACAAAACACAGTCAGCTATGGTTTGGAGCATTTTTTTTACTGGTATCAAGAAATTCAATAATGAATTCTTCATCATATTGAATGTTTTAAGATTTCATAAGTACACCTTTATTTATCAAGAAATACCACAAATTAGATCATGAGATACTGTTGGCATGAGACCAATCAGTTAGGATTGAGGCAGCTTTCAAATAGAAGAGATGCAGCCCTTTAATTAAGGTTGGAATCAAACTCAAGAGGCACAAAAGAGGAAAGGCTGTAACTCACCCCACGATTGAATTACATAAAATCAGTTAAAGACTCATATGACTTGAAGTGGTCATTGACACGATCAAGAGAGGTTTGGATGAACAAGTTAATTTGACTCATTTGATCTCATCATACACGAGCACCCTACTGTCCTATTACAGCATCAAGCTTTTTTTAAAAAATCTGTGTACAGTAAATATACTATATACCAATTTCTTTAATCAAATGCAAGTTAGTGCTCAATGCAGTTAACTACACTCAAGACAAAAAAACAGAAACGCTCCTCATGACCAAAAAAACACACAATTTATGAAGTGATACCTTGCATATTCTTGTGGATATGGTGAAGAATACCAAGTGTGGATTTCATACTTCCCAAATTCAATCACAGATGGATACCGAGCAAGTGGGTCAACAGTATTTGTAACTCCAGTTTTCTGTTGAATAAATCAGCGAGAGAGAAAATGAATCAAAAGCAAAAGAACCCAGAATAAATTTGCAGTTTCAAAATCTAATTTGAATTTGACAAAGCTTTTTTTAAGTTCATAGTTTTCAAGGAGGCAGTTATTACTAGCATGTTCAAATGCAGCCGCATCAACAAAATGCCCACATTCGTACAGAAAAGCAACACATTGGTGTTTACTTGTGGGAAGTCTTGTATATTTGGATGATTAATTTAAAACGAGGTTTACGTTCTTTTTGCTCTCCAATTTTACACAAGAGGAAATGCTTTGAAACCAGGACAGAGAAAATTAGGTAATTGGAAAAGCTGCTTAATTGCTATTTTCTATGAGTCATATCAATTGTTGATCTTAAAAAGCATTCTCACTGCACTAAAGTATGAAATACTAAAATTCAAATTTCACAACAACGCATTAAAAGTGTCTTCATGTGAGCAAAAGAGAAAATAAAATCGAGTTGCATGTACCTGGGCACCTTCACCTATACTTTATTATTAGATTACAGAGCTATTCTGATACAAAGATGACAAAATAACAATCATTCCCTTTTGGCTGGAAGAATTGTATTCGCTATTAGAATGAATTTCACTGAAATGAAATTTTGAAGCCCACTCTGATCTGTTTTATGTTTTTTTTTGTCAAAATCAGACATCAGTGCAAAGGTACAGATTTACAAAGTCATCTTTAAAACAATCATCCTGTTTGGGAGAGAGCACATGTGTTAAAAGCTTAGGACACATTATTTTCAACAACAATGTCAATATCAACCACAACTGCAGATTTCTACATAAACATCACAATACTTAAAATGTTGTCAGCAGCATAGATATTGTTGACTAGGCAGTTCATTTATGCTTGCAATTTCCTGATTTGAATCACCAACCAATGTGAATTTCCAAAATTCTGAATTATATAAATTCTGACTGGAATCTGCCCATCTCTTATGAACTGTGGCTCAACAAATATTGCCCATTGCTAAATTTCTATAGTAATCAAAAGTACAATATTAACAATATTGGAATCTGTTCGGCATGCATCAGCAGTTCTGACTCGTCAGGTGAGGCACTGCTTCACCTAGAATTTGGAGAGTGCAGGAGCGAGGCAAGGCAGGACTGGCATGGGAGCAAAGCAGTACCAGGAGCAAGGCCAGCAGGAGAGAGGCCAATACATTACGTGTGCGCAATAGGCTCATTGCCCTTTACAAGACAGCTTAGTTAGACAAATTCAGATTGCCTCTCCTGTCAAAAAGGTCACCAGCTGCCATTGTGTAACAGGATGGGATTTCCAAATGCAAAAGAATCCACTGCATACTATATATTTTTATATTATTTTCACCCTTCATGAAAATGGACAACCAATCATTGATAATGGATCATCAAGCACTGTATCAAAAGCTATCTATTTCAATGGGTGGAACATGAGCTTACACAAATCAAATCCATCTCAAAGGTAAGCATATTGGGTTCACAGGGTAAGAGACCAATAGTTTGTGTAAACAGTTTTAGAGGCAGCAAATAATTGGATTTTGATACCTTGTAAAGAGATATTGGATGCAAGAGAAAGGTAAGTGATTTTAACCAGACATTAAACAACACAAAGGAAATTCTTTGATTCTTAAATGTGGATGACCTGAAATGATTTTTTTCTCAAACTAACAAAGATATGCGAATTGGAACAAAGCTGAGAATTTTCTCTTCTCAGAGATTTGTAAAGTGATAGGAAGCATCTTAAATCTAATATCACTTTGGGACGCGGAATGAGCATCAATGTGCTCTCTCATGCTTGTAATTGGAAATTACATTGGGGTTCAGAGAAACAAAGAGAACAATTCTGTACAAAGGAATATCAAGCCCCTTGAATAACTGCAGACAAAGAGGCTCTGCATTTTCAAACAAAACAGCTAGAAGCAATTGCTTGTGCTAAACTTCAAAACATTCAACTTTCCAAACTTGATGAGACTACCTCACAACAGTATGATTATACTCCTTACCCTAAAAGTGTTGACCAGTGTATGCAATATCTCTCCCTCAATAATGCCCTGAACATATACACCCTCCTGATTTTGCTTATGGTGAAAATCATACAAGCCTATCCTTTCATTATGAATTTGAGTCGAAGTGCTGTAATTGACACATATAGTCAGTTACAATATTTTAAGTGAACTGCATTACTCTCCAAGGTGAGTAATTCTTCTGGAAAATAATACATTAGCAGCAAGCACACTGCTAACAGGCTTTTTTTTTGATGGAAAATTCCCAGCAGTAACAGAGCCTCTTTTTAAGTTGAGTCTCACCATTGTGCGAAGAGGTTAAGTTGCAGTTGTCTCATGGAGCTCATGTGAGACAACAATCAATGTGTGGTACTGCCTTTGGGCATCGAGTCAGAATATCAATGTTTTTGTTGGATCTAAAGATTACTGCACCTGAATCTTAGGAAGCATGCTGTGGTACCATATGTAATTGTGTCAATGAAGACGACACTCTGAGAAGCAGGTTCACTAGAACTCCCAGTGACCTAGATCCCCCCTATACCCCTGTTTTGGGATCTTATTGAAGTGTTTCACGACCAGAATATTTCTCAAATCTCTTATCGTTTGGGCAACTGAAAAATACTTAAACCAGTTAACTTCCTCAATTTTTGCCACCCCATGGTCATGGTGGTAAGACTCACATGAGTCCAAATTCCATAGGTAGTTTCTACCTACCTACCTGTACAAACTACCCACTTGATCTGAGACAAGATGAAGTGGGCTCAGGCAGTCAAACAACTCTTGAATGATTGGAATCTACATTAGACAAAGGGAAATCTAATTGGCAACCGATGAATCTGATTTTTCCAAGCTTTTATAAATGGTCAAGTTTATGTGCACTTATTGATGTTATGCTACCTAATATACAAATCTCATGACCAGCATATACGGTGTTAAGTGCCCTTCACATCTGCCTCCTGGGGTATGAAGTTCTGCTCTGTGCAGCAGACCAGATAGTAATGTAAGCTAGCACACTGCCTTTCATCTCAAGAACCTGACTTTGAATCCAGTTCAATCTAAATGCGATGAGATTGTCCACCCTTCATGGTTGTAAGGGTTCTATGAAATGAGTTTGGACAATCTCGGATCATTTCCACGTGAATGCGGGATCATCAAGAAGAACTGCTCATAGTTTAGGATAAACTGATAAAATGCCTCATCAAGAGGCCATAAGGATAACTGGCGTGAGAAATGGAAAAACACAAATATAGTACAGAGTCCTCTATTGAAGATCAGTGTAAAGTATGTTGTTGCAACAGCATAAAAGGATCTTTATTCTGTATCTGCTGCCTGCTATTTGTAACCTGGGCTTGGTCAATGACTAAATCTATTTCCCAGGGTTGACAACCCTTACTTTGTTGAGCACAAAAAAACACCAAATAAAAGAAATCTTTAAGTCAAGAAGTTTGACAGCTGAATTAGTGGTGTCATCATATGTAACACTACTCAATATTAGGTCGTGCTCTTTTGAGATTAGGATTGAGAACGTTCTCAACACAATGATAGGACATTTCCGCTGTTTCCATCATTGCTATAGTAAACCTGAGTGCTTAGTATTGACATTCCATACAAAATGAGAAAAGGTGTCTTATTCTGTCGGCTTGATAAGACCAACAATTCATCTCAAATTGTATAAATAATGTAAATACTGTAATTGAAGTCTGCCAACCTATCCATGCTGCTTCAGATCCCCAATGAGATCCCTTGTGAAATACTGGGCTAGCAAATTATTTGGGTAATTTACCTCAAGCAACTGATTCCCTGCAGCTCATCCTCACTAATCTTTTGTCTCACCTGACATCTGTGGAGGGAGCTATGGCCAAAAACAAATGGGAAATGGTTTGTGTTGGGGTTCCACAAGCAAATGTAACTCAAAACCCAAAGACTTTTCACCAGAGAACAGGTCATGCAAGAATAACTGTAATTTTAAGTAATTTCCAGAGAATATTAATGGAAAATGTTCTCGCCATCCTTTTGTGATTACTGCCAATTTTAATAGATCCCAACCGCCTGCCTATCTCTGCTACTGAAAACTGATGGGGTCAAAAAGGTTCATGCATTTCCAAAGATAGATTCTGGAGATTTCAGGACAAGATTTCAGAAAGACGCTGTCACAAGCAAAGGTATACTACTGTACTGAAGTACACAAGACTTCTCAACAGAGGTCCAATGGCAGGAGATTATGAGGAGCCAAAGGCAGCAAATCCTAAAAGTGAATTGCATTCAACAACAATTTGAAGTCCCACATTAAACATTAGCCAAAGTCTTCTACCCTCTAGTGTATGAATTCGAGCAACATTTTGAGCCAAACTGAAGCGAAACTCGTGTGAATATAACGATTGTATATCAGTTCCAGGTCCAGCAGGAAAAAAACCCCAGCTCCAGCAAGTTTCCATCTTGTTGAAGCAAATGTGAAGAGTAGAATCAGTCTTCCTTCAGAAGAGGGGCTGAATATGTTCTAAATGAGCATTTCAAATATAACAATATGAAATGTTTATTTCACTATACAAGTTCCATCATGTTTTGTTTTTAAAAAAACACCAGTGATGTAAGTCTTGTCTACAGAAACACACTTCCATTGCTGGTTATTCTACTTCTGAATTACCACCCACAAAGCTACCAGATAATAACCACCTTCCACAGATATGGATTCTGTTTTCTTTGAAAACATGAAAACAGGAAATTACCACCTAGGTTACAAAATCCTTGTGCTACCATTTTTGATCAGATAATGTTTCCCTACCAGGAATCTATCAGATCATATTCTGAATAAGATAATAAATAAGTTGTTTGACTTGAAAAGGCTATACAGATACCTTGGAAAACAAGGCAATCAATGTAACATAATGCAATGTAATATCAAAATTAACAGTTCCAATCAGTAACAGGTCTGAAAGAAAAGAAGGCTGGGCAGAAGTTTTAGATATTAAGGTTGAACAACTGTCAA